CTTACAGTGCTTCTGCATCATTATGTGCAGTGCGGGGAGGTGGAGACAGTCGCTGATTATGGTGAATGCAAGCAGAAATGGTAAGCAGGCATAAGCACAGAGCGACATTAGCGCTGTCCCAGCCAGCCTGTTAGCTGAAGTGGGTTTTAATTAGCTATTTTCCAGTTAGTAAATGGAGGAATTATCAATGGCCCAAAAACAAGATTGAAACTGGGCACGTAACCCACGCACACAACACAAAAGCACACACACTCACTTTCACCTCTACTCACACACACACACACACACACACACACACACACACACACACACACACACACACACACACACACACACACAGACTGAGAAATAAAAAGACAAACACTTGAAGTAAATGGCAGATACAGCGGATCATATTAGCATAACACATAGCTCACAAATGGAAAAAACCCATTATCTTGTTTTGGGACCAAATGTTGTTGTTTTTTTACCTGTCTCCAAACAAAATGAGCTCATATGATGCTGTGCTTACTAAAAGTGTTTATCCATGCAAGATTGCTTTCAATTTCAGGCCATACAGCCTGTGATGTGGGGCACTCCTGATTTTTCCAGTTCTCCTTTACGGACCTGCCCTCAGCCCTCCTGGGCAAAGCCGTCACATCAGGATGACAACAGAATGCCAAAGTTATTAGCCGTCTTTTTAATTAGATTCTGCTCTCCCACTCTGTCGTGTCTCTCCTTATTTTTCCCTCCATTCGAGGATGCACCTCTGAAGGCATTATTAATATTTAGATGAGAAGCCCCTGCTATGTCCTCAGAGGCTGTTAGTGAAGGCAGCCACCCCCAATAGAGCTGGACGGAAAGATGGTTAGTTAGATGGAGGAATGAATTCCCCCGATGGTCCTCCTCCATCTCTGCAGCCTCTCTGATAGGAGAGAAGCTGCAGTTATTACATGTTGTCCTGTGCAGCTTTTCTTTAAAGGTCTACAGTGCTGTGAAAAATGAGAAAAATTGACACCACAGTGAGATATTTAAAATACAGCCATGATGGTGGCTGAAGATGAATTTCTTTTTTTTTTTAACCCTCTTGAAGATTGAGAAGTTTAAGCAAACACAGTATGAACAACTACACCCGTTTTAGTGTATACAAAGGAGTCTGGGAGACTAGACACAATTGTTTGCAATTTCATTGTTATTTCATCTTAATAACAGACCTTTACCATTATTTATGCTTTTATTGATATCTGCCTAAGTAAGCTTGCTCAAAGCTCAGTTTAAAAAAATCAAAACAAGCTATTTCATGGTCACGGTTCATTTATTTGAATTTTGAATGGAGTTCATGTCCCAAATAATGAACAAGTTCACAGTCACTCAAAGTGAGTGGCCGTTGGATGTAAACAAATGTTTAATCAGACTCTGCCATGAAATCATAGACCTTATAAACCCAAACAATTCAATTTCTGCGAGTTTGACCATTTAAACATTAAAAAATCTGAGTATTGAAAACTTAAAAACAACAATCATTTGATGGTTCTGGTATCTAATCTAAAAACAAAAACAACAATCTGCTCCATAACTGAGGATGTGGGTGTGATAGTTTTTGCATCCTCTAAAATAAAAGGGCTGAAGTTTAGGAAACGCTGAACAAACAAATGCAGAAGTGAATCATTCTCCGGTCTCAAAGAAGCTGATCCTCTCTGAACCCCAACAGTTTCGGCCCACTGGGATCCACTGTGTCTTTCTCGGCTCCCCTTAGTATGTCTGTCGGATGCCTGAGGTTGGCAGGCACCAGTCATTGCAGTAACACACAGTGCTCGTTAATTTTCAGCTACTTTCTGTACCTCTCAGATCCTCCCAGAAAGTGAGTGACCATTCACTGACTCTGTTCATGAATTGCAAAATGAGATGCTCAGTCACCGTTAACCAAAATATGAATGCATTCATTTTGATGCACTCATGCACAATACTAGATATCAGGAATGCTTTTGGATGTTATGAGCTGTTTGGGGTTTAAAAGCAGGTGATTATTTCACTCACTGTCTTCAGCTGAGCCGATAGGAGGGCGTAGAGATGGCTGGAAAGGTGGAGAGAGATTGCAAAAAAAGAAATATTCCCTGTAGCCTGATGTTACTTCATAATTGACCTAAAGGTGGGGTAGGCAGGATCTAAGGAAGTGCCAGTTTTGGGAGAAATCTTGAATGTAAACACTAGCCACACTAGTAACTTTCTTTCCGCAGGCAATCAGATTTCTGAGCGCCAATCTCCTTAGTATATGAACTGGGGGTACTTTTTTAACGACTAGTTTTAGGTTTTATTATTCAGTTTTAGATATAGTAGAGGTTTTTCTGCACTGTTTGTTTTATTCTTTTATGAATTCTTGTCTCAAACTGGGAGAAACCTAATTTCGTTTATTTTTTCTGACACTGCTTGCAGATGGAAAAGTGAATGACAAATAAAGCAATCTTGAATCTTGAATCTAGCCCTCCCAACCAGTTTTCCCCTCAGCTCCTCCTCTCCCCTCCCTTTCTGCTCCAGCAAGCCCCGCCCACAAACAGACTCTCCTGCTCGCTAGTATTGTTTCAATTAAACTCAGATATAATACAGATAAATACTTCAGATAATTACAAATGCGGCCCAGTCAACATGAAAATAAAAAGCATTGGTGCTACTGTAGATGCCAACAGACTACCAGCAAACACAATGTTTGCAGGACTTCTACAACTAGGATAAAGTGACAAAGTCCAGGACCCGAGCTAAACAGTTTAGCGGCGCTACAACACTCAGCAGGTCCCGTTTGACAAGAAACACTTCTGTTACAGACACTTGGCTTACTTTGTTAAAGTGGTTTACCTGTCCAGCAGAAAGGTTCCAGGGTCTGTAAGATCCCGAAGCCTCCCCATTGTTTATAGTGATGTTGACCGGGCTTCTTAGCTCTTGTCTGGTCTACCTCCGTTTTAAGCGCCTGTTTTTCCGCCAGAGTCTCCGGTATTTACTTCATTTTATTGCTTGTGTTTTCCGTACTTTCTGGTTGGTTTCTGCTGTCCGATATTGTAGCACGCTAACTTTGTTTGGGCTCGTGCACGTTATTGGAGGGTGTGGAGCGAGCCTCACACCATGAGGGAGCAGCGTCTTCCTCACAACCAATCAGCACTAAGGAGCAGCGTCCGCCTCACAACCAACCAACCAAAAAATTTAAAATGTTGACTACACAAACATATCAGAACACAGTGATATAGTGATATCCTCAAATGTCATCAACAACTCATAGCTATTGACTTATGTTAAAAGCTTTTTTGTATAGACACCACAAAAAAGATGCTTCTTTAACGGACTCCTGCCTACCCCACCTTATAACTTCCCTGCAGCGAACATGATTTCTGACAACTTTTTTTCCTGCAGGACTTCACCTGAAGCTCAAGTAAAGAACAATGTTAAGTCTTTAATCAAAAAGCTGTCATGGACACACCTTCAGAATAAAAGCTTTGAGTGGAAAGAAGGGGGTCTCTCCACAGAAAGAAACAGACAAGGTTTTAATTAAAAAAAAAAAAAACACTGTGAGTAACAGCTGAAACAGAAAAACAATCCTAGTTGAAGTTTTTTCTGAGGTTTTGGTTGAGATGACATTGACGGTCTGAATGGTTTTATCTACAAAAATTGACGCCTAAAACCATGTCGCTCTGAGGCTGTCATGATTTCTGTTTGGAGTGCCAGACTAAGGCAGAGTCTGTTGTGGAAACCGTGCCAAGATCAGACCTCTCTGTGTGTTAAAACTCTGACACTGCTGCAGCTTTTTTCTGCAGTAACACGGACTGTGAAAAAACAGACACTACATGTCCTAAAAAGAGGTGAATTAATGACTTTGTCAGAGGAGCACACAGGTTCAGTGACCCTGAGGCAGTTTAGTGGCATTAACACAGAGGTGTCTCTATTGAATTGTGTTGTGCTCATCAGAACGACACACCAAGGTGTCTCAGCCTGACTTTAATGTGAGTTCAAAGCAGAAACTTTTCCTCAGACAGCAGGAAGTCCTCAGGCTTTGTCAAACAGTGTTGAGCAGACATATTGGAGCGCAGGTAGTTGGAGGGAATAAAGCTGAAGAAACATCTGACACCTTTCCAAAACAAATAAAACTTTTGGACTTAAAAAAAGTGGCTCATTCCAACATCTGGTCCGTAGGAGAGACATCTGTTCATGCAGGTTAGCTGAGGTGAACTGAGGAGCTGAGATTTAACTCCACCATGCCACAATCAGGCTGTCTACATTCTGGTTTCTAAACTTTCTCTGGGCCTGACAGTGTGCTAACAGCTTCCTCTAGATATGTAATCTGATTTAAAGTAATAAAAGTACAGAATATATACAGTGACGTTGATGGCCCTCTTACAGTACCTTTTCACACACCCTGAAAATGTAGGCACAAAGTATGGTGTCATAACATCATAATTGATTTGTTTTACAAGACTGCTGACCTGCACTATAATGACGTTCTTTGTCAGCTTTGTGTTTTTTATCTTTTTTTTTTTTATAAACTGAAGGTAGACCCACAGATCCTGCATCCATGGTGTCCTCCTGAGTTGGGTTTTACTCTCTGGAATAGGTCCAGTACTACTTCATCCTGTTGGTGTTTGCTCACTTTATTATGACTTTTCCATCATGGGTGAATAAAATTGGGCACTTGTATTTAGTGCCTGGTATTTTCCAAATTTACACACAAACAGAAAAATCCGTGGCACAAGCATCGTGAGCTGTTTAGTGTTTTGATTGGCTAAAGTCAGGACAGGGACTGTTTAAACCTCAGACATATTGTGTTTTATACTGTAGATATTTTGGGGGATTTCGGAGCTTGAACAAGGCAGAGCATAAACCCACAGACAAGGCAAGTTTATTTCTATAGCACTATTCAGACACAGGGCTATTCAAGACCTCTCAATTACTGAGACCTGTTAAGACACCATTGCAATAATCTAACCTGTTAAGAATAAATGCATGAACATGCTTTTCCATGTCTTGCTTTGATAGAAATCCTTTAATTTGTGCTATGTTTTTGAGATGAAAATAGGCTGATTTAGTGATAGTCTTTATGTGGCTGTTAAAATTCAGGGCTGAGTCCATAACCCACCCAGGTTTCTGGCTTGGTCAGTGGTTTTCAGTTGGCCACTGACTTCAAGCCTCACATTTTTGGGACCAAATACAATGACTTCTTTCTTTTCTGCATTGAGCTGGAGAAAGTTCTCGCCCATCCACTGATTGACTTGTTGGATACAATAGATCAGTGATGAGTGACTGCAATGGACTGTAGTCATATGGTGACACTGTGATATAGACTTGTGTCATCGGCACATGTGTGGTATGAGATGTTAGGATACACCATGATCTGTGCCAGTGGGAGCATATAAATATTGAACAAAAGTGGCCTGAGGATGGAGCCCTGGGGGACCCCAAGTCATCTTTATCCGCTTATATTCACAACTACCTAGTGAGATGAAAAAGTTACGATCTTCTAAACAAGATTTGGGCCAATATAGCACTGTACAAGAAAGTCCAACCCACTTCTCCAGTCTGTTGAGCAACATGTTGTGATCAACTATGTTGAATGCAGCACTCAGATCCAGAAGTACCAATACTGAAGTTTTTGATGCATCAGTATTAAGGCATATGTCATTTAACACTTTACTTAGTGCAGTTTCAGTGCTGTGGTATGGTTGAAAACCAGACTGGAAAGCATTGAAGAGATTGTTTTAGGTCAAGAAAGAGTGAATTTGTTGATAAATAACTTTCTTAATGATCTTTGACAGGAACCCAAGGTTTGATATGGGTCTTTAGTTACTTACTACTAAAGCATCCAGATTAGGCTTTTTTAAACAAGGGCTGAGTACTGCAGTTTTCAAGGCCTTGGGAAATTGTTGTGATAAAAGAGATGTATTTAATTTTTTTTTAAATATTTCTGGTGCAACACAATTAAAACCACAGTTAAAGAAAAGGTACACTTTCCAACACTCGCTTAACTCCCTTAACTTATTATCCATCACTGCTGTGACGAACAAACACTCCACAGACTTATGGACCAGTGGATGTCCAAACATTCATTCAGACTGGCATTTCTTTGCATTTATCCAATCTTTTACAGACAGATAAAAAAGATGGCCACCTTCACCTCCTCTCTCTCTCTCTCTGAGACCAATAAATGCTGAGGAACAGACATCTTTTACATTTATTGACCTGCATCAATGAAAAGATGTGTTTCCATAACTCGTGAAAATTAATATGCATGAGCAAAAAGTTGCTTTACTCCATTATTGCAATGGCTCAAACCATAAAATGTAATGCAGACTGAGCTGCACATAGCCAGGGCCAGGCTGACTACAATAAGTCTTATAAACACTGAAAGTCTTGACAGAGGTTTTAAAGTTCCTGATCCTCTGATTGCAGCTGTAACCTGCTGCATAAATGAGACCTCTCACTTCTGAGCAGATGCAATGTAAACATCCCCCTGAGGTGAAGAGTCTTGAAAAAGTCATGCAGAGAGTCAGAGTGAATCCTCATTGACTGTGACATCTCTGTGATTTAAATGGAAGACCTGTGTAGCTCTGAAGTTTACCAACATCAAATATAAAACAAAACAAAACCTCCTTGTTCCAGTGAGACCGCTTCGCTCTTAAATATTTCAAAATCCTTCCCCCTTTTTCCTCTCGTCGGCAATCAGGAAACAATCTTTCCTTGTCTCTCTCCAGCTTCTTCAGGGACTCTGGGTACAGAGTGTGAGGGAAGACGTCTGAATGCGAGATGACTGCTCCAGATCCGATGGCGGATGGGTGTAGCTGGCGGAGGGCGGTTTAATTGGAGATGTGGATGGCTTCTCCTGCAGAGGGAGAATGGGGATGTGCGTGGCTCCCAGTGGCTCGGCGCATCGCATAACCAGTGACCTAGAAAAGGAACACTGATCACTCCCCGGAGTTGACGACAGAGGAGACGCACTGCTAACGAATGCAAGCCACTGAAGTCTGCTGCTGATCAGAGAAAACAGAGGCATTGTGGGTAATCAGGACACGCAGAAGTGAATGTGACCCTGGCACAATGAAAGGGAAGAGAAGCAATGAGTCACTCTGGACGACTCTGTTCAAAAAGATAAAATGGCCAGAAGAAAGAAAATAGATGAGCTGAAAAACAAGAAAAGTTTGACTCAAAGTCTAGCTCGTGTCATGTGGCGGGGCACGGTATGACCTCATGGTGTGACCTCCCATAGAGACTGAGTTTTTTCTAAACTAAAAGGGGGGCTTTAACTTGAGTATATTGACATGGCTGGTTTACATTCATTAGACTCAAAATACCTCAAAAAGAAAATTTTGTGTCATAAAGACAGCATACTGACCTGAATAAGACTTCACATTCAACCTGATACACTACCTATCATTATGTAAAATACAAACACTTTTCAAACTCCACAACAGTCTGATCACTTATTGCAATGTAACACAATAGATTAACCATATGAGCGACATTAAATTTTCAAAAAGAGGACAAACTAATCTTGCTGATGAAGCCCGACTACTTAACAGGGGTTGGAAACATAAATGTGAACCATTCCTGCCCTCAAATATCATTTCAGTTTTATTTCTGAAGCGCCCCTTTGTATTTTTCCCTTCTGATAGTATACAGAGCAAACAAAGGCTCAGATACCTGCGTTGTTACAAGAACGTTTTACCCATTCTCTCTTTTATAATGAGCTGAATCAGACAGAGAAAGACAGAGACTCCCATTAGTGAAGGGGGAGAGGACTCCTGCATTTCCTCCATCAATTAGTGCCGCAGCCGAGCCGGAGGAGCTCTGCTGATTACTAAAGGAGCTGCAGCCATTCAGCCAGCCAAGAGTGCAGCCAGTCGATTCTGCAGCCTGCAAACTGTATGACTGAAAAATCAGACCAGGGCTGGTTAAAGGGATTCAAGGCTGGGAATCATGCAAACTCTGATACTCACACGGTGTTTACAGTCATGAGGTGCAGCAATGGTCAGCATGGTCATCTGCTCCTCCCAGGCAGCTCATCATCACACTAAAACATTTTTACAGCTCTTTTCTGAATGCTTTAGGTGACTCATTATCCACATAACTCAGACATCATAGCATGCATTTTTTTCTGAGGGTCAGTTTCGTTTCCACCGTGCTTTTGCCTCCAGTTGTAACCCTCTAAAAGGCTGAATGAATTTTACTCAGAGTTAGAAAAGATCTTTTGAACTTTCTTGATTTTCAATGAGTTGACTGACTATATTTCAGGCCTGTAAAGAAAAGCAGGATCACTCTGTGTGACCTGGTCTGAATGCAGAAACACATCTGCTTATCTGGACTAACATCATCCCCGTACAGTGTTTTTTTTTTTTTTTTTTTTTTTCTTCAAGATGTAAACTATTATTTCAGTGGAAAAGACTGACAGCACTTGCAGATAGAGTGAATACAGAACATTTACTATCATATTTTCCTCTGTCGGGTCACCAGAGCGATGTGGTCAGATTTGGAGTTGAAACATGATTTCCTCCTTTTATTTCAAAGACGATCTCTCCCCATCCTTTCATTTGTCTCCGGCTGACGTGCATCACAGCCTTCACATTAATCACCAGTCTGTCGCTCCTCTCTCCTTCTCCTGGTCTCAATTTATTCACATTCCTCTCTTTCCCCTTTACCGTGAATCACGCCTAATTAGGCGCTCTCTAGATCTGATTTTCATAAAAGGCTTGGGGGAAGGGGGGATCCGGTTATGACAATTATTTTTCATATATGGAACAGGGACAAAGGATAAATGGTTATTAGTATGCTGCACCTTAAAGAAAATCACCAAAAGATTTCACTCTGGTTCTGAAATTACAAACAAACGCTCCTGTTTCTGTGGGACACTGTTAAGAAAGAACAGAAAACAGGCGTAGCCACGTTATTTTATTGTGGAGAGGCGCATTTAGGAAATAAAGAGGAGATTAGATAAGAGCAAAACTCTAAAAAACTGTATTTTCATATTTAGGAAAACATAAAAATGATATATGGATTTTTGAAATGACAGAACATGATAAATATGAACGTATTAGACGAGCACTGAGATGCATAGCTGCATGTGTCTCCATGTAGAACTGATTGAGTCTGCAGCTGGCTCGCCTCAGCTACGGTCCTCTGCAGTGGGCTTCTTTTGTTCCAATTAGATGCTACCATGGCTGCAAGTGCATCACTCTTGAGTGGGTCCATATCATAAAAAAACAGAAATAACAGACTGATAAAAGCAGAAACAGACAGAACAATGGAGCAGCAGAGGAAAAACTTCAAGACTTCAAGCTGTCATGTTTTGTTGAAAGAATAAAGCTGTTATGCCAAAATAATAACATTACTGCATTTAATGACCGACCTGTCCCTGCTGTTGTGCTGCATGAATTAATCTTCTGGTGCAGGATGAGCAGCCACTACTATCACTTTTTTTCTCACAGCTTTACTGTCACTACAATCCAACTTAATCCTCATAATACCACCACTTTATCCAAGTAATATCAAGACTTTAATCTTGTAATACTGTGCCTTTATTCCTTTAAGACTTCATTCTCATAAAATAATTACTTAATCCCCCAAATCTGAATTCTTCCCTTTCTTAATGCGGTCCTGATTCTCTGAGATAAAACAAAAATATACAAAATTGTATACTCTGTCAAATCTACAAACCAAAAGAGCTGAATTCATGTTAGACAGTTATCATACTTGGACTGAGAAAAGAAACCAATGTTCAGCTCACACTCACACACACAGACAGAAACAGACACACTCATATATACACACATGGTCCATCTTTGAAGAAGTGAATAAATGAGTTTCTACATTATTCAGCATGTTTGTATCTGTGGTCTTATTAAGAGCAGCAGCACCTCACAGCCTGAGGGGGAATGCAGGGGGTGAGAAAACATTGGTTTATGTGGGGAGAGGATGGTGACGTCCCCTATTATATAGACAGCACTCACACACACACACACACACACACACATATTTATTAATGTACACTGATGATGTCTCCTGCCATATTGAGTGGGCTCTATTGTTTATGGCCCCCTGGACAGGGTCTCCAGATGGCAGGGTGCCTATTACTGCGGCCCCTACTGTGAGGGCCCCACTGTGTGTGTGTGTGTGTGTGTGTGTGTGTGTGTGTGTGTGTGTGTGTGTGTGTGTGTGTGTGTGTGTGTGATGCAAATACAGAAAGACATTTTCACCACTCCGTTTGTGTGTATTTCTATTTATATGTCTGCAGGGCAGGTGTGTGTGTGTGTGTGTGTGTGTGTGTGTGTGTGTGTGTGTGTGTGTGTGTGTGTGTGTGTGTGTGTGTGTGTGAGGACAGGGTTCAGGTGAGCCAAAGGCGACATACAGTGAGACACCAGTGTGACATTCCTTCAAAGGCCTCATCAGAACCTCACTTCTACAAAGGGGAGAGTGGTGTGTGTGTGTGTGTGTGTGTGTGTGTGTGTGTGTGTGTGTGTGTGTGTGTGTGTGTGTGTGTGTGTGTGTGTGTGTGTGTGTGTGTTCCTCGGGGGGATTAGCCGGGCTTCGGTCATTAGGCCTCAGCCAAATGGCCCCGAGGACACGCTGGCTGGATCTATAGCATGAAACACATACAACACTCACACAGCCGTATGGTGGGCCCAGCTCATGAATATCATTACATAGTAATGGAGAATAACTACCCAGGGATAAAGCTGCATCACACATGATGTTGTGTTGTGAAGGCAGGATGGGATTTAAGACAGAGTGCCGAGATTATAGAAAAGACTGTGTATGCTTCAGTTTTGTTTTGCCGATTCTTCCCTTTTGTCATTTTTCAAGGTCTGACACCAAAGACCCGACGACTTTAGTACTGTTGTGCTGTTTTCTCATGTCATACACAAACTTAAAAATAGAAGGTGAAAAGAGAGGATATTGTTTAGTAGAGATGTTGTTTTTTTGGGTCTCTTTTAGCTCTTATTGACGACCATCCTCCACCTCTGACCTTTATCACTGATAGAGCCCACTGATCTACATTGGGATACATTGATCAGCAGAGGAAGTGCTAGGCATCAATACCGCGATCAATCCTCACAGGTCACAGAGGTTGGCAGACACAGATTGTGTATAACAGGATTATGGCAAATTGGATTGAAGAGGATGGATGTGATTTATCTCAAACACTAAAGAAATGGCAGGAACAACAAACCGATTGAATATGAACTGTTATGACAGTTTTTATTATTTCATTAAGCTGTTGAATTCAAGGTTGTGTTTTGTCAGGGTAAGGGTGACAAAGGTAATTATGATAACAATCATGATAATAATTACATGAGTGTGGTAAGAGAGGTGATATTTTGATGTGACTATCTGTTTGTCCTCGTTCTCCGCAGCTTTAACTGAGATTTTTATGACATTTTTTTGTCATTTAGACCAACAAAAAATAAAACTTTTAAAATCTCTTAGACGATACCTACAGTACCTCAGACCACCTCCACTCTGTTCTCACATATTTTATATTTGCTGTTGCTTTTGTCTTTGTGGTTCGTTCTCTCCACTCCTCTTCTCTGTCTGTATTGTTATGTGCTTTTACATAAAAATAATGTCAAAGTAGATTTGTTGGTCAGGAAACCACAAAATAAATCACAATAATGATGACATGAGTAAATCTGCATCTTTTACAGGAAAGCAAAAGATTGATTTGCTCCACATTCCCCAAAATTAAACATTTGTATATATTTTTGTGTTTATATAAAAAAAGGTCTTTGTTAGTAAATCATGAGGATAATGAGCAGATTAGATGATAAATTGCTGCTCTAGTTTTTGCAGGATGATTGTCATTGAGATTAAAAATAGTTTGCCATAATTCATTGTATTCACTTACTGTCTTTGTTGGGAATTCTTTTATATTTCACTTGATCAGTTTAATTTTTCCATTTTCTCATAGATCAGCTCCTCTCTAAATGTGCTCCTGTGATATCTTCAATAAAGTCTATTTACTGCCTGTAACTAACACACCCTGGTCTACGATCGCACTAATGTTCCTGCAGGATTTAGGTTTTGTGTTTAATGCATAAATCTGTACAAAAATGATCAGTTAGTTGTCAAACCCTTTAAACCTGCTCTGTAGCGCAGTGACACTGTCAGTGAGTAAAGTCCCACTCACAGACCTTTCTGGATCCGTAACATTTTTTTCACCTCAGTGACGTACCTGAACTGTGCAGACATTGATCACCTGTAGACCAGCTGACAGAACCTGCTGCTTTATTTTGAGACAAGCTGACATTTGAACACAATGGTGACAATAATGCTGTTCACAGATTATGGAGCAGCTGTCAGAAATGATGTGATGATATGTTTCCAAGTTGCAGCTGTGATTTCACACTGAACTCTGCAGAGCTCTTGATTGAAAAGAGGATGAAAAATAGTAAATAGTAGGAAGTAAAATAAAGGCTTTTGTTGTTATTTTTACTGATGGAGCTAAAGCATTTTATCATCCTATAAATTATATAGTGAAATAAAGTTGTGTTTCATGAGATTATTGGGACTTTATCAAAGTTTATGATCGTTTTTATCTGCAATAAGTAGGTTTACTCTCATCCATCTTTATTGTCATCAGTCTTTGCACAACATTGCTCTCCCTCCTGCTCCTCTTTTCATTTTAGGATAAATTATTTAAACAGAGTATGGATCTACAAGCTCTCAGTGTAATGCAGTTTCTCACACACATCGCCCAGAGGCGTAGGAAGGAGGTGGGTGAGACGGGTGGCCGGGCATTTTACGAAAGAGCAAGCAAGCGAGGCGAAAATGCAGCGCTCTCCAAAGGTCATCGCCACCCACCGGGTCTCCTGTGATATTTTCATTACCGAGGTAAAGAAAAAAAAAAAACACCCACTCTGCCACGCTCAGCTCTCTGTGTATGTGCACCACCTTCAGGCCTGCTGCAGTAGTCCCAGAGGCAAAACTACTACGAGTTGGGCTTGTAGATGGAGGGGAGATGGAGAGGGAGAATTTTTGTGTAAACGAAGGAAAATAGAGAAAATGCAAACAGGAGAGAAAAAAGGAGGGGAATGTGTAGGATGAAAACTGGGAATTAAAAAAAGGAGAAACTAAATCTCACTTAGGGAGGAAGAAGTGAGAGAAAACCAGAGAGAGAAAATGAGAGAAAAGGTGAGAGACTGATGAAGATGAGGCGATAAAGAAGGGAAGAGAGATCAGGAGAAAGAGGAGAAATAAGAGACTTCATTACAGGGACATGTCTGGGGCTAAAGCTGAGAATCAGATAGGCTCTGATTGTTTTCTCTTGGATACACTGTAATCTGGCTGATCTCCAAACACTGCTGTAATTGGATTCTTCTGGGGTGATCAGGAAAAAAATGTCCCATTAACTGCCGTCTTTTTTTGTCTCCAAACAACAGGACCAAGAGAAGAGAGATGATAACCTCAAAGATAGACCAAGGTTTGGACTTTAGTGTAGATCCACGATAACAAATCTCATTATTTTGTAATAATTGGGATTTACAATGGTAGATAAAACATTACATAATTTAATGCTGTAATAACATGAAGGCGGTGCATGAGTTTGCTCCTCATCAGATGAACCATATAAGCTAGGTTTTCTCTCCCATGGGTGAAAACAGGCCGACTTTGTTTTTAATGTATATGTCACCTCCCCCACTCCTCCAAGTCTACAGTCAGTCATTTCATGAGTGCAGTTTCCATTTTGATAATCCTCTGAATGAGATTTCTTTGTGAATTATGTTTCAATATATTATATTTTCTGGTGCACAATCTACTTTTATTGTGCAACATTTATTTAATGAAATACTTCTTTCTTTTCCTAGCTGGAGTTACACAAGGCTTTCTCTCTACTTCAAAAATTCATGTTGTTTGTAACTGAGGATGTCTGAATGTCGTGCTCTCTAGAGTGAGCCTTGTCAAATGCTGCTGTACTCTGCTAAATGACAACAAGAGCATTTTATAACGAAATCCTAAAATTAGGGTTGCTAGTATTATGGGAACCCCTGAGCTCCATCACCCTGTAGGTTCCTCTGGATCACTGCTGCAGACGTCCTTCTGCTTTACAGCTGCTTCATCTACAAGAGCATCAGTCTCTCCATTTCTCTCACTGTCATAAAGCTAATGTTTATAGTAGAACTTTTTCACTCTGCTTCAATTGTTCTGATTCCAACCTCCATTATTGACCTCAGCTTCATTCATATGAATGCTGTCACTGCTGTGTTATTACTATAGACCTGTTGACTTTAATGTTCCATAAATCAAACTCTGATCAGTTTGTTATCATTATCATGCTGTTCCTGGAAATACAGTTCACATACTTGTTCTATTATCTCTGTCACTGTGAGCAAACATCTGTAAGTACTGTGTTTGTTTGTTTCTGTCCATCTCTCTCTTTCTCCACCTCCCTCTCTCCAGCTCAGTCTCTAACATGACTCTGGTTCTGCTGAAGGCATTTGCCTGTTAAAGGAAGTTCTTCCTCTCCACTGTAACTTTTTAAACGAGAAAACATTTGATGTGAATTTGTGCTATATAAATAGAGATTGCATAATTAAAAAAAACAAAACATTGTCAGCGATTAAGGCTCAAGAGTTAGAGTGACTTTTTTGACCATAAACTTAAATCAAGATACTTTTAAAATTGACTAAGAATATTCACTAGTTCATTTTACTGTGTGTGAACTGTACATTGACACAGTGACTCTGTGAAACTCAGATGATGAAATGTAAAAAAGGGTGTTCTCCAGTGTCTGTCCCCTCTTGGCAGTTCAGCGCTGAGTCTTGTTGTAAGTGGTCTGGGTTTTTGTAGAGTATGAACACAATTTTTGATAAATCAATTGAAACAAAGCACCAAATGGATCCTATTTCATCATTTAAAAACCTGAATCTTGTGTCAGGGCATTGTAGGAGAGGAAAAACAACAAAAATAACCTCAGTTACAAACATATAGAATACACCCATCTGTCCAAAGAGTGACTTTGTGCTCCTGACATTTTTGATTGCATGAATATCACTGTTCCTCGGTGCATCTTACTTCATGACAGTCTCATCTCATGAATCTGAAATGGTTTATTTAAAGGATGAGGTTCTTCTGTAAAGGTAAAGTGTCAGGCATCACTTTCACCACCATACAGTATAAACACCATATATGTACAGAGCAGGGATTGTTTGCATACCCCAACACTAAAATAGATTCCTTTTTAATTATAGAAGAAGATATTGTACTTTGAACATTTCTCATTTAAGCCTGAAGCAATTACTGTCACTGAAGGTGTGTGAAATTGGTGTAAAAATGCTAAAGCTGACTGTTAATTAATTCTTCCTTTGAAATGGCATTAAAACTCCCCTGAAAATATAAATCCCTAATTACCGTGGTAAACTCGTACAGGGATTGCGAACAGGATATAAAGCAGGCCGAGCAAAACAACTTTGCTGTAACAGATTTATTTAAAAGCTTTCATCCATTTCTGCTATTTTATTCATTTCTTCCCCTCTGCCACAGGCGGGGGATCAGGCGAGAGGAGGGGAGGCGGATGCTGCAGACTGCTTTATAATTTCACTTTCCTCAACAATTCCAGCCTTTTTCTCTTTATTCTTTTTTTATTTCTTTTGACATAAATGCACCTTATCTTTCCATCTTTGTCCCCTCTTTCTTTCTCCATCATTTCCTTTGTTGTGCAGCCAATCCTTTTAGGCCGTCTCTCAGAGGTTCAAATGTACTGATGTTCCTCTGATGCCAGCTCCTGTTAGAGCTTCTTTCAGAGGAACTATTGATCCTCTGGGCCACAGCCACCTTTTTTCTTCTTGCTGTGTCTTTCTCTCTCAGCAAACAGGACTGGGGTTTTTTTCTTCACCAGTTTGACCCTTTATTGAAGTTGGCACATCTCCTGCCCCTCACTGCACGGTCACCTGTGAGCAGCCCCATGCCACACTTCCATTGAGATTCTCTGCACATCCATGCAAGTGGAGGACACCATGGCCTTGTTTATGGAAGGCCTTTATTACCCCCATTTCAACAGCTCTGATCAGTGCTAGCAACTTCATCCATCCACTCTTTACAACATCCAACATCTTGAAGAAGTTGTCCGGTTTTTGAGGTTATGTTGAAATGAAGTCAAACAAAAGTGTTGAAACTGCAGTTCCTGAAGTGTCCACTTGAGGCTGACTGCAAAAGTCAATGAGACCTCATTTACACCCATGTTATAATGCTTCATTTTACAGTAGCAAAATTTAACATATTTAGAGATGGGCTTTTCTATGAGTAGCCCATTACACTGCTGGTTAGACTTTTGTTCTGCACAAGTTCTCCAGAATTAGGGGCGTGGTGGGCTCGTCCAATAGGTGGTTGTGTTGTTGTGGGTCACCAGGATAAAGGCGCGTCTTATCGTCCTTGCCTCTTGCTAGGTCAAGCAAAAGTTAGGCCTATTTTAGTATTTTTTAAAAGCCAATTTGTTTGGAAACTTCACTTTAGGAACAGATAAGCGATGTTACCAAGGCTATGCGCATGTTTTTGAGCTCTGGCCAGCATCCACTGTCACCGAGCATTGACAGGAAGCCATTTTGGCATCATGACTGAGCGCATTAGAGTCCAAACAGCCTGAGGTTCTGCTTTTCTTCCCAGCATAATGATTTTTGTGAATCATTAAGTGTATAAATAAAGTGACAGTAGCGACAGAGCAATATTGTTCAGAATGTGGTCTGGTATTAGAGACGGAGTTTACACATTAGAGCTCAGCATAGGGCTATTCTTAATCCAGCCCACACTGGATTTTTAACCATTTTCACCTGCCCATGTGACCATCTACAACTGAGCATGTGAGCACAACACAATCGAGTGGGGAACAGAGTGGGTGGATTTGAACAGAGCGTGGAGCGGAGGTTTTTTTACTACATGCTCAGAAAGCTTAAGTGCTTCATTAGAAAACCTTATGAGCTTCAGAAAACATTCAGAGCATATATTTAAGAAAAGTCAAGGCACGACAAGCTTGTAATTTTAAACTTAACAAATTTATTAGCATCCAAAAATCCCAAATGCCCATCCCATGGCAATTTTAAATATGCATACACATATTTTTTGTAGCAGAACGTGACTCAGTCTTTGTTGAGCACTGAGCGGTGGTAGAAGGCTGAGCAGCATGATGGGACTTAGAGAGGGGAGTGATGGAGGCGGACATCCTTGGGAGCAAGGAGTGGAAATTCTCACCACTTCACTCCATGCTCTGATCTGCAAGTGACAAAAGCATAGGCTTGGTTTAGGATTTCTCTGTAGTGGTCTGTTGAATAAATAAGCTGTGAGGGAAATGTTTTGTCGTTGACTGAGAGCTCGCGCTGACCAAAGGGAGCAGGGCAGGATATTCTGATCAGTGCCTGCTGTATATTAGAACTTTTACACTTTTGTGTACACAGCTAACAGCTCTTCACTTTTATCAGTTACAACTAAGAAGTGTCTAATTCACATCACTTCCCCTCTATCCTGTGTGACAGGAACAGAGGTTATCATCTGAGGTAGCAACACCCCAAAACCAAATCCTGCTAAATCAGGAGTCCCCAACCACCAGGCCCAGGCTCTGTGGATCAATTAGTACCGCGCTGCAAAAAAAATAACAGTGATTACATTTTTTTTTCTTTTCATCCGTCCTCCCAGTATCTTATTTTGAAAGACCACCACTTTCACCATCATCTCACTTTCTCTCTTTGGCACGTCATTTTCCTGCATCAGCAACACAAGCTAGCCCTTGCAAAAATGAGCCAGAAACAGAGTTTACTGGAGAGAGAAAGGGTTAATTCTGCATTCTGGTGAGTTGATGGTAAAGTGTAATGAAAAGTGCCTAATATAAAATGTAAATACTGATTATGGTTCTTGTTATTGAAACCTCCACGCCCCTACCCAGTCCTTGGAAAAAGTTTCCTGCATGAAACTGGTCCCTGGTACAAAAAAAGGTTGGGAACCACTGGTCGAAATGACCTCCCCAAAAACAATATTATTCATGGAGGAAACTTAAGCACTACGTGTTGTTGAAATAAAGCATACTCTCTTAACATCACCCGTGTTCAGGTTGTCCTTTTTTGAAATGAGCTGAACTGCTGAAGAAAGTTGGACCCCTTAACCTCCTTTCTCTTTGACCTTTGCCCCTGCCCTCCTTGAATTTCCTCACGTATCCTCCCCCCATCATCCATTTGTTCCCCCTGCTCCCTCGCTTTCTCCACCCTCCAACCTCTCTCCCTCTCGTTTGATTGACCAACATTTCAGCAGCAGCCAAGGTTATTTGGCAGTGGCCACAGTGCACATTTGTTTTTCCCTCTGTGCCACTGAAGAAGACACTCTGCTATTCTAATGGACTCCAGGAGAGAGTCCTTTGAATTGCTTTAAAAGAGGGCCAGCAGAGTCTCTCTTTCTCTCTTTCCTCTCTCCTTCTCTGCCTTTGTGGGGGCTGACAAAGGAGTCTTTCTGTGTTTGCCATGGGACCAGATGTACCCAGGCAGTAGACAGGATGCTAACCCCTGGAAGCCCTTCTGCGTCTGCTGCTATAGGACATTAAAGCTACACTGAGCAACTTAGCATATTGGCAGCTCCAAATAGCAGTGAAGTGTGACTAAAGACCCAATGCTCGGTAAACACAGAGCATGTAAGGTGATGTCACTGAACTCAACTTCACTCGGGTGTGAAACATAGGGAGTAAAATAAGAGAATGGAAAAGGCACTAAAGTTCAGGAGCTGTCAGTGTTTGTCCAGAGTTTTGGCGCCCCCTGTGGACAGAGTGGTCTTTGCTTATTTTGTCATTTAAATGCTTAAGAAGTTTCCTCTATCAAAACATCTCATCCTCCGTCAAGCATATAACTTATTGTAAATATTTTAAACAAAAAATATCAAATCAGGGCTGTTTCCTCAGCTGCTTGGCAGACACCTATCCCCGCCTTGTGACACCTTTAGGTTAGTGATGGCGAGATGAAGCCTCATGAAGCATTGAAGCTTTCCATCCAATTACTCGCCTCCTGGGCCGAAGCTTCATGATCGTGCTTCATTTACTCTATTGCGCCATCAAGTGGACAATAAATGTAAAACAGGCAGAGTGATAAACCAAAGACACCCCGAGGCTTTGGTGCGCGAAGCTTTGAATCCAATGAATGAATGGATGTGATGCCGTGTGTTTGTGATAACATACAGAAATGATAAAGTTATTAATATGGTGTTTGTCTTTAAGACACAGTTGCAGTGTCAAAAAGGGGAAGAGGACATAAATTATCGAGAGGGTTGTAATGTGAATGTGTTACTTAGTTTGTTGTTCGTACTTTTGTTACGGAGACAACAAATAAAACATAAACATTTCATTTATATTTATTTATTTTTATTTAAAAACAACTTTTCAACAAGTCTCGAGTCTATGGATTGTGAGTGGGGCAGGACTCCATTGCGTTTCGCTGCCTGTTAAATCATCCGTCAAACCCGTGAACCGTTTCTTGAATCAGTCACGTGGTATAGCCGGGTAGCGAGGCTTCGGACGTCATCATTTTTGGCTTCACCCCTACATGAAGCAAGCCTCGATACGCGCTTCGCGGAAACGCCCCCTTCATTACTCGACACACGCTTCGAAGCCTCGGCACTGAAGGACACATCACTACTTTAGGTATGAAAAACTACATGTTATAAACAATCAGTCCTGTTTTTGTATGCTTTGGTGATCCACAAAAAAAGCATCATTACGAATGTCAGTCTATTTTATAAATATCAAAAAGCTCCTCACAGGAGCTTTAAACTTAAATTAGCCACCATAAATTTGCCATATGACTGTTTGCTGCTTCGTTACTGATCACTTACGTAAAGAGCTACAAGTCATATTTTAGTACATTAAAACTCATAAGGACTATTATAAATAGATGCATTAAAATGTACTTATAATGCATCACAAGAGGGGAGTTCATATGTTACCAAAAACTGCTATCAAAATAAAGGGGGTTTGTTACCAGTTGCACATTTCCAGATAGATAAAGGAGGTGAAAATGACTCTTGGTGAATGACCCCCTTTTTTCATGTCTATAAGAATACTGCGCATACACAAACAAACATAATGATACTGTTTTGGATTGCTGTCCAGACAGATACAACACTTAACAATCCAGTATTAACATTTTCCATACTGCCACTGAATGGGTATAACATACAGGGTTTTTTTTAACCCTTGTGTGCTGGAAAGCACCACGTCAGAGAAATCATCCACAATCCCCTCTCGAGGGAGCTGCTGACCTCTGCATGACTTCAATCCACCTCTGGATTGTTTTCTGTTGTGTGCATCAAGCAGCAGCAGGGATTCAGGGTGGCACTGTGAGCCGCTGTCAGGAGTCGAGCCTTTAACACTGAGCCAGATTATTCTGCATGTGGGAAGTGAGGAACAGAGTTGCTCCTAACAAGACGACATGATGGTTTCTTCAAATCTGGGGTATTGTCTTCATCTCTGCATGACTCACTTGGCAATTACAGGTGGTTTGAGTGTGTTAAAGGAACATTTTTGGCTCTGAAAACAAAAAAAAAGGCAAATTAGATGAGAGCATTTTACTTCTGTGAGCTACTCAAGTCTATAACACATGCAAAGGGAGAGAGGTTTGTGCAAAATGTTTAGGTAAAGATGTCTGATTTGTGGTACATTTAACTCCCTCGGCTCCTTCACATTGAACAAAAACTACCATGCAAGATGTTTTTTGGACAAACCTTTTATTCACTAAAAATCTTTCCACCTATCTATGTGTCTTTAGTAGGAAAGATGTAAAGCTTTAAGGCTTCTGCCCCTCAGGTAGATCACCACCCTTAAAATACTTTGATGAGTTAAGGACAGATCTTTTTGTTGACTAATCTTCTGTTTAGCTTTAAAGTGTAGATTAAATCTAATGGTGCTGTCAATAATTAAGAGAAGTCAAAATATGAAATGACAACCAGAGAATAACAGGGAAGATTGTAACATTAGTAAGTGAATCTGGTTTAAGATCATCTCACAGTGCAACCCATTAATGCATTCATAAAGGTGGTGTTTTCCAGTATTTACACATATTAATGCATTTATAGAGGTGGTGTTTTACAGTATATCCACATATTAATGCATTCATAGAGGTGGTGGTTAACAGTATTTACACCTATTAATGCATTCATAGAGGTGGTGTTTTGCTCAGAGCAGACTCCACAACAGAAACCTCAGTGTGCAATAAATCATATTATATGTATATTCTGTACCTGTGTATATAGTAAATAAGACTCATGTATATATATATATATATTTTAATCCTAAATTTCTTTATCCTTTAGTTTCTCTTTTTGTGTCTGTATTTATGCTGCTGTAATTGTGGAATTTCCCCTATTAAAGGAATATCTTATCTCACCTAGTCTTATTTCCACATATTAATGCATTCATAGAGATGATGTTTTGCTCAGAGCAGTGAAGGGCAGCTCCTGTTGCTTTCTCCTCCCGCCCCTCTTCTCTATTCAACAACAAGCTCATTAAACTGGGAGCAAACTGACATTTCACCCGAACTTCTCCCTCTCTATCTTGTTTCACATCATTAAGTGGCAGTGTCAGGCTCAAAGGTAGCCGGGCAGACTCTTTGAGAGAAATGGTTCGCCTGGTAAGCGGGCGTTTTGATGAGCTTGTCACTCCCTCACCCCAAACATGCCTCATTAGTAGTTCAGCTGAAACACCTATCTGAACCCCCTCCCCCCCATCCCCCTCTACTGTCCCGTAACACATGCACACACACACTCTCTCTCTCTCTCTCTCTCTCTCTCTTTTTGTCTCTCTTTCTCTCTTTACCTCCTTCTCCCTCTCACCCCCCTCCTGTTTTCAGCACTAATTAGCTGGCTTCTCCCTCTTCTGTGCTTCCCCAGTCACATCTCAAAGGGAGACGGATATGATTTTTCTTTAACCCAAAGGCCAACTTAATCAGCTGAATTAATGACTTTATTACCCGTTAGGCTTCAGGCCATGCAACACATTTCTCTCCAATGCCCAGCACTCCTCTCTCCGCCGCTCTCCCACTCTCTGCTTTTTACCCCCTGCAGAAATTTTTACATTTCAGAAATAGAAACAGAAAAGAGAAAGAGAGGCAGGAGATCAGGCCACGATCTGCAGAGAGATATTTGGAGAAATATAAAAATCCGATAGAGGGAAAAGTGAGAGGTGAAAAGTATTTTAACGATAGCTTTAAGTCATTTGTATAAGAGCATCTGTGTGGGTGTCTCCAGGATTGAAAAATCTAAACACACTTTTTTAGATAATTACTAAATTACCAAATCTGGAGGCAAGACAAAGAAGATGTGGTTATGACGTGTTTTTCACATGATTTCTGTCATTTAATATGTTCCATTAATTTGCGCTTGTGTTGGTAAAAGTGGGAAAAAGCAACAAACACACAAACACTGTAAGCACAATAAAAATCAGTGCAGATCTTGACGTCTAAGCTCTGCTTTTTAATGGCTGAAAAACGGTAATTAGCTGGTACATCAGTGTCTGTCGCTAGATATATTACAGCTATTGAAAAACACCACTGATAAGGAGATGCGCCATTAGTCTTCTCATTTACTTGACAAACTCTAACAGAGCCCAAGGCCCATACATTGAATTAGGTTCATTTGGTGACAACAAAATAATGAGGTGGCTCTGCAGCGAGGAGACCGGCCTTGAGGAGTCTTCCTCTCATGACTGTGAGGAGAGGAAGCAGCAGCCTGATACAGCTCTGTGTTTTCTTCCACTCGAGCAACACGGGGGAAAACCAGCACTGTTAGCACTGTACTTTGGTTTGACTGGTTGATATTTTTAAATCGATTAATATCTTTGAATAAGCTCATTTCTAAATTATTTACAAAAGCCTCCATGGGCAGGTGTCCCAGTAAAAAACAACATCCTGTTAAAAACAGTGTGCAGTGTGCATCTGAGAGTTGTTGTGCGAGGCTGCATTAATGTTACTGTAAATCCATGTCTAATAAACAGATAGAAAAAGCATCCTTCACATAGACAAAAATTCACTTCTGTATTTTACTGTTGGCTAAATAATTCTGATTATCAATTTTAAAAATGGTCTGTCTGTCTGCAGCCTCTCTGAGTCTGCTGCTCTTACTGTCAGTCAGCTGGAAATGTGATTTCATAAGGAAGAAGAGAAAAACCTTTTTTATACAATCATCATGTTGAGGCTAAGCTGTGTACTAAATGTAATCCAGCACATTGATAGAAAGAATTTACCTGCTATAGCACCTTTAATTGTTAATGTAGCCATACCTCTGTGCAATTTCACATGCATGGCTGCAAACTCTTAGCTGCTATTGATCTCTAGTTTGGCCTGGTGGGTACTCTGTTGCTTCATATACAGAGACTATCATCACTGCAGTCACTGGTTCATCTACCAGCCATGACTCTGCTGCATATGTGCCTCTACCCTCCACTCTGCACAGCTCCTGTTACGGTCAGCTGTCCTTCCAACAAAGGCAATGATGCAGAAAAAATATGAACAATATTAAATAGTCAAAATTCAACATGAATGTGCTTGCTTTGGTGTGTGAGATCTGAAACACCAGCCTTTTTTTCTTCCATTACTGTGCTGCAGGTTTGCTCTTTGAATAAACCAACCAATGTCTGACTATACGCTGATTGTGAATGTTGTATCCTCTGATGAGACCGTGCAAATACTGCACAGCCTGATTTTAATTTTGATTGAAACATTTTTTTAATCATTGCTAACCAGAAGGCTGAAATTTGAGTTCATTTCCAGGTGTCTCAGCTATTCTTCTCAATTATAAACATATCACAGGTTTATCTCCTGGCTGAAATTATGACTTTATAAGTCCTTTTTTGACTTTGAGGCATAATATCAAAACACACCAAAGTCATACGCTAAAGATGGCTGCAAGCTACAATATACATTTCCAATCAACACCATTATAACAAATGATGTCGCAGTTATTGGTAATTCCTGTGAACTGCAGGTGAATTATCAACAGATGGGAAACACTCATTAGCAGCTTGTGTCACCTCAGTGGAGGAGGATGATCTGATGTGTGAAAACCAGGGAGTATAAATGTAATGTAATTTCCTCCTGCAGATTCATTCCAATTATATCTAGTTTATTAGCATCACTAATTACCAAAATACAGACTCAAAATCCTTTCACAGAATTCATTCACAGTTTTGTTTGGGCTCAAAATTTTACCCGACCAGCAGGTACAAAGGTGGCACTTCTACACACCTCAACAGCGATTACAGAAATGTTTAATTTCAGATTCTCACCTGGTACTAACACATCATGTCAGCAGCAGCAGCGTCAAGACGTGAGGTGTGACTGATATTTTGTTTCACTCAGTTTAGCTAGAAAGCAGCAGCCTGTCTCTGACCCCACAGGACCTATTAATCTATTACACCTGAGTGCAAGAGTTTAATATGGGCTGAAAACATACCTGAGTTCCCAGCACCAAACTCTTCCTCTGCTGCACACTCTTGCAGTGGTACACAGTAATGAGGCGCGCATGCATGTGTGTGACATTCAGAAAAAAGGAGGAATTATTCATTAGCTCTCTGTTTCAGCCTCCCTCCTGATCCTCCTGTTCAACAACTCTGGGGCAAATGCAGAATTGCAAATGAGCTTGTGGAAATCAAATTAATTGGCCATCCTCACAGGCTTCTTGTCAAAGTTTGGGCTGATGTGTCAACGATTCCCCCACAACTCCAAAGAGCTCTGCAGTGTACGGCACAGAGCGCAGGAAACAAAGACTCGATAAAAACCACTCTGCCCCTCTGTGTGCTAATTAATACAGCACTTCAATCAGGCTGAAACTTTAGAGCTGCTTTAACCAACAGCACAATAACTTATCCAAACAGACAGCTGTCATTTTGCCCTCTCTGCAGTTTAACAGTCAGTCACATTCCAGTCAAAACTCAGTGTCCTGCCTTTGGGTTTCCAGCTGCTCTCAGACCACAACAATGGCTTTAATGTGGCACACAAAGAAGAATACCATCCAGCTTTTAGAGCATGAATAAAATCATTTCATTTTGTTTTCCCAGGAGCTGAGGGCCTTGTCTATGATCGTTGTGACTGCAAATCTCATACATAATCACTGATTTATCTCACTCTACATGAGGTGGACCTTTAAAAGGTCTTCCAATTGCAGGAGTTCACCTCTGCTGCAATGAAACAATCAGGCCTGAGTGAAACCAAGAGTGCTTGATGCGTCCTGTGACCCAACATTTATGTTAGCACTCCATCTAGTGTTGAGATATGACATTACAAATCCATTTACTGCTATGTTGGACCATTCCCGTCAGCTTTAACAGCTTTGACTTGTTAATTTCTTGATGGTAGTTTGATAACGAGCTGCAACACTTTAAATCACATCTTCAACAATTAAAAAAAAATAATAATAATAAAATAATTGTTAAAAGTTTGCAAATACAAACATCATACCTCTTAACAGTAGCTACTGGGTAACTCTATAGAAACCCTTCAGAAATAACCCACTATGTATAAACACGTTCATAAAGCCTCATAAATGCACTTACAAAGACTTTGAATAATACAGGAATGTTTATTGAGTGTTATATAAGCAGCCAGCGTAATGCGTTATGCAAAACCTGATGCAAAACTAACCACAGCATCTTTGAAAAATTCTGATCAGTTTTTTACTTGATTAGTTGTAGAAAATCTCGGGATATCCAGTGGCTGTTTTCACTTATGCATTCGACCAGGTTACTGATTGGACTGAGGTTTTCAGGTAGAAGTGAAACGCCTAACTGTGTGTCATCAGCAGGTAGAAGATGTTGTAATTCTGTATGATGGAACTACGAGGGAGCGAGTAAAAAACAAATAAAGGTGGACCAAGCGCTTAACCTTGTGGCACCCCAGTGAAAGCATAAGGGTTTTGATGTACAGTTGCCAAGTGACACAGAGAATTATCTGATTTAAAAGTACAACTGTAAGATAAGATAAATAAGTAAAAAAAACCTTGAGAAAGCGACAAATAAATAAGAAAGAGACAGACAAATAATGTTATTTAATTATTTGCCTCTTTCTCTCTCTTTTGTACTTTTTTTTTGTCTTGTATTTTGTTTTCTATTCAGGATCTTTTTGTTTTCCTTTAATTTTTGCTGACATCTGTCAGCCTTGCACTGGGTGTGATATCTCACTTATGCCTCATTGGTCATTTTACTTTTATGTATTCTCATACTTCAATGAGGTCCTCTTGTCCTTGTGCCTGTTTGTTTAAATAAACCAGAAAAATTCTGAATAAGAAATTAATATAGACAATTATAAGATAAGATAAGATAAGATAAGATAAGAAGCCAGCATTGATCCCCAAATAATAATAATAATAATAATAATAATAATAATAATAATAATGATAATAATAACAAGAAGAAGAAGAAGAAGAATAGTCATTATTTTCATTATGATTATTATATGATACATTTACAAACCCCAATTCCAATGAAGTTGGGAAGATGTGGAAATCGTAAATAAAAACAGAATACAATGATTTGCAAATCCTTTTCAGCCTATATTCAATTGAATACACTAAAAAGAAAAGATATTTAATGTTCAAACTCATAAACTTTATTTCTTTTTGCAAATAATAATTAACTTTAGAATTTGACGGCTGCAACATGTGCCAAAGAAGTTGAGAAAGGTGGCAAAAAAAATACTGAGAAATTTGAGGAATGCTCATCAAACAATCACTTAGAACATCCCACAGGTGAGCAGACTGATTGGGAACAGGTGGGTGCCATGATTGGGTATAAAAGCAGCTTCCCCAAAAATTCTCAGTCATTCACAAGCAAGGATGGGGCAAGGTTCACCACTTTGTGAACAACTGTGTAAGCAAATAGTCAAACAGTTTAAGAACAACATTTCTCAAAGTACAATTGCAAGGAATTTAGGGATTTCAACATCTACAGTCCATAATATCATCAAAAGGTTCTGAGAATCTGGAGAAACGTAATCTGCACGTAAGCGGCATGGCCGGAAACGAACATTGAATGCCCGTGACCTTTGATCCTTCAGGCGGCACTGTATCAAAAACCGACATCAATGTGTAAAGGATATCACCACATGAGCTCAGGAACACTTCAGAAAACCACTGTCAGTAAATACAGTTCATCGCTACATCTGTAAGTGCAAGGTAAAACTCTACTATGCAAAGCGAAAGCCATTTATCAACAACATCCAGAAACGCTCTGGGCCCAAGCTCATCTGAGATGGACTGATGCAAAGTGGAAAAGTGTTCTGTGGTCTGACGAGTCCACATTTCAAATTGTTTTTGGAAATAGTGGACGTCGTGTCCTCCAGGCCAAAGATGGAAAGAACCATCCAGACTGTTATCGACGCAAAGTTTAAAAGCCAGCATCTGTGATGGTATGGGGGTGCATTAGTGCCCAGGACATGGGTAACTTACACATCTGTGAAGGCAACATTAATGCTAAAAGGTACATACAGATTTTGGAGCAACATATGCTGCCATCCAAGCAACGTCTTTTTCATGGACGCCCCTGCTTATTTCAGCAGGACAATGCCAAGCCATAGTCTGCAAATGTTACGACAGCGTGGTTTCATAGTAAAAGAGTGCCGGTACTCGACTGGCCTGCCTGCTGTCCAGACCTGTCTCCCACTGAAAATGTGTGGCGCATTATGAAGCATAAAATATGACAATGGAGACTGTTGAACAACTGAAGCTGTACATCAAGCAAGAATGGGAAAGAATTCCACCTTCAAAGCTTCAACAATTAGTCTCCTCAGTTCCAAAATGTTCATTGAGTGTTGTTAAAAGGAAAGAAAGGTGATGTAACACAGTGGTAAACATGCCCCTGTCCCAATTACTTTGGAACATGTCGCAGCCATGAAATTCTGAGTTAATTAATATTTGAAGAAAAAAAAAATAAAGTTTATGAGTTTGAACATTAAATATCTTGTCTTTTTAGTGTATTCAATTGAATATAGGTTGAAAAGGATTTGCAAATCATTGTATTCTGTTTTTATTTACATTTATCACAATTTCCCAACTTCAATGGAATTGGGTTTTGTATAAAAACTATTAGCAGAATTTTGTGTCTGTAAGTAGTCAGACAATAATACCTCACAAGAATACAGTAGCACAAATTATAACTTTTTTTGAAATGATACGTAGATCGAGTTCTTCAGGAACTTTAAGAGCCAGGTAAAGTTGTGAAAGTTATTATATGTTAACAAACCCAAAATTTAAAGAGGATGTTTCTTCTTTTGGATTTAGGCATAATACACCATTAACCACAACTTTATGACAAGGCTTTGTGAAAAATCAAAGTCTTCTCCTTTGATCAGCTCACAATTTGACTTCTGGTTTCCTCTTATAAACTTTCCACCATTGTACTCTTTATTGCACAAGTCTTAAATCTGTCTTTTGTTGGGAGAAAAATCTATAATTTGGGATCATGAGTTAGAACAAATTGTTCCAAACAGAAAACAAAATACATCATTATTGGTCAAATTGTTTAAACTTTCCTTTATTGAGCTCTATGTCTTTTTGAGAGCAGTTGCATGTTGTTGGATTTAGTCCCAAGCAAAATAAGCTAAACTGAAGCCCCATCATCTGTGAAGGATTACTCTCAAGTGAGACTCAGAGCTTCCTGGTAGATTTACAGTGGGTTTTCTCAATAATTACATTTAACATTTCACTCTCATTTTAGGGGCCAGTTTTATAAATCAGTTTTAGGCAAAACAAACTGTTGAAAAAGCAGGAAGTAAAATTCAAAGATACTTTCATGAACTGACAGCATATTGATCAGCTGATATGATGTTTTAAAATTATGTTTGATTGTATTTTGAAATTAAAAATGATTTAGAGTTGACAGTCCTGATTTAAAATGATACATCCTATAATTTGAATTTTCCCTTTTTAACACTTATGCAGTTTGGTGGAAAATGTGTAATGAGCCCTCGAAAATACCAACAGTAAAATGATCACAGCGTGATTTATTAACAAAAATAGATATATAAATACAACTCTGTGTTTTATGTCTGTACAAATAAAGAGTTTAGATAATAAAAGCATGAGAAGCAAAGTAAACACAGCAAACATCTGTATACAGTTCACAGAGTTTATCATCTCAGAGTCTCAGTGTGGGTCTAGATGTTCTCCTGTACTGTAAAAACACAAATCTACAGACACAAAAAGACCTGAAATGACTTTGGAGGGATACAAAAACTGTCCTTGGTCACCGTCAAACATGAGCTGGTGATTTTTGGGCTCTGTTGGTCAAAGCACAGAACGGTATGTACACGCAAACATGAGCCATACTGCACAAGCATTCTCAGGGTAGACAAACACCCGAACACGGACTGCAAGCCTCACGTGGTCACCACGACAACAAACAATCTCCTCACAGAATGGAGACCTGTGTAAAATAGAGTCAAAAGAAAAAATCAGTTTTTCATTGAAATAATAAGGAGCCTTACAGCTGTGAGTTCATGAATGCTCACAGGTACATGCACGGATCAAACCATAAAGACAGAGAGGGGTGGAGGTAGCAGCATTCAATCAATCCTGGTTTTTAAATCAATCAGCATTTTTATGACTTCCTGTTCATCATTCAAGCCTGATATTAGCCGCTGCTTTGACTTCTAAAAAGTGTCAGTTTCTCCCATTCGTCCTCCATCTGTGTTTTTTGCAATCTCAGATATTGTGTCAGTCTTTTCATGATGTAGATTTCTTCAATTATGTCAAACCATTCTTCTTTAGTTGGGGTCTACTTTACCCTATTTCCATCCACAAAATCTAAAAATAATCACCGTCGACTTAAGGAAGAACCCGCTTGGCCATGCTCCACTTCTCAATAATAACACAGCCATGGGGGTGGTCAGCAGCACTCAGTAACTGGGGGTGCACATCACAGATGACCTTACCTAGCCTGTGAACACTGCATCACTGGTAAAGCAATTGATGTACTTCCTGCGGAGGATGAGAAGAGTCCACCTGCCCCCACACAGCGTGACCAGTACCCACATTTTACAGAAGCAGCATAGAGAGAATCCCGAGCCCAGTACCTAAAATACCTACATTTTTGAGTGATGGGAATTTTTGACTGAGGAGCATTGAGTTTTAACTTGAAAGTGTCTTATTGGGTGTTTTTACTGATTCGACTGGAAAACGAGAAAAACTGAAGTTTCCCACCCGCAAAACAAACTCGTCCTGATCATGCTTATAACATAAAAGCGTTAGAAAGGCACAGAGAGCCACATTGGCCTGTGCTCATGAGACTCTTTTCAAACCAATACCATCCTTAGACACTGCAGGCAACATTGTCAGTGTGGCTAATATCATTTGCAGATAGAAAAAACACCCGGTCTCTTTAGTCCGACCCTGTCTGGTTTCTAAAATGTTTGGTGCAGCAGGTAAAAATACTCAGCAACTGAAATGTTTGTTTATGTTTCTGTGATGTTTTTTGCAGCACGGAAAAATAAACACTTTATTAAATTTTTTTTTTTCAGCAAATAAAAAATAAAAAATAAATAAAAATACGTAGCAACTTCAATTTCTTTCACAGTACATAAAAAAAATGCAGTGAGTTTAATGTTTTTTACAGCATATTCAAAAATATATTGCTGTGGAAATGTTTTCTTGCAGATTTTGAAATGTTTTCATTGCAGTCATCAAATCTTTTACAGCTGCCCTTCAGAGCTATCCCTGTCCAGAGTCTAATATTAACTCTGTTCGGATGTAAAGAGTAACAGTTAGATTTTTCTTCAGACATAAATATCAGTCTTATTCCAAAGCCTACAGCACAGCTTCATGTATTTTTTGTTTTCATGACTTGATTTTAAATCCATGTGAAACATGTGACCTGCTGATATGTCCATGTACATTAGATAGCTGGACAGACATGGAGGAGTCATTTGTGGCAACATTTTACTGTGCCACCATCAGGGAAGGCCTGAACTAAAATTACTGATTGCACATAGCCTTAAATACTTATTTATTTGTTAATTTGATGAATAGATCTTATAGTGCATGAAAACAAAATACCTTTATCTTAAATTTATAATCTTAAGATCATCACAAAAAGATTCTACTGACATATCTACATTCTGGGAAGTGTGTTTGTTTTTAAACTAAGGGCTTAGTTGGGTCATGAATGGCCTTCCATAGAAACTGATGAAAATAATATTTTTGTGATATTCTCATTTGTCCAGATGTACCTGTATGCTGATCAAAACATTTGTCTCTCTCAAAATCTACAGACCCCAAGACAGGTGGGTAGTTGTACCCTGATTTTGATTCACTGCAGTTTGTACTAGCTTATCGTTTAACACATGATAAATAATGTATTCAAGGTCCCTCAAAAAAAAACAAAAGACAGTTTCCTGCTTTCTTACCACTGCCCATCGTCTCACCTGAGGCAGGTGGCAAACACTCTGCGTGCGTTGCGATGCAGGAAATGAATGGGGAAGCCTTTGAAGGTGTGTCCATCAGGTACCGCCCTCCTCACTGCATCCTGGAACTCCTCGTTGCCACAGGAGACGCCAGTGCAGCGCTCCAACTCGTAGGCTGACAGCGCAGAGGACAGCAGGTAGGACAGGTGGTCGTCCCACACTGTGGCCAGCTCCAGGTCCTCAACAACAAAGAAACCGTTCAGTCATCTCCTGTCCAAGTTTGTGAACATGTGCAACTCTTAGCAGCATCACACTGAGGTAAACCCTTAACTCTGAGGGACTAGTTTGTCTTTGTTTTAAGTGGGGTTGGAGGAAGTACTTGTCAGTGAAAGGTGTATTACCCAGAGTATACCAGCCCACTTTTTGACTTGGTTGAGAAACTGGCTGGAGAAGTGGTCTGGAAGCAAGGCTAACACCCCCTATAAACGGGGTCAACTTTTCTATGGAATTCAGCTCATTTTGAGAAGAACAATCCAAACGCCTAAAATGTCAGCCAAACCTTTTTTGGGAGTTCTGCTTTACAGTCAGGAAATTCATTTAGTTTTAGACACAGGTCTAGGGACGGGTTTGTTTATTTTTATTATCAAGACTCCTTAATGATTCGAGTCCTTTTGATACCGTCATCGAGTCTTTTATGTTATCGTTTTTCAGACTGACCAAAAACCGATTTCTCTTTTTTTTTTTGGACATTTAAACACTTCATGATAACAATCACCAATGTTGGGGTCAGACCTCTCTAAAATTAGCAACATTACTTGGTAGCTTTGACCCTGTCTACAGCTACCTGCCTGACCTCCAGTCTGGTTTTCTTGCTCATTTCTTAACAAAGGGACAAGCCGACCTACATCCCCTGAGGGTAAAACACTTACTATTGACAAATTTCTCACACAGCCCTTCTTCAAACAAACCAGATTACCCTTCAAAGGACCCATAGCAAGTCCCGCACTGTTTTACCTTCCTTTGTTCTGACACCAGAAAGCGCATCTCCAGCTCCAGCTGGTTACTGGCAGCAGCAGCATCCAGAGATGGGGCACCGAGTGAAGGCAGAGGGGGCAGAGAGGTGGTGGAGCCTGGGGCACAGACAGACTTCAGAGCCTCTGTGCTCATTGCCTTCCACCGAGACTGATTCTGTGAGGAGAGGGGAGAAAGGTGGACAGGAGTTTTAATGCTTTGATTTCGGGTAACATGATTGGACAGAAGCTTCTGACATGTGGAAGTGCAGCAAATCTCTTTTCCAAAAAACCTGGGGTGTGATCCTTGCACTGACAAACATCCAGTCACAATCCCACTGCTCTCTGCTTCAGACTACCTCTCCTCTCTGCCTGAGAACTTACAGTGTGATCAAACTCTCTCTGCACTAAGAACAATGAAGTGTAACTTTGCCACCAAACCCAGATCATCATTTTATCACCATCCGATGTGGGTCAAATTATGGCTGGGACACACCTCTCTCTCTCACCTGGAAATCGAACACACAGAGAACCACAGAGTCTGATGGCTGACAGTTTGCCAGGAAGGTGTGGTGGTTAAAGACACAGCCTACAGTCCGGTAGGGGGAGGAGGGTTTGGGCTGGGGGGCCAAGGGTGGGGCATCAGGGTCTATGGCCTGGTGCAGGTATCTGAAAATAAATATGAAACATTGAGACTTATTTGTGTCATTATGAACATGCTACCAAACTTGTTGAAGACTATTGCCACAGCTGTAAACAGAATACCTTTCCAATATCATATTAATCAATAAAATGCTTGTTCCATGCTTTGATAAATGGATTTATGAGAAAAAAAGTGAGTTTGTGTTGTAAAATTAAAGAAAGGTTAAAAAAAAAATAGAAAATTGAACAAAAATGATTTATCTTCATCATCTGGGAACTGGATCATCACCAAAGTGCAATCAACTGTTCCCTGGCCATGGCAACAACATTTCATGGAAATGCTTTCAGGGGATTTCTAAATACACAGCTGTGAAAAACTCAAAGTTTTACAAAAATAAAAGACAAATGCAGTGCATCTCAACTCTGAGAAACTTGAAGGGTTTAATACCAGAGAAGTCATTTGAAAATATGACAACCTTTATTTAAATACTCTCTCTGTTAAAATGAAAACAGATCTTTAAAAATCTGTGCCGCAGTCCTGCAGCCAAACTCATAATGAAAAGGTCTGGGGGGAGCAGGTGGATGAAATCACTAAAAAAGGATCTGACCTGTGTGCTGTCAGACTTTCCCAGAAAGTGATGCTCCCATCAGTTCCACGGGTCAAGACCCAGGTGTGAGGAGTGCCTTTGTGTTTAGTTCCCACGCACACATATGCATCTAGACCAAAGCCCAGCAGGAGACTGCACAGCAGGGTGGCGTGGTCCTCACAGTCCCCCTGGAGAGGATTGACAGAGATGAGTTCAAGCTCTTCAGGATATATGAAAGATTAAACCTACATCACAATCATCATGTTGTGTTTAGTTTTATTCATGTAATAAAGTTGTATTTGAACAAAAAACCCTGTTTGACTTCAATAAACGGATTGTTCTCTTCATTTACATCACCTCCTAAAAGCAAAGATGCTAAACTGGACGGTCCAGATCATCCACTCATGAATTTGACCTTTGACTAACTATGCATGTGCATGTATAGATGTGCATGTGTATGAGAGTATATATATATATACATATATAAATCTATATGTATATGTATATGTATATGTATATATATATATATATATATATATATATATATATATATATATATGTATATGTATATGTATATGTATATATATATATATATATATATACACATATATATACATATATAAATATATATATATATATACACACACACACACATATACATATATATATATGTATATATATATACACACACACACACACACACACACACACACACACACACACACACACACACACACATATATATATATATATATTAATACATAGACACAGTAGGAATGAGTGTTATATACATACATACACATAAATATACAGTCATGTGAAAACAATTAGGACACCCTGTGAAAACATGACAAATTTAACTATATTGATATCTAATATCTATTTTAACATTAATTAGAAATTCAAGTAATATAAGTAAACAGGTAAAACTGAAGAAAACATTGTCAAAACCTTCTTTAAACGTAATAAAATAAAACTGCAATTTCTGTTGAGGAATAAATTAGGACACCCCCACATTTTTTCCCTCTTAAATTGGCTGAAATCACACACAGGTGTATCACATCAGGATCACACGATTACAACATTGTCACGCAGCATTTTAAAGGAGACTTTCCCTATTTAAACCTCAGTCACTCAGTTTGGCGTACTTTGGCAGCGTTTGAGTCTGGTAAGGGATTTGAAAAGAGCTCAAAATATTTTGAAATCAGCCATTCCACTGTCCGGAAAATAGTGTACAGGTGGAGGACATTCAAAACAACTGCCAACATGTCCAGGTCTGGCCATCCAAGCAAGTTCACCCCAAAAAGCAGACTGCAAGATGCTTAAAGAAGTCTCCAAAAACCCCAGAATCTCATCACAGGACCTAGAGCAGGCACTGGCAACTGCTGATGTGAAAGTACATGCCTCTACAATCAGAGAGAGACTGAACAAACTTTCACAGGAGGTGTGCAAGGAGGAAGCCTTTGTGTTCTAAGAAGAGCATTAAGGCCATAGTTTGCCAGAGAGAACATGGACAAAGAACAGGACTTCTGGACTAATGTTCTTTGGACAGATGAGAGTAAAATTTAATTACTTGGACACCAGAGCAGAGGACATGTTTGGAGCACAAAAAATACTCCGTTCCAGGAAAAGAACCTCGTACCAACTGTGTAGCATGGAGGTGAAAGTGTCATGATTCGAGGATGCTATGCTGCAACAGGACCTGGCCAGCTCACCATCATCGACTCTACCATGAATTCTACCTGGTATCAGAGGATACGTGAAGACCATGTGAGACCATCAATAATTAAATTGAAACTGAAGCAGAAGTGGACCCTGCAACATAGCTATGACCCTAAACATACCAGCAAATCCACCAAGGACGGACTGAAAACTAAGGATTGGAGAGTCCTGGAATGGCCCATGGTTCCAGTTGTGCATATTCTTATTTGTATTTTTGTACTGTGGGCTGGAAAGAAATGTCCTTTTCACTTCCTGTGTCTGTACTCACATGGCAGAAATTGACAATTTGACAAAAGTCACCTGTGAGGAAGACTAGAAGACTCCAGGGCTTATTTATCTTTCAGCCTTGAGGTCACCCATGCTACACTGCATCTTCATGTTGAACTTACTTGGTTGATAATTTCCATTTCAGTTTGAGCACTGGCTTTTTGTTTTGTTCAATACTTTGTTATAGACTGTATACAAAAAAATTTTTGCATCCTATTTTAAGGCTTTTTAAATTTTTGCTGTGTTGTTTGTGTTCTCTGTGAACTCCTAGTCCTCCTGTGGGACAGTAAACATAATGTGAATCAGATGTCACTGGCTCTGTTAACCCCATCTTCTCCAAAGAGCCACCAACAATCTTTTCAAATTCATCAGATGTAAACAAAGCTTTCAAAAGCCAAATAAACAACTTCACATCGATTCACAGCGATTCACATCGCCAAGTGATACAACTATATTTAATTTCACAACTCTTTTAAAACCATAATCACTTTCCCTGAGCTCTATCATCCTGTAGGTTCCTCTGGATCACTGCTGCAGACGTCCTTCTGCTGAGGACCTGTCTGCTTTACAGCTGCTTCAACTACAAGAGCATCAGTCTCTCCATTTTTCCCACTGTCATAAAGTTATTGTTCATAGTAGAACTTTTTCAATCTGCTTCAATTGTTCTAATTCCAACCTCCATTATTGACCTCAGCTTCATTCATATGAATGCTGTCACTGCTGTGTTATTACTATAGACCTGTTGACTTTAATGTTCCACAAATCAAACTCTGATCAGTTTGTTATCATTATCATGCTGTTCCTGGAAATACAGTTCACATACTTGTTCTATTATCTCTGTCACTGTGAGCAAACATCTGAAGGTACTGTTGTTGTTTGTCTCTGTCTATCACTGTCTTTCTTCATCTGTCTCGATCACTCTCTCCTCTGTCCATCTCTTTCTTTCTCCACCTGTCCTTATCCTCTCCAATGATATTGGGTTTGTATTGAAGATTTTAACTTGATTGTAGGAAAGTTTCAACTTCTATCTGGTAAATTTTATATATTGCATAACTCTCTGCAAAGAGGTTATTTATGACGAGTTTAACCATGACTTCTATTTCGACAGATTAGAAACGTTTAAACTTGTCTATTTTTGAATCCTGTTGCTTTTTAATTTATCCTGTCACTCCAACACTCTGTTTAAACAGGCCTACAATATCCTGTTCTCAATGCTCTGTTAGCTTTTCTCAGAAGAGTTGTACACACAAAAGAAAAGCCCGCCAGAGAGGAAATAAGCTCTGAAGTCATCAAATTGTCCGTGACAGTAAGCAACTCTTATTTCACTTGTACCACTTTTCCAGTAAAGAGGCCCGAGTTGAGCAGGGACTGGTGCTGCTGCCACGTGCTGGCTCGAGCTTCAGGCAAGTCAGAATGATAGATGTTCCCCAGAAGTGCTAATATGGACGGCAGTATCAAAACAGGCTGGGGACTGATGAGGCTAAATTAATTTTCCCCGGAATGAAACTCATAAATCACTGCTGACAAGGGCCACTTTGTGAGAGCTGTGTTGTGTCTGTCTTGCCAGCCCCTCACAGAGGAGAAGCAGGGAACATTTATCCTGGTGGTCTGGGAAATTCCCTTCTATCTGGTCGAGTGATGAGAACATATCTGTTAGCTGACTCTGTGCAAATCCTGCTCTCTTAGAAATGGAGTGACTAAACCAAACCAAGCCGATGTGATGCTGCTGTCTTACTGAGGGGAATAAACTGAACTCATTTGTTTTAGAAACTCAAAACACACATTTCAGTCAGAGAGGCTAGTCTGAGCTCCTGAGAGGAGACATGCTTTTCTGACACATGGTGCATTTTACCACATGTCCAAATGCCTTTACATAATGCTTAATGGTAAAGATGATTCAGTCACTCTATATGAATTTTTGCATTGAGGTATAACACAGTAAAATATGTATTGTCACTTAGAATGATTGTTATACTGTAAAGCCTCATTGATGCATTTATGAGTCTTGATGGTGTGACTTAATTTCTATGCAGAAAACGCAAATCAATGATGATTGGTTAAACTTAATTGTGTTTCAGGTGTTCTGTTGCAATTGAGCCCACTGTTTTTAGCCTATATATCATCACCGAGAGGTAAACAAGCAACTAGAATCAAAGACTTTTATTCATAAGTTGTATTGTAAACGTACAATACTAACTTTATATCAGCAGTTTTTCTGTTTGCTGAAATATGCATCCACCTGTTAATTAGATATTAAGACAATACCAAGTCATATTTTATGTAAATATTACACCAGGGAAGGCCAGCTTCACGCAGGTCAACATGGATCCTGTATGTTTTGGGCTTAAGGCTCTGGACTGATAGTTGAGATCAGGATAGTAGCATCCTCAAAACCCTAAAAGCAGAGAGTTATGTTTACAGTCTGTTGAAAAAATAACGAGGAGCCTTTTTGATACAATTATTCAAATAGAAACAGTTAAAAGAGGGTTACTTTTCTCTACTCTTACTAGAACAAAAAAAACAATATTAATAATAAGATTACAAGATGTGATACCCTATTCCTCCCCCAAATTAAGATGCTCTGTAAAATGAAATACAAACAGAAATGAATGTTATCCAACCGGCCTCTTCAGGAAGAATGCAAACAGTGAACAAATTTTGAAACTGATTTTGAAGGATGTGTTTTAAAAAACAGTTGAGACAGTTGGGATGTTCACTATCGTGGCACATCACCTCTTTTTCTAAAACACTCTAAGAAGTCTATGAAGTTTTGAAAGTGAAGTGTAGCTGCTCAAGAGTTCAGGGTCTGCACTGTCATATTTTTGTGAATTGGTGAGCCAAATGTCTTGAATGAGCAGGCCAGTTCGACACCTGATCACTTCTACTACAGAGCCATGCTGTTGTAATATAAGCAGCATGTGGTTTGGTGTTGTCTTGCTGTGTTTTATAAGGTACAGTCTGGATTACAAAACCAGCTGTATTATTCAAAATCAATACTGCCCACCAAAATATGTCAGATTATATCTGTGCAGTGTACAATTATGCATCCCCACACCATCACAGAAGCTGACTTGTAAACCATTTTTCTTCTGTGTTTACATGAGACTTCTTTTTGTGTTAAGTTTTCTTCAGGAAAGCCTAAAAAAGTGTCCAAACAACAGACACAGACCTTTTCTCTAGTCTGCTCTATGTTGCTTTTATGTCACAGACACAGTCACATGACCACACACTCTTTACTGTGGAAGTAAATGAAAATACAGTGGGGAGAGCCTTAACAAAAATTGAGGATAAAAAATAAATGGATAAGAGTATGTCAGCTGGAGGCTCTGAATGTCTGTTTCGGCTCATTTGGGATCAATTGCCCTGCCCTGTGCGGATGCATATTTTGTTTTGTTTGAGTAGAGGAGGATGAATGAGCACACAATGTCACAGGAGTTCTGGTTTGACCAGCTATAATTTTGCCATTGTCTCTGTCTTTGGCTGTAAGACTCCAGCAGTAAAGTAAGTGCACTGTCATCTGAAAAATGAGTCAATCTCTAGAGTGGCTGCCAAGAAGTCAGCCAGTTCTCCTTACCTTCCCTCTACACAGGAAAGCCATTAATGTACACCACTGCTCCTGCTTGTCTCCTCCCCCCACCACTGGGGCCCTCTCATGGGCCAGCAGGCTGACAAAGCGGGCTGCCTGTCGAGGGCTCTCCAGCAGCCGACCTGCCCGGAGAACCCGCACATAGGAACACACCGGCCTGTTGATGCCGTTCTCATCCTGCAGGGAGGGACACCCAGACAACACTGTTGGTCTCTGTGGCATCAGTTCAGGATCTCATATCAACACACATGTAAAAGTGGACAAACCTGTGCAAAGATCTTAACCAGTTTGGACTGGTGTGAAGGACGTATCTCCAGAAACTCTCTCCACCACTGCTTAGCATAAACCAAAAAAAGCCTTTCCCTCTCTGCAGTCCTCTGCCTCTCCAGTGATTGCTGAATGGGAAATACACAGTGATGTCAGAGAGTGAATGTATAGAGCTTAGATGTTTCTGTTATCAGTGCTGTGTTAGGATCAACACTGATTGACTCTAAACAGCATTAATGGAATTCTGCTGTAATGATTCACTGTTAGCTAAAGGCCTTCCTCATTCATTTCTAATGAAGCAGATGAATAAACAGAGGGATGAACAGGCTGAGGAATAAAAGACTTCAGTGTTGACCTGTGTGCTGATGATGTCACTGCTCAGAGCCTCAGTGAGAGGAGGGTAGAGCTCCAGACTGACAGTCAAAACACCAGCTGGAACTTTGCATTCACTCCCTGGTTAAAGACAGACAGACAGACAGACAGACAGACAGGCAGGCAGGCAGGCAGGCAGACAGACAGACGAAGTAAGAGGTTAACTGCAGGTGTTTTTAAAAAAGTGTATTGAAGCATATTCTTGTATTGTACTATTTCACAGAATGAATTATTTGTGATATCAGATCAGTAACATGTTTACCATACGCTTTCAGTTGTTCTGCTTGGATGATAAAAACTCAACTTATGTTCAAGGAATGGAAGTCTTTCCTGTCAGATAGTCATTGTTCCGTTTAAAGAAAGGGGAACCATCCTTTAAATGACATTCAGTGCTGAAATAGTTTTCAGAGTGATTCAATTCTCTCTAGTGGTATTTATTTGATATTTTTAATGTCAGTATGGGCTTAGCACTTGTATGAGCCTGAATCATAAATCCATAACCTTGCTTTACTCTATCAATCAGTTACTTTCATTAGTCTTCATCAGTCTGGGCAGAGGAGCCCTGTTGCTAACCTTTTCCAGCTGATGAGTCACACAGTTGCATTTCTCATTTTTATTGGTATTGAGCATGTTTCTCCAGCAGAAAGGATAAGATATTAACAATCTTATCCCAAATGGTGAACTATTTTGGGTATCCCGCTCATTCTTAATGCTGTATCAGCTAAGGGTCTACATCAGTAGTTCCCATCCTCTTTTCAACAGACCTCCCTCTTGTTGTGTCATTGAAAGCAGAGCCCAGCCCAACAATCACCATTCAAATCACAATTACTTACCAACTCCCATCAGCTCCACAGCAATGCAAGTCTTCCCACTAAGTGAGCAAAGGACGCTCCTCCAGTCCAGGAAGTAGGATGAGACCAGTGTTGTCTCACTGGAGGTGTCTGTCTTGATAAGTACAAAGTGAACCGGGTCACACATAGACAGCATGGTAGTTGAATCAGCCATAGTACTGCCTTTTCCTGTAGAGTAAAGAGCGTTGTAATTATAAAATGACAAACTAAGAAGCAGACTTAAAGCAATTTTGACTGACTGGCAACAGCTGCACTCATTTTCACATACATACCTACACCCTCTTTGTAGATCTCTAGGAAGAAGCCTTCTTTTAGATCTGGCTCACAGGCACAGGGCACTGGCTTTGAGCGAAACCTCTGGTTGCGGAAGTGCAGGTAGAGTGTAAATGTAGAGCACACCTGCCCAGGTAAAGGCTCTGGCTCCTGGAGATGCTCCAGAAAGGCCTTGCCACCTAGTACTTGGAGGTAGAGGTACCGCCTTGATGGGTCAATGTTAGCTGAAAGGATAAAATTGCATCTTCACAGATTGAATCCTCAAGGGACTTTATACTGACAGACAATCAGCCATACTTTTAGTGTAAACACCGTAACTCACTTTTTCCCAACGAAGTAACATTCTTGTTAGCAGCAGGTCTTGGCGGGGATCCTTGTTCTGTTTCTGTTTGTCTGTCAGTGCTGTGGAAGGGAAGGTTCTTCATCACATCCTCAATGATGCCCCTTCGCTGTAACGCGTTGAGGAAATCCACCTCAGTCAGAGGTTGGTACGCTGGACCCTGGTCACTCTTCACGGTCTCAGCCAGCACCTCTCGGATTTTCCCGTGGATATCCATCTGACAACCAGAAAAGAGTAGGAGCTCAACATATCTGAATATCTCCATACTTCACAAAACACACCTCATGTGACTTCACTGTGTTATCAGGAATACTTGAGATTTAATAACAAACAGGAGCTGAAGATTTGATGAGTCTTATCCTTGAAGAAAGGTAACCACAAATCACTTTATCTGAAAGACTAGCCTTAATAATGATAATAATAATTCAACATAATAATAGTCTTATTTTTAGGCAAGGATTAATCACAATTTTAACACAGATCCTGCCTGTGCACACTAGTATTCATCAGACATTAACTTCTTTGCGAAACAAATAAGCTTTAAGTTATAAAAACTGCTTTTATGATGTTATTTTAATCTTACTCATGTGTCATATTGTTACTGAATTGAAACCTTCAACTCTGAGTGTGCATCAAAAGCAAAGTGATATTCACATCACACTTTGTCACTTTTGTAATGAACACATCCAGAGAGGGCATGTAGCATATCACTATCTCTAACCATTAAGATATGCCTGATGCAATGGGATCGCCACAGATCCATGAGAGAATAAATGAGGACAAGAGAGCAAAACCTGTTGAATGATTTAGCTCTGTCTTCCTGGATATTTTAACCAGACAAAAACCTCTGGATCAAGAGCTTATAAGGAATGCGCAAACTGTAAGTTCAAACAAGGGGTCTCAGGTTGGGTCAAAGGGGGTACAGGTTTACAGGTCTAATCCCCCCCTTTACCAATTTATGTACTTGATATTGATACTGCTGCATCTGTCAGCTGTGTGCATTTATGAATAACAGGCTATACTACACTCTGCCTGTAAAATGATCTGTGACGTGTCTTTTAAAGCTAAATCAATCTGCTCTCAGGTAAGTAGCTGCTGTGTCCCATTTAAGTTAACTTTTGAGTTTAAGAACTTACCAAGGTTTATTTTTAGGGTGAGGTAGGTGCCCCTTATTGTCTCTGTGCCCACCAACACCATGAGTTTTTAACGTCATTGGTAAGAAGGGTCGACAATGATAAAGGTAAAAATAAATATCTGAGTGTAAGTATTTATCCCTTAGTGTGTATCCTGAAGGTGTTTTCACCTTTTGAGGGGCTGTAAAAACATCAAAACAAAACCAGTACCTCGACAGGACTTCAACTGTACTGGAAGACTGAACACTTCACTGGTGTAAACGGCGAATGATCAAGCAAAAAGTCGTTCTTGTATGTTAGGTGGTGAACAGGTTTATCAGTGTGCATGCATTTGAAGAACAGAGCTCATAAATGACATTTCTTCAAAACTATAAACATGTATCTAATAAAACCTTCAGTGGGTTTCTCACCCTGTGCAGATGGTCGTGAATGATCTGCTTCAGCTCGGTAACCTTCTCTGGAGGCAGAGCCATCACAGTAGGTAGTTCTTCTGTTGGATAACCAGCAGCTACGGTAATAACAAGGTGCTACCAGGGCAGACTTAAAACTGTGGTTTTCTTTTGGAGCAGCACTTGTAAACATTTGACTGACAGCGTAGAAATGACCACAACTGTTAGTTTAAACTGTGGCGGAAAAGGAAGCGGGAACTTGCCTCCAGTGATGCCCGATGACACTGTCTGCTCCGATTTACAATAGTAAAAAAATCCTTTCCAAAGATCAAGATTTGACCATAAATTGCAATATTATGGTCATGTTAATCTTTAATAAAGTAGTTTTTTAATCCTGATATAATTTCTGAAGATGAACATTTTAGATTTATAATCAGGACGTTTTATCATTTGCCCTCTGACGTCATGAAGTACGACTTCCGTTAACGGACCATTTTGTAGTCCAAAATGTAGTTCTTTTCCGCGAGTGCAGTTCTCACACTTGAATCCAAGACAAACACAAGACTATGGGCTGAGATTTGTGCCACTGGAAACTGAAATTAAATAATTATATTGAATTACAAAAGCGGGATTTGAAATTGAAATAAATGTTTTGAACCTGAATCTGTCTGCTTTGAAATTGTATTTAAACTAAATAAAAATTCAACTCTCTCTTTTTCTTATATCAAAAAACAATCTATTCAGCTCGGAAAATTCAGATCCAGTTTTACAATTTAATTTAAATACAGAGTGGCGCGGCCATTACGTCATCCAAATCCGTGAGGACGAGTAATCGAGCATGGATTTACACAGCCTCTGTGGACGTCTGCTAAAACTCCGTTACTCCTTATCAACCGACTGTAATTAGTGGCCAGGTTTGTGAATGAGCATCGAAAGCAGCTGTAGGCCTACTAAGCTCAAACACCTCACTCTGCCTGGTTTTACAATCCTCGCTTCTATTTCCACCATTTGCCCTACTATTTATACAGGGGCATAGCACCAAATTCTGGGCCCTGTAGTGTACACCCTCAAAGTCAGGGGCCCCTATCCATGCCAGTGCACGAGGCGCTTGAGCAAAAAAACAACAACTGGATTTTCATGGGCCCCTCTCCCTACTCGGGCCGTGGATAGTCAGATCCACTTTTCCCCCCTACTTCCACACCCATGTATTTATAAAGCACTCTATACAAAGATAATGCAATGCAAAACGCTGTACATAAAAAAGGAAATCAATATAGACACCCTCCATTAACACACTTTTCAAATCATAAATGTAGCTAAATAAAAGCTGTAAAAAGTAATAGCAACTGTTATTATTGGTGGAATAATTATAATAAATTCAAACGGAATAAAAGAACTGAGAAAACTAAGAGAACACCATCACAAGGGCTCAATGAGGAAACACATTAGAAAAGAATAAGAATAACTTTATTGATCCTGAAGGGAAATTCAATTGTATGTCATCTCATTAGTCATATGTACTGAAAAATCATTAAATGTTTAAAATGTATTTATTTAATAATTTTGTTTATCAAAAAGCAAGGAAAATCTGACAAATGCTAACACACCTTCCACAGTACTATTGCAGCTGCATGGCTGCAGCATGGTCCTGGTCCTGCAGTAAGCTACATGAGCAGCCAGCTGTGTGTATTTTACCTAGGACTGACCCTCAGACCTTGGCATGGTGATGTGGGACCATAGTGTGGGACATTGAGGCTCTGACCTGGCTCATGTCCAACTTGACTGTTTCATGTCTGTTTCATCTTTTGAACAGTGACAGTGTGACAATCCACCCTCCACATGAGCTTTTCCATCTTTGGTTATAAAGCAAGAAAGCAAAATTCATTATATGAGTGCAGCTCACATTAAGATGTCCCAGAAAAGTTCATTTTTCCCCCATCAAGATTTAGACAATAAGTCTTGAAGGATTTCACTTTGTGTGTGATGAATGTAGAGTTTAGCAAAGTTTTACTTTTTGGATTAAATTATGGGGGTAAAAAAGGGAACCTTTTCAGGACAGTCTAATGGAGAGTGGGGTAAGTTGAGCCAAAGGGTAAGTTGAGCCACCCCCCTGTTGCTTGGAAATGGTAAAAGAAATTGATCATGTAACCAAATATTTAGGAGATGGGCATCAACTCATAGAGTCTGTGAAGGTTAGAAGCACATTGGTAAAGGGGTTAGACATTTATTTACAAAAAGAACATTTTTCACTCTTGAAAATGAATTTAGTCTGTCATAAGTTTTATTAGAATTGTGTTCAGACCAAAAAAGATCATTTTAAATTTGTTTTGTACATCAAGTGTGGTATCTATGAACTACAACATGAGGTAAAAAAAACTAGCATAAAAGTCCACCATTTTAGCTTAGAGGACTAATGATGTCATAATACTAGTTCTGGGGTAAGTTGAACCATTTGGCCAGGGATAAGTTAAGCCAGTGGCTCAACTGAGAAAGTAAACGAGTCTGATGAGAGGATCAGAGTTTTAGTTTAGTTTTTTGAAATGTCTTACTTTTTCTTCTCAAAAATGCAGCTGTGAATGTTCTGAATCACTTCAAGGCATTCTCATGTTAAAATGTGTTTTTACAAAACAACTTTTTAGCAGTTATATGCAATAATAATAAAAAGAATTATTGTACCTGTTGAATAGTGTATAATAGATAAAAATACACATAAATGTGATGAAGTGACTGTTATTAAGGGAGAGAGAAGGTGAGGGGGGGCTGGGGTAGTAGGGATACAGCTCAACTTACCCCTCTCTGTAAGTTGGCCACTTTTTTTTGGCATGCTATATTATCAGGACAGTTATGTTTTCACTCATTCTGTTGGTTTGCGGGGGTGCACAACATCTTGAAATATATGCAGATTCACCAGTTAGAGACAAAATTATGATTGCCTTGATGTAGTGATCCAAAATATAAAAAGTCCCATCTTACCCCACTCTCCCCTACTTGTAGATCCCACGAATAACTCTGTTCAGATTCAATAAGGGGAAGAGCTTCACTGTCTTTTTTTGATCTGTTGAAACACACCAAGTCTTCCTTAAACATGTTTCTTCCCTACATCTTTGAGAGTGCTGCTCAGACTGTAAATACAGTACTCTGTCCTCCATAACCGCCAATGCCATCCAACTGACAAGAGAAAATGAAATTAGTGAAGCAGTCAATATGAGCAAGGCCTCTTCTTGAAACATTGAATCAATTCCTGGAATCTACGGTTAGAGGCCTACAGTCTGGCTGCATTGATTTAGCTCCTGGTCAGAATGAAATTATGACTACAACACAGTTGTGCAGGGATGGGGAGAGCTGACAAAGGACCCTGTGAAGCTATAGATCTAAAGAGAAAAAAACGAGGAGAACAGGGTTTGGTTAAAAAAAAAAGATGAATGCTTTATTTTAAGAATTATTTTGTGTTTTGTTCTCTTTTTTTTTTTTTCAAAACACCATCTGTCATGTTTGCACTGCAGCTCAGCAGTGTACAAAACTCCCCTGAAATCTTATGTGAAAAACAAGAATGAATGGAATGTAACGTTCAAATGTATTTCTCTGGTTTAAATAAGATCCAAGTAAAGTGGTTTCTCTCCAATTATCTTCCCAGGCAAAAGAGGATGCCAGGGATACATCCATCTCAAGTTAAATCAGACTGTTCAGTGCTGTTACTCATGTTACATATGACACATCAGCTCACACAAGCCTTCATCTAAACTGACCATGCTTTGAAACCTCGGAGCACACATTTTATTTTTTTAACTCACTTCAAGGCACATAAAAAGCTATCTCGACCAGCAAACACACAGGTAAAGATAATGGATGCTATCACTAGCCTAACTGGAATTTTATCCCAAGTGCTCTGCTCCACATCTACATCGCACCATTTTCGCTTCAGACTGGTCCCAGCTAACTGAGGACCAATTCACTGGTGTGCTGGGATCAAATTCTGAAGTCCTCTGCAGTACAAAGCTCTGGCGCTTTTACTTTGTAACGCAGGTGTTCATTTAGTCAGAGACCCGACAGAAATTACATTCCACAGTTGGAGAACAAGGTTAATCATTTGACAGCTTGCTCAGCTGTAATCTTCCAAATATTGAACAGCTTTGCTTTGGTTTCCTTAAAAAATAACAGTGGGATAACCGAAACACATTCACACACATTTACACACCCATCCAGTGGGTAGATACACATTACACGGCGAGGGACAAGACAACCTGTCAAACAGAAATCTATGAAAAAATGATGCTCTTACATGAGAAAATGAAAGATTAACATTCTAACAGAGTTTGAAACGTCAGCAAGGCAGCTCCCCATGAAGTGTCCAGTCACAAAAAATATATTTATATATATGTATACCTGGCCATTTTGGGACGCCCTGCTTTGCATGAATGGAAGAACAAGTGGTGCTCTGGAAAACTCTAAATGCATGCATGAAATACAAGTTTCATTACAGATGACAGGAAAAATTAAATCCATAGCTGACTTTTAGGGCTCGAGAGGTTTTCTATGCACCTAAATTAGGTTGGAAAGTCAACACAAGTTATTCTGAAATGTCAAAGTGTCCAAAGATGATCAACACACACCTGGCCATTAAAAATGAAGAATGCAAAAACAAACCTGTTAGAATATATATATTTTTTGCTTTGTACTGCAACTTAAGTACGTTTCTCTCAAAGCAGTCTGCTATGATACAGTACATTCATCAACATTGACAAGAAAGAAAGGAAATCGTCGTGCTGGCACCAGGATCCTGAGATGTGACTATATTTGTTAAGATCATACATCGTAAATACACACACACACACAATCATTTGATCTAGCGCTCCCGCATTTTGACCTTAAGAAATAAATACCCTCAGTTATGCACATATTACCATCTACATCTACTTGAAGAAGTACCTAATCCCAGGTACTGGTGCAAAAAAGGAGTCAGTAATAAGAGACCCCAAATGTTTCACTGGGAGTACATCCAGCACACCAGCAGGCCCACTGCCAAGGCTGCTCCAGCACCCACATTGAGAAGGATGGGTCTCCAGTACAGCCACTTCTCTCGTTTCCTCTCTGAGTCGGTCAGTCTCTGTTTCATCTGCTGGATCTTCTGTGTGGTGCTGGCAATCCTTTCTTCACGACGTTTCCTGACGCTGAAACAAGAGTCAGTTGAGGTTAAGTACTCGGCAAACAACAGTGTGAAAATCACATCAAGTCACAGTCCAGCCTATGTGCCAAAGAATTATAAAACTATGTGGACAGAGCTGATGGCAGTGTATATGTAAACCACAGGTTATTCACAAACATGACCTTGTAGATTAAATTGGTTTGAAAAGGTACAAAAGAAAGTGGATTTCTGAGTACTGGTGCAACACTAAACGTGGACTGATACAATGTGAAGTTTTTTTTTAGCCAGAGCCACAAACCACATGATTTTCAACTGACAAAGCAAAAAAAAAAAAAGTGCAGTGGTGGCCTGATGGAGAAAAGTGATGCAGGATTTCTCAGATCCTTAGAATAATTGCTGGCATGAACAACATGACTGATTTTTACTTTCTGTTGACATGTGAGCTTGAATGACACTACTCACATTCTGTCCTGATGGATGGTAAATCTGGCTTTTTACAGGCTGGAACATCTACGTGCTAACTCTACCTTGTGGGCACACTGCAGGTGAATGCCACTACGCAAACAGTCAGGTAACATCTGACACTCAGGCCTAACAGTGGAACCAGGCGAACCTAAAAAGGCAGCTTTTTCCTGTTAGAAACTAAAGAAATTCAATACATTGAACGAGTCCTGAGATGATACTTACTTCCCAGAGTTCTCTGCAATGTTGTGGTCTTGGCTCTCTGGCTGTTCTGCAGGCAGGTGGTCCCTGGAGTCAGCTTGTGGCTCCAGACAGGAACCCGGCTGACCATTGGGCCTGTTGTCATTGACGTGAGGTCTAGGGGGAGGCGGTGGAGGGGGCAGATCTGGCTCCAGGTCTTCTTTGGACATTACTCTCTGCCTGTTCTGCTACAGGTGACATCAAGCAAAAGATGCAACACAGGGCTGAGTAATTTACCCTCAATTAAGACCCCAAATACACCCTTGTGTTAACACTGTTGGTTAACCCTCAGTTCCTACTATGTCTGTTTTGAGGACATTTGTCCTTTTTTTCATCTTTATTTTGAGCTGACAGTCACATTTTTTTAGATTGAGGTATCAAATTTGGTGAGAGTTCTTATTTTTCTTCATACTTGGAAAAAAAAAACAACAAAAAAAAAAACTGTCACCTGTAGAGCTCTGTCGCTGTATTTTAGCTCCATCCAGCCTACTTAAAGGTGGGGTAGGCAGGATCTGAGGCTGTGTCTCAATTCAGAGACTGCATACGGCTGAGCGCGTGTGTTTGTGAATAATAGACCTGAGTGTCAGCTATTTTATCCACTTAACATTTTCAGAATTGAATTAAACTCAACCTGCCACTAGATATGGATGTAAGAGTGGGATGATTTTTTTATGAACACTTGTCTGTATATATGTTTTGGGGACAACGTAGGCTGGATGGAGCTTAAAATTAAAAAGAACCGAGGGTTAATAATCTGAAGAGTTGTACGTAGCTAACACAACAGTATGGCAACAGTAGCACTGCAGTTTCAGTTTATTTTATTTCTCTTCTCTCAAGGAAAGAAGTAAATGTTTTCCATGATACTACAAAGTCCAGTGTTGCAGTCCTGAGCTACACAGTAAAATGGTGCGCATCTGTATTTCCCACAATAATGGTTATAATATGTTGAAGCACAACATATTTTCACCCTTTTACTTAGTGGTTAGACAATATATTAAACACAGCTACAAAAGTTCAATCACACATTTGCTCACAACGCTTACAAAAATAAAAATAGAACTGACTCACATTTTTGCAGAAATATATCATAGTTCACACTGAAACATGTTTCTGACATTATTTCAAGTTTCAGCCACAACAGCTGTAAAGTGACCTTTACATCACCCAGCCCATACCTGCTCCACTTCGATGTGACTTTCACACCTGAAGGCTGTTCTTAATATCATTGTCCATAAACAGCTGTCTCTGTTTGAGACGATCTTTGCCATTATTTAGCCATTTCAAAAAGGACACATTTGTCTGTTTTGGGGAAAACTGACATAGATTCAAGAGAATTTTTAAACAATATTCCAAAAAAGCACAAGATTTTTTAGGACGTTTTGCTTTTTCTCTTGTATTCAGGCTTTCCAGGATGCATGAGTATTTGCCTGAATTAGGTTTATGATGTTGACAGTCCAAAAGGTGTTTCTGTGTGTGACCTTTAACTGCTCAGGGTTTTAGTTTTAAGAGGGTTGAAGTAAAAAAAACTGAAGGCTTGAACTGTTCTAGTGCCTGTTTCATGGTCTAAGTAAAAACCTGTACTCTGATCAGATACCAGTTTGTGGACTCTGGCATGAATCTATCTGGTAAATCAGTTGATTACAGCCACAACAACACAACGATCAAGCTACCTGTGCTGCAGAGTAGTCTGACAGGATGAGCTTGGCTCCCTCGATGACAGCCATGTAGGAGAAGCGGAGCTGGTCAGGGGTCTGGATCAGACCCATGCGGTATTCCCTCATGTCTAATAGCACCTTTTGTATGTCCACTGATGATGGGTTTTTCCTCCTGGCCATCTGCAAAACAGATTTTTTTTCAATACAAATAGGAAGGCTTGCTGTGTTTACACTAAAATTTAGACAGGTTAGCACAGGCTAACATGTTAATCATCATGCTTGCTATTCAGAGGGTACGAGTTCCAGTTTAAGGTTTTTAAGAGTCCACATGGATCCCTGACTTAAGAAACCACGTAAGTGCTATAATCTGTGAAAGGGCACGGGGTCATTTGCTGCTCAGATTGGTCTGTGCTCCAGAAATGATCTCAGTGAACTAAGGCTCATCTGTTACCTTAGGTAGGTAGGGCACATGCTGCTCTCTGTTTACATTTAACTTTTCAAATCAATCAAACAAACTGGGGATCCATACTTTGAAGGAGAAAAAAACAAGTCTATGCCTTTTCCTTTACAAATAGTGGCTGTAGCTGTCTGGTGCCTTTTGCATGAACACTCTGTATCTGGAGTACTTTTTCCCTTCGCTGTGCAGCGTGTGTCGTCTACAAGAACTGCACAAAGCTTTCTGAGGGAAAACTAAGAAAAACTAACACCTTCAGGTCCTAGCTCTGCATTCTCAGTCAAGGTGAGGTAGTCGAGGAGGATTTTAATCAACAAGTTTACAAGGTGAACTTGATCCTCCTCATGTTTGAAAGAGTCATAAAATAACCTTCAGTGTTTCCCATGCCCAAAATTACACACAACATGCTGAAACTTCTCTCTTTCCAGCCGAGTAGATGTAATCTGGAAATCTCATCTTGCTTTCTTGCCATAACTTGAAAGTCTTGAATAACATTTTAACCCTATGGTGTCAACTTCAGCACCTTAACCATTCATGTTGCTTGTATTTACTGAACCCCTTTTCCTTTTTCTCACCAGGATCAGGCAGGTGTCCACCAGGGCAAAGGTCCCAGATCGCCCGATCCCAGCGCTGCAGTGCACCACAGAGGGCCCGTGCTCTGGGCCCAAAGAGCCAGACTCCCGAACTTTGAAGAGGAAATTTAGGAAAGAGGCGGGAGATTCTGGAACACCAAAGTCAGGCCACGTGGTGTAGTGAAAATGATAGATCTCCCTGGACTCCTTTGTCTACAACAGAAGAAAAGACTGCGCTAAAACAATCACTAGACTGACAAAGTCCATTTTACTCTTTCATGAATTTAGACATTAGTGCTTGTTTTTTTTTTTTTTTTAAGACAGTAACAACCACTGAGGAACATGCAAGTTAAGACAGGTAAAATAATGTTCAGGACCATTGGCCCTGCCTCGATAATAGAGCCACCACAAAGTTACACCAGTTGCAACTTGTTCTTCAACAGATATACACCGAGCACATGGCATTTTTCATCTCACAAATATCATCTCTGAAATTACACCACTGAGCATTTGGGGGAAAAAAGTGATTATCTAATAATCTGCCTTGCACGCTCACCATTGTGTTTTGCAGTTCTAGGACTCGGATTGTGTAATAGGATTGGTCCTCCTCAGAAAGTAGCCTGACAACAAACCCTGTGTCTGTGAATGACATCTGTAGCTCTTCTGTGGTGGGCCAGTACTGCGCACACTTTTCCTGTGGAAACAAAACAAAATGTGTTGACTTTGTCTCTGGTACTCCCATAATCTCATGGTTCTAATGGGTCAGAAATCATGTCCAATTAATTTACATAGATTAAAACTCTGTGAACCAGGGGAGGGAATCACAGGTTAGGAGCCAGTAGTAACCCGTATGAGTAGCTCAAAATACAATATCCTTTATATCGCCTATGACTATGATATGAAGATACAGGAATCAAATCCTGGACTAATTTAACAGTGCAAATTCAACATATCCGAACTGACAACTGAAAATGGTTGTTTTTTGAAAAATACATCCTCATTTTGACTTTGATACCAGCGAAATGTTTGAAAACAGTTGAGACTGAGGGATGTTTACTTCTGTATTTTTTTTCTGCAATCCTGCTGAAACATTAGGAAATCAAACAGACCAATCCTGGACTTTTGAAGGTCAAATATTGTCCTTGCCTGATATTAGAGTTTCATCTGAACAAGTTTGGGGTCTCCTTGGTTGCATGTTTTGCGCTATGATGGGCCAAATGTTTTCAATACAGCAGCTAGGCCAGTTTAGCACCTGGTCTCTTCTACTACAGAGCCATGCTGCATTAACTGCTGAAATGTGGTTTAGTATCCTTTCGCTGTATCACATACTGACTTAACCTAAAAAGCCATTGTCTGTGCAAGCTGTATATATAGTTCAGCATTAACTGTGCCATAACAAGAAAGTCAAGTTTTGACTTGCTAGATCATGACTTTCTACTTCACCTCAGTCCATCTTAGATGGGCAGAGAAGTTGATAGCATGTATGGACAAAGTGTCTATCCAGTTTCCTCTTTGCATGTTACAGTTTCAACCTGCAAAAAATGGTTCACAGACAATGGTGTCAGATGTAATTTTGAGGCCATGCCGTGATTTGCACTGCAGAGGCATATATGTCTTATACAATGCCACCTGAGGGCCCTAAAATGACTGCCATCCATTATGGGTTATTAGCCTCACTCCTTTTGTACAGAGATTTCTCCAGATCCTCCGAATCGTTTGGTGATTTCATGAACCTCCTGTTTTGAAATATTTAATTGGCATTTATTTGACCAAAGTTGACATTTTTCATACAACAATTATCTTATTCAATATCAAAACCTGATCCTTTGTGCTACTTTCACTTAAATACAGACTTTGAAGATTCAGAAACTATAAAATTCTGTTTTATCAATATTTTACTGATGCTGAAACATCAATATCTCCAGAAAAGTTACAAAGTCTTGATGAAGAAGTACATCTTGTAACATAAATGTGTTGTGTTCACACAGCCCTTTCCTTACTTATTTTATTTTATTTAACCAGGAATGTCCCAGTGAGATTAAAAACCTCTTTTTCAAGGGAGTCCTGGCCAAGAGGAAGCAAAAAGTTACACATCAACAGTGACATACAAATTAGATAAAACTGTTTCTTATACAGACTGTTTGCTCAAAGCTTCAGCTGATTTCAACCCTAAGCTCTGAAGAGACTGTGAAACATTTCCCACAACTCTAAAACATGTCCAGAAGAGATCTTGGAAAAGAAATACTGTGAGAACAGTTTTAGAGTCTTATGATGTGAAATGTTAAAGCCTTCTTGTTCAGGACTGTACTGCAAAGAGCAACAGCCAGCCAGAACAAGGACCATAAATCTTTTTTGCTTTTCTTTTTTTAAATCAGTTCGTTTTTTTTCCGAGCCCAGGAAAGGAAAAATTCAGCTCCAACCAAAGTTGTTTTAGGACCAAATGCCAAACCAATCTAAATCAGCTAAGTCAATTCTGTTCATTCAAGTTGGTAAAGCAACGCAAGTAAGTACTCGCCCTTGCAGGGATGTCGAAACATCGATCCTCCTTTATGTTAATGACGACAACATCAGATAAGCCAAACACAGTTTGATGATTAACCCTTTCTCCAGCGCTTGTCCGGATTAACTTCATTACTGCTTTCAACCTCTTGGGACATTGATGCTCAGTTTGATGGTATGATGGCCGAGTCAGGTTTTCAGCTTGAACTCAGAGGTTCTTAAATAAACACTGAATCCAGCAAGTCACACATCAGTCAACAGCCAGCAGCAGTATGAACAAAAACTCATGCTAAGGTCACTGCCATTAACTGATAGGAAGAAAACCTGTACATTTAAATCATGATGCAAATACACCACAAAGAAGAAGTGTCGTTGACTCTACTCACAGGAGGCCTCATGTTTAGACCCTGAACCTGATCTTGTTTTTCTTTCAAGTGTTGATATTTTGCCTGTCTAATGTATGGTATGCTACACAGAAAATAGACTGTGCTTCAAGGTATTTTGAGTTTGACCTTCCGCCGATGAGTTAAACATACATACAGCTGAGCAGACTGATGTCAGCAGCCACATCACAAAAGCTAGTACAGCATTATAATAAGAATTACTAACATGTGGATTCACAGAAAAGACATTATGGAGTTGTCCCCTGCCCAGAACTCGTACTTTCAGACCACACAGGTGTTGCAGCATTCGTTTGAAAGATAAATCAAAATGTCGAGATCAGAACATTTCATTGCATTTATTTGATTCCTAAATGAAGAGACTGTTAAGAATTGCTTAAATCATTAATACAGGCTTTAAAAGTGATTTGAAAAGCAAGTCAATGGGACCTCAACCTGTATCTGAATGTCTGATTAATTACAATCAACAATCAAAATACAGTGATTAATACCAATTAAGAAACTTACTTACCAGCCCAAGTTTAAATGTACTTTAATACAGATTAAGTGTTTCTTAAGTAGCAGAAACACATACAGATAATATAACTAACAAGGTTTGATGCTGAGAAAAACCACATGACAGAATCATCAGGAACAGGTAGAGATACAGAAATCAGTGTCAGTAGGTGCTTCAGTATACTCACAGATCCCTTTTCAATTACTCTGTTAAGCATGATGACCGCTTTGGAACACTGCTCCCAAATCATCAGCCAGAAGTGACCACAGGTATTCCTCAAAGGCCCCTGTGAAAGTAAGCGAGAGAAATCTGAAGAATACTACTTCACCAGAGCCATTCTCAAATGGACAGTGGGAATCAGTATTATCGGTGGGCTCTGGCCAAACAGAAAAGATAAGGACAACATAAAAACATGTGTTCCATGACAGGATTTAGGGGTAACACTTCAATATCAACAGACATTTTGTTGGTTACACACTGATGTAATGGAACATTTAAATGTACCAATGGCTGCAGTTATCTCAATTTAATGCATGCACCCAGCCAATCAAACCAACTCAGACAAATCAGGCAGTTTAAATAGGATCTGGACCAGACATATCATATCTGTTCAAACAAATAAACATAAAATTAAAAACCATCAAAGTGATATTCTGCATTTTTAAAGATTCTTGGCTGTATTGAGAGATCATGATGGAGTACTGTACTGAACCATACCTGAGAAAGAATGTAAGCTCTTTGGGCTTCTTCTACCATGACTAAACTTGCGTTGATGTAGTCATTTTCAGAGTTTTCGAGTTTGACTCGACTGTGGTCATCTGAAAGAAGATTGTCAGGGAATTACTTAGTCAAAAAAATGTCATTGGCAAAAACAACATTTTCACTAACAACCTTCTTCATCATAAGACTCACATGGGCTGACATCTCTGTAGCGGTTCAAATTTCGATTCACTGGAAGTTTCGCCACTTTGTAAGGATATTCACTGGCTTGGTTGCGAATCTCCTGATGGAGACACAAAAAATGAAAAGTTAGGGCACAGTTTGTCAATTATGTAAACACACTCTTTTAATACAGAGCTGGCTGTAACAGATTTATTGGAGCTGCCAGCTATAGCTGACATGTCATCTCTGCTTTTTTCTGGATGTAATTTGTCAAATTGCTGTCGTGTGCTGTTGTTTTCCCAACACATAGTTTCTTAATGTGTATGGGGTGCGGTCAAAAGAGATTCTCAAGCCTTCACTGAACAATAAGTTTTATTCGCTTCTGTCAGGAGATAAATCAACAGACAGTACAATGCCTTTACCATAAAACGTAACCAGTGTAGATAATTACGTTTTTAGTCACCAGGGAGTTTGAGCATTTTAGTAAAACATGGGGAAATCATGCCTCTTCTCAGTGTTAAAATTACCTTGAATTTATCCAGTTCTTAGTAAAACTGTGAGCTGTGGTTAGATAAGGCCTGGGGAACAAACGTTTGAATACACTTGATTTCTCTACAAACTGTTCCCCAACAACAGCCTGTTGAGAAAAGTTTGCTAATCTCACATGATTTACAATCTTCTCTTATTCATAATAATGGATATCTGCTTGTTTACGTTGCTCCACCGGTATTTGTAGTCCGACTTGTGCTGACTTGAAATTGTGAAATAAGGTTACCGTTGGCACTAAAACCATACCATTTACACTTAATCTCTCATTTTCTGATTTCATACCGTATTACGCGATCAAAGGCAATATCAAATCGGATCAGAGTCATGACAAACTAAATGCTGGGCTCTGTCAGACAGCTGGTGGTAAAACACATGCGCTTTTCTCTAGAAGTCCAGAGCAGTTCTCAGAAACTGCAGCTGACGTCTGTTAGCGTCAGCCAGCTTTAGCAAACGGAGCTCAGCTCTGAGAAGCTGCTGCACGTTTTCAGCTACGGAAGTCCGCGACGACCAGCGGACCGCTGGCTTAGTTTCCCCATTCACTGTCACTGACGGCATACACCTATATCTGTCCTCTACACAATGACATGGGGTCTATCAGCTAAAAAGACTTACTGAATCACATTTAGACTGTTGAGAAACAAATATGTGTAAAGACGTTAACGGGCGAGCTATCAAATTAGCTAGCTAATGCTAAGCAAGTTAGCAACCGATCGTCATAGAAACACGAGAGGCCCAGTGTCCCCACTTACGTTATAAAGGTTCTGCCATCTCCCGGACGAGTCAATGTCTTCAAATTCTTGCTCCATGGTATCGTAAATAGTGCCCCGAGACACTCAGTGGATGATCGTAGAGTGTTTACGGCACCGCTCACAGAGTTACTCCTCTCTCTGAGCCATGTAAACTGCAGTCTGTGTAACCCTGGGATCCCTGCGGGGAGTCTGCTGCTCTTGCACAGGACTGCATGCACGCTGACCGACTCGGGTTGCCAGTTATGTGTTTATATCGACCGACCAAACTACGTGAATAAAGCTTATCCGAATAATCTACTTTCATATTGTTGTCGTTATTATGCAGCGGCATAAATCTACATAGATAGCTCTCAATAATATGTTAAAATTTTACTTCATTTTCCCTGGAGAAATATCTGTTTTTTTATGTCATTTTACATGATATGACAGACAATATCAAACAACGAACAAAACCACAAATAGCAAGAAGAAGAAAAACTAATAATGTCTGTTTACAAGCCACTTATGCACATTATGATATTGTAACATAAAATGTTGGTACATGATTGTTGTGATACAAAACCTGGCAACCCAAGCAGAACAAATATTAACGCTGAGTTCAAACAATCGCTCGAAGTCACCCATAATGATGAATTTTCGGACTGCTTAAGAAAAAAGTTCATTTTATAGTTTCATTTTTGCAAAATAAACGTTATCATAAATTACCTCATTGGATCATTTTCATACAAAAGGTGCGACTGCGCCATCTTGTGGCCATCACTGACGCTCGTGGCAGACAGACCCGCCAAACACCCGCACACTCATGCATAAGGGACACATGACAACCTAGCATGGTAGCTGGCTAGTACTGGTGGTATATTGTAGTTGTAAGCATGTTTGTCGCCCGCAGTATCGCTGCAGACCACAAAGATCTAATCCACGATGTGTCGTATGATTTCCACGGTCGGAGGATGGCAACGTGCTCCAGTGACCAAAGTGTCAAGGTAAGAGTGCATCAGTTAGCATTAGCTTGTTTGCGTGTTACATACATTATCAACATCCTTGAGTCACAGCTGCATCAACCGAATATAATTTCAAGACACCATAATAAAAAACAAAACGTAATTCAACGCTGTTTTTGAATCCGTGGCGTATTGTGGGCTAGAAATGTAGCTCTGTCCCGATGGATTTGATTAGCTAGCTTCTTGCGATGCTAGTAGCACACAGGCAGGGGAGCTGCTGTTGATGTGAATGAAGTTCACTAAAAGTAAGTATTCTAACGTACCCTATCTAGGTTCAGTACACCGCTGACCGAAATGTTACATTATTTCTGGATTCATCAATGCCCTTACAATGAAGAGCTTTCTTAAGAAATAAACGCAAATGAATGTGCGTTACTTATATTCAATATCTGCTTTACTTCTTTACATTGCCTTTCGTCTTCTTGCTCTCAGGTGTGGGACAAAAGTGAGAATGGAGAGTGGCACTGCACAGCCAGCTGGAAGGTAAACTACCTGCAGCTGTTTGATTGTTTATCTGTCAGAGGTTGTCCTGGTAATATGGCTCTATATCAGCCAGCGTGCTCGCATAAGGGGTCATGGTATTTGTGTAATTTCCTCAAACTGGTGTTTGTAGAGGATTATTGACAAAGCTTCTTTCTTTTCTGTGTAGACACACAGTGGGTCAGTGTGGAGGGTGACATGGGCACATCCAGAATTTGGCCAGGTTCTGGCTTCCTGCTCTTTCGACAGAACAGCTGCTGTTTGGGAGGAGATTGTAGGGGAGTCCAATGACAAGCAGAGAGGACTGAGCCACTGGGTAGGTGAAACTGAAGGATGATTTAACCTGCAGGTTGCACTTGACAGACAGCTCCTGTTAATTAAGCAGGCCTGTCACTGTCATTACTATTGCAACATTTAGGCAAATCCTACCAGTAATTTGTTTTTGCCCTGCAGGTGTAATGCCTTGGATCCTGGATATGGATATTGAAGCTCTCTGCTGATGTTAATTTTGGTTGTCTGTTTAAATCAGATCTAAATCAAGCCTGTCATGCTTGTCTGATGTAGATAAAGAGAACTACACTGGTGGATAGCAGAACTTCAGTGACAGATGTGAAGTTTGCTCCCAAACACATGGGCCTCATGCTGACCACCTGCTCTGCGGATGGAGTGGTGAGGATCTATGAGGCTCCTGATGTGATGAACCTGAGTCAGTGGTCCCTGCAGCATGAGATATCCTGCAAACTGAGCTGCAGCTGCATCTCCTGGAATCCGTCAAGGTTAGTGTTGTGACATTGAACTGTACAGAGTTCTTTCACATTTTTGGCACTTTTATTGATTTAAAAAAATGCTTATGGGGCGTTGATTAGTCTAAAGGACATAAACAAGAATTTTCTTTGTGTTGAATTTATTTAACAAAATGAAACATTATTTTCTCATCTCATAACCATTCAATAATTGAAAACAACAGCCAGAACAGTGTAGTGTTTGCACTGTATGTATTTCTGCAGAAGTTTCAAACCTTGGAGCTTTTTACACTGTGTACACAGTGACGTCCAGAGCCAAGAAAATCTTATAGCAGGCCTGTCAATAGGGGTTGATGCAAAACTACAGCTCTCTGATATTTATACTTAGAGTCTTGTGAAATGATGATCTATTTGCCTTTTTATATAGTTTTGAAGTTAACTTCCTTTTTTGCAGGTATTTGTGAGACAACTACTCCGTTAAAGATAACACTGCTTTGGGAAACAGCTCTAATACTAAATACTTACTCTAATGAAATTGAAATGGACTTGTTTAGTGAACTTGTATAAGTGTTAAAATTGGCTGAGCAAAGATGTTATAAAATATGCAAATAACATCATGTTATAGTTGCAGTAACACTTTAGCAAAGACTTAAGTTGGAAGTGTTTCATTTACATTGATTTATTCCAAAGTTTTCTATTTACAGATTGACAGACAAAGAGTAACCCCAGTTGAACTGAAAAAGAGACGCCCCTCCCATTCTAGTGCATCAACACCTCAGATTTACAGTCAGGTCCATAAATAATGGGACATCAACACAGTTCTCACCTTTTTGTCTCTATACATCAACACAATGGATTTGAAATAAAACAAACAAATGTGCCTTGACTGCAGACTTTCAGCTTTAATTTGAGGGGGTTTACATCCAAATCATGCGAACAGTATCCGAATTACAATAGTTTCTATGTGTGCCTCCCACATAAAAAATGTTAGGCAATTGCCAAGTCAATCACCTGGCCTGAACTGATTGAGCATGTGTTTTACTTGCTTAAGACAAAACTGAAGAGAAAATGCACCAAGAACAAGCAGGAACTGAAGAGAGGTGCGGCAGAGGCCTGGCAGAGCATCACTAGGGGTGAAACCCGGCCTCTGGTGAAGTCTGTGTGTTCCAGACTTCAGGCTGTAATTGATTGCAAATGATTTGCAACCAAGTATTGAAAAGTAAAAGTTTGATTTATGATTGTTTAGTTTGTCCCATTACTGTTGTTCCATTTAAAAAGTGGGATACAGATATAGAAGCTGTTTTTATGGTTAGAGCCAGAAAGGTGTGAATTGCGTCGATGTCCCAATATTTATGGACCTGACTGTAAATAATGTCAGTTTTAAGACATCACCAAAACAAAACACTATGTATGTGTAACTTTGTGTTGTTCATCCCCACCATCCAGCTCTCGGGCCCATCCCCCAATGTTTGCCGTTGGTAGTGATGACAGCAACGTAACATATGGCGGCAAAGTTCAGATCTACGAGTATAATGAAAACACAAGGTGGGTAATTCTGTGCTGTTAGGTTAAAGTTTTTTCAGATTCCACATTCTAAAGAAATTCACAGTTCATTACAAAATTTGAGTGATTTGTTTTATTTTATTTCAAAGGAAATACGCTAAAGCAGAGACGCTGATGACCGTTACCGATGCAGTCCATGATATTGCGTTTGCTCCAAATCTGGGCAGATCTTTTCACGTGCTGGCTATTGCAACAAAAGATGTCCGAATTTTCAAGCTTGTTCCTATGAGGTGACATAGTTTCTTTATTTAAAATCTATATCATTTGAATGGACATGTGCAGCAGATGTGTAATTTTTGATGTAATGAAATAATGCTTCTGAATATGTTTTTAGTGACATTCTTTAACCTTTTATAAAGGACTTGAATGAGAACCATCAGTTAGATCAGCTAACTTTATCTGGTTTGGTTCCACCTGACAGGAAGGAGAGCACTTCTACGGGGCCCACCAAGTTTGAGGTGCAGATTGTGGCTCAGTTCGACAACCACAACTCCCAGGTGTGGCGTGTGAGCTGGAACATCACCAGCACTCTGCTGGCCTCCTCCGGGGATGACGGTTGTGTCCGCCTTTGGAAAGGTAGTAAACTGAAGTGCTGACTTTTCATTTTAGTAGCAGCAATACTGGAAACTGTTGTTCCATTGCTAAGTAAAAAAACAATTGAGTGACTAAACAAATTTGCTGTGGTTATCATCAGTCTACATTTTGAACCTAACAGGTTCAAAATGTAGAGCTGAACTTAGACTGACTGAGAACCAGAGATGGGGACTCGAGTTTGAAACTTGGACTTAAGTCAATGTGATTTCAGACTTGACTCAACCCTTGGAGACAAGAGACTTGACTTGGACTTGAGCTTTGAGACTTGTGTACAGACTTTGTATATCGTATTTTGGTCTTAGTAGCATCTCAAGCTCAATGTTATTCCCTGTTCCCACGTCTAATCCTCTTCCGCTTCTGCTGCAGTTGCGGCCTCATCCCAACTTGTTGAGATGACACAGCGCTTCTTAACACAGATCATAACTAAGAGAGACTGTTTCAGCATAACTATAGACAATTTTAGGTGTTTTGTATTCATACAAGACAGCTACCCATGATCAACAAATGAGCAATCACTGCTCACTCTTCGCCCCTGCAGATGTTGAGAATAGCATTTGCTTTGCAGGCGATCTGAGAGAGATTGAGAAAGCCAGGCAAGTGACTGAGATCAACGTCTCAAATTAAACACAAACCTTTTCTTACTGCTGTTTTGCCCAGCTGGTTGCTGTTGCTCTCAGTCTCGGATTGTTATCACATCAGGTGACCGTCCTCACACTGATCACCTGATGTGATAATGTAACATTCAGTCGGGGGTTGTGTTATTTGGACCCCTGCTGAGTTTTTCCAAAGGATCAGAGACAAAGAGAGAGAGACTTTAGGAAGGGGGTCACAGCGCTGCTAAAGGAGGAGGGATACAGGGGTGAATTCAGGGTTAGTCTGGGGGTGCCCCCAACTTGTGCTCAAGTCCTCTTTTTTCTGTGCAGCTTCCTTTTTAAAAGTTATTAGGGGGTTCATGTTTTCTATGATTGACACCTGATACAGCCTATGGGCATTCAGGGATTACGTAGCTCACCCGGGGGATATGCTGTTTGAGCCGAGCGTCATCACAGCGACTCTCAGCGACTCTCCAGCTGAATGTGCACAATGCTACTGCGCAGCACTGGTTTCAGGAAATGAAGAAAAATCCCGGAAATACTGAGAGCTATTTGGCTTCAAATCCGTATACAGGCGGTAGGCGGAACCAGGTTGTCCATAGTATATACAGTCTATGGTTTGGACAAAATTGAAGTGAAAAACTGTGAGAGCACTGACAATTTGGTCCTTTTCCCCCGCAGCCAACTACATGGACAACTGGAAGTGCACAGGCATCCTGAAGGGAGATGGAAGCCCACTCACGGGCTCCTCTGGTCAGCCAACAGCTATGAGCACTGTGGTTGGTTCCACAGTTCAGACCTCCCAGAATGCCCTGAATGGGATGTCTGCAGGAAGGTAGGTGGTGTGGTTCTTGTGATGCCACTCACCCAGCCCAACCCAAGCCAGTCAGAACTGACAACTTACTACCCCTCACACTGACTGGGACTGCAGCTGCTCACTGACAAACTCTTCAGGGCCAGAATGATGCACTTATGCAAAGAGCTTGGCTTCCAGCATCCAGGTTTTTTGGCAGAAAGCCTATGGGGTTGGATGATTTGTTTTTCTGTTTGTTTGTTTGTTTTTTTTTACCTGATTTGTATTGCTGCATGTAATAATACTGGTTTCATTTTCTTACTTGCAGTGTTAGGGCTAATCAAAAGAAGTCAAATAAACCTGTTTATATGAATCACATATGTGACTGTTGTTTCAAATGCTAGAGGTGTTTTGGTATTTCAAACAAAACCATTTTTCCCATAAACAGTGTTTTTACGTTAATAAAAATTGTTAACACTTGCAGATGTATACATTAAAGACAGGTAGTCGTATCTTTCTCTCCAGTTTTACTTTTCAACTTAGATGTAGACAACTGAACAACTCTTGCCAAACTCTTTGCAGCTCTGAAGCACAGCCTAAAACATCCCCACTAACAAACTATAATAGTATTATTAATTTATATGAAGACATAGGGTCTATATAAATGAGGCTAATGACAATCATGGTGTAAAACAGCACTATATAACTTGAAAAAATGTGGAAAAAGCTTTTGTTGATTACAAAGTAAATAAATGATCAATACTCATCCTGTCTGAGTTAAATACACTCGGGTACCTCATTTTACTCTGGCGTCACCAGTGACTGTCAGTAGCTTCTTCTAGTCTGTGTGAAAATGTTCATGAACCCGTTTTTATACTGATCACTTCAGTCTTTTTGATGGTGACACTTAACCTTTTTACCATTATTCCATCCATATTCTATTTATTGCTGTAATGCTCTCTGTTTGGGTAAATCAACAGAGCCATGCTTTAAAATATGTATATAGTACATATTAAAATCTGGTGTGTGATAGAGAGAGAAGTGGAAAAATCTAGCTGTGTTTAGACTAACCTCACACCCTCTGACTCAATTTAACCTCTGCATTTACTGAATGATGGGTTTGAATCACCGCTAACCTGGGTAACACAAGGTCTGTATAGTGTGTGTGATTCTGTTTAATATCTTTTGTTGGCAGATTTGTTCATTGTGTTTTGTCAAGTTAATCTCATCAAAGTCCTTGATGATAAAAAGGAGCAGAGAGTGGAAGAGGTGGCCTTGTGAAAGTAATGTTGTGTTGTACTGCTTGTTGCATGCAGGATTGGCAAGAGAGCTCCCTTTGCCCCTCCCCTGCGGCAGCTGACCTCTCCAAAGATATACCAGCATCCTGCCTATTACTAATGTCTCCTCTCCACCAGCTGCCAGTTTGCATTGTGTCAACTCTAAATCAGTGTGAATCATGTCTAAAATGTGACCTGAATACAGTGTGCTGTGTCGATGTTTGAAGGAACAGCGTGTGAGATAAAGGGATAATATATTTGAATGAAGTGAAAGAGATGGTATTAGGATTTTCTCATATCTTAAAAACAAATATTAAGTTAAAAGTTGGGTGATGATAATAATAATAGTAACTTCATGAATATAGCACCTTTAAAAACAAAAGTGCTTTGACAGACAAAGTAGAGTAATAAACAAATATGACAGAGGAGAAACAAATCACAAGTCATATAGAGAGCAGTAAAGATTCTGAGAAGAGGGAAAAAAAGGAAAGTGAAAAGAGAAAAATGTCAACAACATCACATCAGATTAAAAACGCATTAGAGGATGAGGGGCTGTGAAGTACAAATAAACCAAGAACAAAGATGAATGAACAAATACGTATATAAATGAATTAAATGTTATCGAGGACAGTATAGGTGATCAAATTAAGACTTGCAAACAGATGGCCCAAATGAAACCATTAAAGTATGAGTTTTTAAATAAGATAAAGTCAATAAGTTACTGTTAAAAAGTATCTAAAAGGTCAATTCACAGAAAAGCAAGTCTTTAGAAGTGAGTTTTCAGAAGTGATTTCAAAGATGTCACTGATTCTGCACGCCTTCTCTCCTCAGGGAGGTCGTTCCAGAGTCTAAAAAGCTCGAACTCCTTTAGATTTGAGCCTCGACTTTGGAACGACCAGCAGGGTGTCACCTAAAGTTCTCAGGCTGCAGGACGACTCACATATGGCGTCAGCATTTCAATAATATTACTTGGGGTAAGACCCAGATGAGCTTTAAAAGGGATCAGTAAAATCTTAAAATCAGTTCTAAAATGCGCAGAGAGCCAGTGGAGGGAGGAAGGCATCGGAGTGATGTGATGGTGTTGGTTAAAACCAGTAAGAAGCCGAGTTGCTGTGTTCTGGACAATCTGGAGGCCTACAGCAATCTTACTGAGGGAAGATGAGAGCATGAAAGACTTTTTCCAGGTCTGTTCAGGACAGAATTGATTTAATCTTGGAGATGTATCTTAACTGAGTAAAACAAGATAAGACAGTTTTTATTTTTATTTTTTAATAGTATGATGGAGGGTTAAATCTGATGTATAAATGACATCCAGCCTTCATAATTGAAGAGTATGACTTATGATTTAGAGTCATTCAGCTGAAGGAAACTTTGAATCATCCAACATTCACTATCACTGACAGCAGCTAGGCTTTCTGAATCACCAGGTCTCGGCGGCAGGTATATCTGTGTGTCATCTGCTTAACAGTAAAAAGGTACATCATGACGATGAGTGATGTTTTGTGGGAGCAAATAAAAAGAGAATAAAAGTGGACCTAAAATTGAACCTTGCTGCACACCATAGGTTATATTAGAGGAGGAGGAAGAAGAGTGGTTACCTGTGGTGACCACAAAGGTTCTGCTCAAAAGGTAGGAGTAAAACTATTTGAGAGCATTGCCCTTGATCCTAACCCAGGTCTCCAGATATTCTATTAAAATTGTCAGCTATGTCAAATGCTGCACTTAAAACTGAGCTCAGCAGCTGAAAGAAAATCATGAGTGACTTGAAGGAGAGCAGTTCTGTGCTATGTAGAGCTCTAAAACCAGACTGGAATTTCTCAAAGATGTCATTTTTATTCATAATAGCTAAAATCTGTGTTAAAACTACTTTTTCTAAAACTTGGATAAAAATGGGAGTTTAGAAATTGGTCTAAAATTGCTGAGAACAGCAAGATTAAGACCGTGTTCCTTTCAATGATGAGGTACATATGAATTGTTATCCTAGAGTGAGACTTCAGGATGTCTGAACTTCTTACTGAAAAAGGTTGCATTCAAACTAAGAGAGAGGGACACACTTTGCTCAAATCATGACTGCACAGATCGGTACATTTCCTCTAAAGGCATAATAAACTTACCTGCTCTCTGTTGCTGGGCACTTTTTGTCCCCTTCTCCAAGCTTTTCCAGGTTATATTTTGGGTCTTAAAACTGTGGCAGTATGGGATAATTTTTCCCAAGTTTTGAGGAGAACGTCCTGCTGCTGTCACTGATGGGCAAAGACTGTTGGAGAAGAGTCATGTTTTCATTTGTCACCAAACAAAAGGTCCATCATGTTGGACTCTTTGAATGTGACCCACTTCTGTAGGTATCGCATACAATAAGACCTGGATACAGTGCTGTTCTCTAGCTGTGCACCGAGTAGTCACTTCAGGTATTACAGTAACAACTACTGTGGTGATCTATGGAGCATTTTTCCTGTTGACCACTGTCGTACAAGATCCTCCTGGACACTGTTGACAGTGGATATCAAGTACCTTCTTTTGGGTGAATGTACACTGGAAAGAAAAAAATATGAAAATGTTGATTTCTGCAAAAAGGACAAAAAGTATGCTGATAAATCCCTTACTCTGACACACTGGACCTCCAAGGACTGTTTCTGCATTAAAATATCACTTTCTATCCAGAGTTTCTTTGTATTGATGTTAACATGTTGCTGTGTAGTGGCTCACCATAAACTGCTCTTTAAGCAGTGTATGATAACTTTTGTTTTATTGTGTATGCATACTTTTCCTTTTTCCACACATCTGAAGAGTTGGAGTCATGTCCAAACTGGGCTCCAAAAAAATCATGGTCAAGGTCTATGTTTCAGTATAAAAACTCTGTGACTCTGTGACTGCACACTCACTTTTCAAACATTACCCAAAGGAATTTTCCTCTTCCTTTCATTTGATTCTTGAGCATCTGTTCTGTCTCATTTTTAATCTCTAATTCTACTTCCATTTTTGTGTTTCCCCTCTGTATCCCATTGTCATTGTCTCCTCCCTGTCCATGCATTGTTGTCTTTGTCTCCTTCCATTTTTTTTTGGTTTTTGATTTAGGTATTTCTTCCCACCTCTGGACACTCCCAGAGCAGGGACCAGGTATGGTCACCTGTTGCCTCCCTCCTCCCTCATAGAGCATTGTGATGTTGAGCCGATTCAGCTTCAGCAACAGTCTCTGCCCCACAGACTCTCCTCTAGAGCACTGCTGCCCTTACCAGAGGCTGAAGGGCAGTGACCTGGGGTGGTTTAGCTGTAATATGGTCTTTTTCAACTAAACATTGACACGTATATAAAAGATTTTGTCAAACTTCTATCATGTTCCCAAGTGTGTCTTCTGATAACATTTTATCACTGAGTGTAGACTGTTTTTGTCATGTGATTAATGAAAAGATTATGCACATATTTTCTTTTGTCTTTATTATGATATGAAACATTATGAACGTCAGTTAGGAACACTGAACCTCAACCATCAGTGCCTGCAGAGAAAAAATAGTCACAAGGTGCTCATACAGTTTTAAATTTCCACATGCCTAAAGTCAGAATAAACACTGCAAGATATTAAGAGTCTTATTTTTGATTATTTTCCCATCATACTTAAAAATATAGACTAGACTAGTGTCCATTTAGGAATCCTCTGTGTAAGATAGCTCCGCAATATTAATAGCTCATGAGTCACTGTCACACACTCCCCTTGTTTTAAATGGATCTTCTGTATTTGGTGATCTGGATCTACAATAGATATATCAAATATTATACACAGACCGTATGTGCTAATAAATAATGAAGGCTGTTTAATAATGCTAAAAAATATGGATTAGTTAGAGCTGCTATAAGACTTAGCATTTGTTTTAGGAGAGTGTTTTCTTGCCTATCAATTTTAAAGTTTTGTTGTTTTCTGAATCTGACTTCAGGTACCAATGAGATATTTTCCTGTGAGCACGAGTGAAGAAAAACTATGTGTAAAAATGCCTCCTTCCAGTTTTATTACAAGAAAATTATAAAGTTACATAGACAATGTGATATTTGTTCTGACAGGGAAGATATAAGCTTTCTTCGTAGCGTTTCATTCTTTAGAATGTATGAGAGGCAGCTCTCTCAGCAGGCAGCTGTCTGCTAACTAAAGCATTTTTGCAGCTGTTTTGTGGATCACATTAAACCTCCCACTCGGCCAGTGATCATCCCAGTGTGAGTCTTTGGTTTTGTGCTGTAATTTACATGAGACGTGGCTTTTTTTCTTTTTTCAAGCCTTATGAGTAATAATAAGCAGTCATAACAGCTTGTAGCAATGTTTATAAGGTATTTTGCTCACTGCTTATAACACCTCTAGTTTATTATGCATTACATTAATGCAAAAGAAAATATGTATCATTGTTGTGAAGTATTTTTGTCCGGCACTTTAGTTACCACCACATAAGTTCTTACAAATGTGTTATTGGATTATGTAATTGTTAACAACCTCAGTGCTGTCATTTTGCTTTAAGAGCTTTAAGTCATGATTTAATATGTGGGTATTAATAAGACATTTCATGACCCGAGAGTCATATTAATTATGACTTTTAGTTATACATTGAATAATAAACTCTTTATGAACCTTTATAATAGGGAAAAGTTGTGAGAGCTATCAGCTATTATAGCATTATAAAGATATAATTCATTATAAGCCATAACTTAAGGCTTTATGCTCACTGCATATGACACTAAATAAACATTGCTGTAAGCTGTTATAAATGCCAACAAATACTTAAGGATTGTGAGAAAAAACTTAAAGATGCATTTATAAGGCTTTTAAATTGTGCTTATGGTGCACTATTAGAGGTAGGTTCTCATAAACTTTTTTTCTTACCCCTAATTTTTAGCAACTTAATCTTGATTTTATGTAACACATTGCTACATCTTTTTTTTAATCCGTTATTTCTATTCCCATATTTTAACATATCATGACAATTAAATTATATTTGGTGTATGAAGATAAAACTGTATTCATAGTTTTTGGCAGTGACAGACTTTGTTTTAAAACAAAATTAAAAATGTAAATTCTAAGAATATATGAAATTACATTTTTAAAAGTCAGCATACATCATAAAGTAAATAAAGTTCTTTATCTTAGTTTCTTATCTTAGAGTCAACTGGACACCTTTCACAGTCAATCTAAATCTAGACTGTTTGTTTTCTTTGCAAGAGGAAGGATCAGCTGAATTAAAAATTCAACAGTCAATTGCATGGTTCTGTTTTTATACCATTATATGGCATACTGCTCTGAGGTCTGAGGAAATGGTATACGTTTGATTACTTATTTGAACTTAAAAAAGTTATAAGAAGACAAAAATTCTAAGTCTTTATTTGATTTTTTGTCTATTGCCAGAAATTACTTTTAAGTAGTGGTTTTGTAGTGTAATGTACTTCCTACATAACATGAAAGATTGACAGTATACCATCATCTATGTTCCGAGGTACACATTCCTGACAAAATGCAAATCCATAAAAAGTTTCGAGTATTTCTGTGAATACTCCGTTTAATATTGCTATAAATATACTGAGAAGGCCTTTCCTGCCTCCTGGTTTTGTTGTCCAATCAGAGTGTTTAAAATTGTATAAATCCCGCCCCTAAGACATGTAGCTCACGCGGTCTTCCTGTGGCGTCTGGGCGGGCGCAGCTCGGTCCTCCAAACTGAAGCAGTTTGTTTGAAAGGACTGAATTTAAGCACTAATGAGCAGCAGCACAAGTTGTGGAGTTACTTTGGAAACTTAATATCACACTGCAGCCTTTGTGCTTCAGCTTTGGAGACAGATACCCGGTGAAGAACCGCGTTACTCAGCTCTGGAGTTTGAATGTGAGTCCAACTTACATTAACGTTTAATTTATTCACTTGTTGAAAAGGACCAAACTGTCTTGAATGATCGTGTGCGGGAGGAAACAGTATTTACTTTTCAGCCCATCAAAAATGTCTCTACACAACACGTGTTCTTGTAATAGTCAACTTTGACTTATTTTTAAGATACAAAACTTGTTAGCTCACATTAATAGCGTCCTAGTAGTGAAAAGCTCGACAGACAGACCCTCTTGTTTTTAGCAGGTAGCTAGCCCCCAAAATTAGCCGAACTGGCGTAATTACTCCGCTCGTTTGTTTCTCTGTTTTGATCCAGACAACAATCAACCAAAGAGCACGGCTGCTAAAAACAAGCACGAAATATATCAGAAAGATTGAATTTTTCGTCGTAAAATTACCTTATCCACGTAGTACTACCTACCGATTTGTGAATGGAACCAACACATTGGTGCTATATCATCAAAAAATAAAAGTTTAAAGTTATTTAAGTAACACTAACCTGTTTTCTACTTCAATTAATTTCCCAGGACATTACAGATGGTCTCCACTTGAACCCAAGTCCAGCCGTTTTGGCTATCAGTGTTCTCCGTCTTTCACAAACATGGCAGAGAGTTTTTACAAACTGGAAGATGAAGCCTTTCCCAGTTTTCTCTGCAAGTCTCTGGACAGTACCAGTGGCCGCGCCACACTGGGGAATGTAACACTGGGTTCAGGTCCAGGACTTCCAGTGGCTGCCTCGACAGTGGCTAAAATTAGACCCGGATCTGACAACAGGTGGGAGCATGCTTCTGCTTTGGGCAGATGTGACTGGTTAGAAAAACACTCGAGTGCATTATTCTCTAAATCATGCACTCTGTTTGACAAGTGTGACGCATACGATACAAATATTTACAATTCCCCTTTGTCAATTTGTGGAAACTGCTTAAAGCATCAACATTTAGCTGGAAAAAAGATGTCTTTTCATGTTGTGGTACATAATGAAAATTTAAAAAGCCATATGCGCTGGGACTGCTCATGAGGCACATGCCACTATGATTCACAAGCTGTTCAGTCACAGCAGTGCTGTGTTTTTTTTTTTTTTGTTTCACAGAGGAGAACCTGTTGATGCATCATATCTTGAGGGCAGAGAGCTGCAGCAGGCCACCTCACAGTCATCTGTTGGAGATCAGCCAAAGTTTGCCCTCAGCTTCAAAGATGATTTGTGAGTATAGAGATAGAGATTACAATGCTCATCAATGCTTTTCATGTTGTTTTTTGAGTCTTCAAAGTTAAATACAGTCAGTTTCACTGAGTATTGCTATAGTCATGTGCTCTGAAAAGAAGAACTCAGTAACAATATTTTAAACTAAATGTCTTACAACCTACTTTTGATGCATTATTTATATCTGTAAGTACTTCCACCTCTTATTCCATGTACCCCTCTCATTCATCTTAAATTGGTAACACTGTCTGCACTACAGGGACAATGCAGATGACTTTATCGCGGCCCACCGTCTTTCAGACATGCTTGTTAAAATTAATCTCGATGAAAGTACATCCAGACTCCAAGGGTCTGTGGTGGGGCCTCCTTCCATTCAGATGGGCTCAATCCAGGGGCGGCCAACAGACCTCGGAACAGGTATATCTTACTTTTTAAATACAGCATCTACATGCTAACAGCCACTGACATTGTCATTACACTTATGAATTACCATATGTATACATATATCTATACCTATATGTATGCTGAATTTTAGAAGTTTGTAATAACAAAAAGATTACATTTTCCAGCTGTGATGCTCAAAGACTGTTCCTCTGTTTTCTCTGACAGATCTGTCCACAGGGCTCCTAACATTTGCTCAGTATGGCCTTAAAGATTGTACGGATGCAAAGGTACTCATTTTGTTGACTTTTCCTGTCTTAAGGTTGACTACTTGATCGTTGCACAACATGTCTTAATGTTTGTAACTGCTGTGAGGGGGTCGGAATGCTGAAGAAACAGCCTCAGTGATATTTTCCACTCCACATATTCATTGTGAGTGATAAATTTCCCCTCAAAAAGGCAACTCGAGGAGGTGTTTTTGTCTTAGAACATGCCTTTTCCAAAGATGAGATAAAATCTCCATGAAACAAGTAACATCTCTTTGTCTACGGGGGTGCCAAAGTAAACACAAACAGAGGTTTCATGAATACTTTTGAAGGCCAAACTTTTGAAGTGAGAATAATTAAACCCAGTTAAAACATACAACAGAGCAGATAAATGGTAGACACCAATGTTTTTATGGCACTTGTTATTGAGTTAATTTTATAATTAGGATCTGTGCTAAATGTCTTATTTTAAAATAAACCGTGATTGAGCATGCTCTGTTTTTTCTAATTTTGGGGTACATTCAGACTCAGCCCGTTCCAGCAACAGCTGAGGAGAACAGTGTGCAGAGTGAGGGCGTGGACAGTGATCATTTCAGCGGCAGTAACTCAAGTTTCCTGGCAAATGAAAAGCTTATGTCTGTGGACAGCATTAACAGTGATATCTCAGGTATGACCTCTTTCATTTTCTTTTTTGTATTCCATCACAATAACACAAGCTGATCACAAGTTGTATACTTGATCCATGTAGGACACCACAGGGCAGGAAACTAACACTGAGCTCTGTATATGCTGTTTTGTCACTGTGAGGTTCATATATATATGTGTGTGATTTTCAGATGACAACATTGATTCGAACGACCTGCCTGATGATGAGCTGGAGCATTATTTCAGTAAGCTGGTGCCTCCTGCCATGCAGAGGGGTAGAGTGGAAGGTCAGGAGATTCCTGCATCAGTAAGTCTCCTTCCCCCATTAAAATATGTTTTTCTAGTTAATTGTTTCACTTAGTATTCAACTCTTATTTAATCATCACTGTGTTATCATTGTTGTATGATATTTATGAAAGGGACGACAAAGTGCTGCTGATGACACATCAAACCCAAGTTCGACAGAGCGTGGACAGTATAGAAACCACTTTCTTGATGATTACGATCAGGTCAGCACATTTACACTCTTTCTAACTTGTGCCTTTGAGCTGCTTCGAGTGCAGATATAGAACCTTGTATTATTTCTATTTAGGAGGTTTTCCAGATGCCAGATGTGCGTCTGGCTGCTACAGGTATGGACTCCTGTCCTGCCAGCGATGAGGACACTGAGGATGAGCTGGAATCTGCCAGAAGGAACAGCAATACATCCAGAACAAGACTGCTGCCCAGCACCTCAAGACAACTTGTAAGAAGGCACACATTTCTGGATTGCTGATTCTATCTGTAAAACTGAGTTTTGTTTACTGAAACTTATTTTTTATTTGTTTGGACGTCTATTTGGTGCAGGTTGGGGAGAGTAATCATCCCAGTCTCCGACCGGGCTTAGAGGGAGGCAGTTCTGATGATGAGGCTTCAAATGGCCGGGGCGGTCCATCTTTGTCCGGTATTGAACACAGGCGATCAGCTGAGGGACAAGTCATCAACCCCCCTGTTACAGGTGCAATATGCTGTTGAAGGATGGGATTTGTTGTTTTTTTCAGTAATGTGCTTTTAAAGAAAATGCATGTAAAAGAAAAATCGGATAGTGACAACCTCATTATTATATGAGGTTGGTATACATTTTAAAGCCTTCATTCTAAAAAAAAACAGAAAGTTGTTGCTGGTGCTTTCTTTAGCTTGGGTGCAGCTTTACAAAGCTTCAAAATGTGTTGTTTTTTGGCCACCATGATGGTGTACCTGAATCACTGAAGCTGATTTTAGCATGACGGACATTCCAGTTTCTGCTTTTGCCTGGCTTGCAAAGTTTCCTTTTTACTGAAACAAACGGCATTATGAAAACTGAGTGCAGGGGATGTTATGGAGTCAGGGTACATTTACATTACTGAACAAAGTGTCGTTCTTTGCTAGATGTTTGTAAGTGGTATTAGAGGGTCAGCCACTTTTAACTTCTTCTGAACCTAGCTGCATGGTCAAGTAGTATCAAGTCATCAGCAGGTCCCCAGTATTACATTTAACACTCATACTTTTTCTTCAGGCTCCTGCAATAACCTTAACTTTAGACGGAGAAATTACAATGGTGAATTGGTGATTAGTGATTTCTTCAGATTGTGTTAAAGATTAAATGTTTCAAATGAGGCTTCATTAGGAAAAACATTTAGCAGACTTTCTGTTATTGTTATTCATCACACAAGGAGCAGTTCCTTGGTAGTTTAAAGACTGATTTTCTTCCTCACAAACCATAATGACCATCTTTTTATTATGCTGTTGTAACCCCAGGGGATGGAGGTGGTGGGGATGGAAGCAGCGGCAGTGAGGAAAGCGGGAATGACGGTGGAGTTTCAACCATCCCTCTCCCGGCAACTACTGTCCCGACCACCTATGATGTCTTGCGAGGACTTGGGATTGTGGGTAGCAGTGCTGTTGGTGAAGATGACGACAGTGATCTGAATAATCTGCCAGGACATGGGAGAACCAGTGTCTCAAGACATACTGAGGTAAGAAGGACTTTGATGGACATGTATAGTTTGTGACATTTATAGAAGCTGCCTTTGCAGCACAAGCAAGCAGGCTTTTTGGGCCACTGATTTAAAGTGAGATTCTTCCTTTCATAGAAAAACCTCTGATGCACTCAAAAATCTAGTCACATTCATGATACCATGTTTTGTAGATGGGTGACCGTGTGGGTCCTGTTGGAACTGGAGAGACCAGCTCCTCTTTGGGTGCTGCACTGGGAAATCAGAAACTTTCTCCGGTCAACTGGAGCATGGTACTGGATCGACAGGAGGCCCTGGTGAGTACAGATGTCACCTTAAAAGCCTACATGTGGCATTTTGGATATACTTTAATTTATGGAGTATGAGGGAAAATGTGTGTGAGTGTTGTCCATGGCTGATGGAAACAGAATTGATATTATATTTTAGTTCAATTTGATTAGTAGAAAAAGTATTGTGGTTTGAAACAAAAGACAACTGTATTAAAGGTTCAGGTGCCATGAATGAATTCGTACATTAGACTAGGGATGGGCGATATGGGCTAAAAAATGGATCACGATAAGATTTGCCATTCTGGCAATAACGATAAAAAATATCCTGATGAAAAATATTATAATTTCAATCTATATTTTTGACTCATTTTGTCTTGAGAACACCAGTTGGAAAAGTCAAATAAGATACTTAACCACAAGTTTGAGTGGTAGGTTATGGAGAAAATATTTTCAACATTTTTTGAAAACTCTTATTGCTCAGAGTAAACAGCAGCAGATCCACTCTCCGATGTCAGGCATACCTGATTGCACTTGTCTAAACTCCAATCTTGAAGGAAATCCCTCATGTGGAGCCTCGTTCAGTAATGAGCTGCTCAGAAATGTCTTCTTTATTACCTTCGGCCATGTTTGTTTGTTATTCTGCTCTGTGTGGGCAACGGCTGCGAGTCCGTCGCTCACACTTACGTCATTAACTTGCACTTATTGCGTTTATCGTGAGATGGCAAGTTTTTATCGTGGAGGATTTTTTTTAACGATAAAGCATGAACCATAATTAATCGCCCATCCCTACATCAGACCTGTCTGCTAAACAAAGAAAATAATCAATAAAATTGTGAAGCTGTGATAATATTTGTTGTTTCACAATTTCAGAGTGTAGTTCTTCCAGATTTATCCAGACTTGATCTAAAAGGTGACCCATATGAGTCAAAGAACATTAAAAGGGGGCAGTCAGCTGCTTTGTGATGGAAAGAGGATAAAAGCAAACTCAATGAGCTAAAATGTGTGATGATGTTTGTGTAAAGCTTGAGATTATCCTTCTATGTCAAACTGACAGTGGTGAGCAGTGTTAGCCATAGCTGTTTTTTTTTTTTTTTTTACACACTCTGATCCCTTTGGAATATAACATGAGATTAGCTGTTACAGTGATTCTTGTTTGATCCAGTTTTGATCAGTGCTTTGTTTCGGTGTGTCTTCGTAAAGAAGGGTGTAACGGGCTTTGATGCCACATACTCAGAATCTGTGTGTGCATGTTCGATAATTGGTGCTTCTTATTGAAGTATAATCAGAGCCTTTCATGCAACAAACAGGATCTCAGTAACAGAGTGATCAGCAGTTTTCTCTCTCTATCCCTCTCTCTCATATGCAAGTACAAATAAGAGTTGACGTGGCTCTGGGCATGCTCTGTGTCTGTCACTGGTTTTTGCAAACCCAGTTCGTCAAAATGAAGAGTCAATTAAAGAGCCAAAATAGATCACATGTTAAATGGTTAAACTGACATGTGTTCCACAGACATTAATCGAATTGTGGGTTATAATTCAGTTCAAAAGGTTTTGACTGTTCTTGTAACTGCTCGAAACAAAACAAGGACTTTAAATTGTTATATGAAGCCTCAAGTGAACTGTACCATACATAGGAAATGCTGTGTGTATTTGCATTTTTTCAATGAGAGATTTGTGAGTGTAGGTACTGTATAAGTAGCCGTAATAAATTCTTTGTGGATGAATACCAGGATGCCATGGAGAGTACAGACTCGGGGCCCACCATTGATAGATTATTGGACTCAGTCTATCTGAGGAGTGGAGCTGGACTCAAGAGACCTCAGGACTCAGCAAACTTCACTTTCTCTCACCTTCAGGGAACCTATGGGAGCTTCCACTTCTCCCAGGTATGATCCATAACCTATGAAATGTGTGCTTTATAAAAACAAGGTGGCTTTATCTGATTTTTCATTTTGTTACTTAAACTCTGTTTGGCTTTTCAGTTTGGTGCTTTAGAGATTTGTTCCTTGATTGTTGTCCAACAAACAATATCCAGTGTTTGTGAGTTTCATGTTTCCGGTCCGAGCAGTCTGTCAGCAGCATGGCGAAACACTCAGAGTCACAGTTTTTGATCATGATTTGGCAGCATGAACATTTCTTTTCATCTGCACAGTTAGTCTTTGGTTAGGCATGTGATTTATAAGGGTGGATGGGGATTTATTCAGCTTTCTTAACAGGTTCTATGAAATGTTGTTTTGCCGCACTGATACTCCTGCACAGAAATGGTACTTAAAATGTAAAGTAGCACGATTTATTTGACAAGATGTAACATAATAATTAGGGATGTTCTCAACTCATAGTTTAATCATAGATATTGTTTGGCAGCACTAGAGCTAAGTGACGACGTGAAGGACAGACTAGTTGATAGAAGATGATCAATCAAATTCAGGTCAGCTGTTGGACTTCTTTGCTGTGAATCCCCCCTCTAAGGGGAAAAGTGGAACTGAAACATGCTGGCAGGAGCTGGTTCTGCCCTACAGTTTTCACCCCCCTCTTTATTACTAAATGCTGAGGAATTTTGTACTATCGTTGAAACTTTAGGAAACTCTCAACCTTTATTGGTTGTGCAAAACTCTTCCTTTTCTGATTGCTTGAAGCTTCTTATCTTTGAACTCCGTCTGTTGCATGTTTCGAAATAAAGTAAAACAGGCAGGACACAAAGTGGAATTTTGAATTTTATGCAGTTGATAACTGTTGTCACTCATCCCATACTCAGGCTATGCTCCCAGAAGGTGATGACGAGGAGGAGGATGATGATGATGATAATGATGGAGTAGATGAGCCTGACGGTGCCAGGTCTTCTTTGGGCTTAAGGAACGGGCCTTGTGGTAATGTGACTGGTGCAGAAGCTTCAGCTGGTACGAGTGAGGATGAGGAAAATCCTCTGTCCACCTCCCTGGAACCCAAGTATTTCTCCCAGAGCTTCCACCAGGACCAAGAAGATTCAGATGATGGTTGGAACCACTGCTCGGGCAACCTGGAGCTGGAGTTCCAAAAAGGTCAGCTTTATCTTAGATGTTCAAATCAGACATTTTTAAAATGATCACAGATCTAGGACACAAAGCTCATTCTGTTTTATATTTGTGGGAGAGTGTGTTAACAGCATGGCTTGCTTTATTAGGTGCTAATGCCGCTCATGGTGTAGTGTACCAGAATGATGAAGGGCAGTGGGTGACAGACCTTGCATATTACTCCTCCTTTGAGAAGGAGGTTGATGGGAAGACATCCGAGAACGGTGGACAGTTTGAGTCTGAGGAGTTTGTTTCTTCCAGTATGTAACACACAGATCTAATGTAATACCTGAAGATTCAGCCTCAGTGTTTTCATGTTTCAGCGCTAAACCCATGTGACTTTTCTTTTTACCTCTGCAGGTGATGCAGTGGACAAGATCGCTAAAGATCAAGAGGAATTTGAGAAGGAACATCAGTTCATGCAGGTATACACCAGTGACTTTTTTTCATTTTTCTGGATTGAACATTCACCTTTTATTAATGCAATACCTCGAGAACCCCTCATATCAGATGTGACCTGCTGTGCGAGCAGCCATGCCACAGCATACACAGTTCCTGCTGCTGCAGCCACTCAGTGTTTCATAAACAAAGACCAGACCTGGGCGTGCAGCTATATTTCCCAGCAATTTTCACTCATTTAATTTCTGTCGAACTTTGGTGTCCTTCATCAAAAATGATCATGGTCTGTGTGTCACAAATACTGTTTGATCTGCCTGTGATCTGAAAGGGTGCTAAAAAGAGAAGAGACAACAGAAGGTCCTTCTGTTCAATATAACAATTAAGGGCTAATGTTAAATATAAACCTTCTCATTCCACTGTTTTAACAGTTTGATGCAGCTGGTTTCTGTTGACCTCAGTTTTGGATCATCTTCAACAACCGTTGTCCTCACTTTAATCGCCTGTTGCGATATTGCAACATTAGAAACGCTGATGTTAAAGGCCCTCCTGATCAGTGTTGTTAAAGCTCAGCAGACATTAAGAAACTGTATGAAGGAGGAGAGCTGCGGCGCTGCTGTCATGGGCAGATTCAGCACTTAGCTTAGGGTGCCCCAGCCCCTAGAGTGTTTCCTCCCCCCGTATTTGATTGTACACCCCAAAATTCGTAATGGGCTATTTGCGTTTTTTGCTATTGGCTGTGACTGAACTGCAAAGACAGCTTCTCTCACAATTATTATTGGATGAGACTTTAAAAAAAAAAAAAAAAAAAACAACCCGTAAATATAGATGCTAAAAATGTTAGCTTGCGTGTTTCTGTTGTGTTATGTTATGTTTTTGATCTTATTTAAAGCTAACCTAATGATAACTTATAACATGATGTAAAATAAATAGGACAATATCTTTTAATTAACACACTCTCCTTATTAAATGACAATAAAATTTCCACTGCATTATCTATTCAAACCATGTCAAACTTGATTGAGCCTTACTGCAGACAAAGCTTGTCTGAGAGGTGGGGTAGGTGGGAATCCGTTAAAGAAGCATTTTTTTTGTGGTGTAAAAAAAACAAAAAAGCTTTTTATATCAGTCAATAACTATTAGTCATTGATGAGATTTGGTAATATAACGATATAACTGTGTTTTGTTAAGTCTGTGTAGTAACATTTTTAATTTTTTGAGCAGCCCGCTCTTTCTGACTGTAAACAAAGCCATCCTCTGCCTCCCCCAACCTGACTGGTTGTGAGATGGACACTGCTCCTTAGTGCTGATGGTTGTAAGGCGGACGCTGTTCCCCCCGTGTCGTTCAGGAGCCCAAACAAAGTTAGCGTGCTACAAAATCGGACAGTAGAAACCAACCAGAAAGTACAGAAAATTGTCTGACTCCTCCTTTGGCTACAACCACCAACACAAGGAATAAAATGAAGTAAATACTGGGACTCTGGTGGAATAATAGGCACTTAAAAAGGAGGTAGACCACCCAGACAAGAGCTAAAAAGCTGGATCAACAATGATGGGGGAAGCTTTGGGATCTTACAGACCCTGTAACCTTTATGCTGGATAGCTAAACTGCTTTAACAAAGTAGGCCAAGTGTCTGTAACAGAAGTGTTTCTTGTCAAATGGGATCTGCTGCGTGTTGTAGGGCCGCTAAACTGTTTACCTCGGGTCCTGGAGTATGTCACTTAATCTGAGTTGTACTTCCTCAGATCCTGCCTACCCCACCTTTAACCTCATGGCCAAAGACTTGGACTTGTGAAAACTCAGAGTCAGTGTCAGAGTTGCTTCCCTATCTAAAAAACTAAAAATACGAAAGGCGTTGTATTTGGTTGTTTGTCATATTTAGATTAAGCAGCCAATAAGGGAATGGATAGTTTAGTGAAGTATGTTGCTGGTTGATCACATTAAAAAAGGCGCAGATGTACCTCTCAGCCATCTTTTTTTCTCACATGAAAGTACGCTCTCTTATGACTCATTTTATGCATTGCTATTCTCACAGGAGGAGAAGATTGAACCAGCCAGCAGTAACAGCACCTTTAACTGTGACTCATCTTGGAAGGCTCCCACTAGCAGCCACATCCTTATGAGGGCTTCCCAGGTCTCCTCTGAGTTTCAGCAGTGGGACCAAAGCTACCTGCGGCTGTCTCTTGGGCAGTTTTTTGAACAACGCTCTGAAGCCCTGGGTTGTCTGGGCAACAGTGATGATGTGGATGCAGTTAAACGGGTCAGTAAACATACAGCTTATTAAAAAAAACAACAAAAAAATGTTCTGCGTGCCGTCACAAGTCTTATGGAAGCGGTTAAGAATTCAATAACATGAAACATTAATGCCTATCAGCGCTGATATGCAGCAGGTATCTGAATACTTATCAAGTCGAGCTGTGTTCTTTGTCAGTGGCAGTGAGAGACTCATGTTGTAGTAACTTTTCACCAACAAAATGCTGTTTTAGCAGCACAGCTCAATGAATTTTTAATGGTGTGTGGAGTCTTCAATTCTTCAAATCCTAGTTTTCCCGTTCAAAGATACTGATTTTAACACAGTCTGCACTGTTTATAGACTCATATACTGTGCCAAGTTTGGACAGTCAGTCATAACTTTAAAGGGAGAATGTTTATATAGGAACAAATAATAAATCTGTTCCTAGATTTTTTTCTATCTACAGCCCTTCAACTCTTTATTCCTGAAAAGATAAATCAGAGAAGAACCTTTATTTTGGGTTCATAAACTATGATGTAGGATTGTTGCATTGACTGCCATACTCAAGTAGCTTTTTTAATCATATTGAGGGCATTTCTGATACTCATGACATCATGGAAGACTTGGGCGCTAAGTTCATGTTTCAGATACAGCGTTGATCTGAGATGGAACTTGAACTAAAAGCTTATTCTTTGATCATGCAGCCGTCCTTTGGCTACATCATTACCTCTCCAGAGAAGAGGGAACCTTTCCCCCTGATTCACCCTGCAGAGTTCTCGGCTCAAGGCAGCTCTCTCCCAAATGAAACCATGGACGTCAGCGAAGCAGATAAGACTCTCAACCCAGGTGTGTTGATTATGTTTCTGAAGCTGATGAAGTCCATACAACTCTTCTTGACACTTTTTGTAACTTGCTTATCAGTGAGTAAGAATTGTATGAGTTTTGGTGACTGTTTGCTTGATCCTGCCCCCTTTCAGAGGACCTGGACAAAACCCTTGAGGCACCAATTGAAAGGATGTCACCTAAATGTGATGCTGCTGACACAGAACCATGTGCAAATGAGGTATTATTAACTTGGTCTAATGTAACATTTCTTTTATTGCATATCTTTAATTACTGTCTAATGTCAAATGTCCTCTTTTCTTAAGAAAAACGTCCACAGGGCTGCACTGCCTCTGCACACTGAGTCAAGCTTGAATAATCAAAGCTGCGTGTCCCCAGACAGCAACAGCAGCAATCTGATGCTGAGTATCAGCACAATTGCTTCAGCCATTGCTGATGCATCTATCAGCACTGACCCATCACAGCTGGCTGCTATGATTATGGAGCTTTCTAAGAGGAGTAGGAAGAGAACTCGTCCTGAGGCGCCTGTCGCTCCTGGTGGACCTAATGAGGAACCACAGTCAACCGAACATGTAAATCTTTTTTTTTTTTTCCACATATTGATCTGAAATTATTTGTTCTTTGAGTTGTACAAAACAAAAAGTTACACATCTATCCCAACCATTTAAGTTAGTTGCTTAGTGCCAAAGTGGTGAATGGACATTTGAATTTGACCACATCTAGTCCTCTGACCATTCAGAGTACTTTTGCATAACACGTTACATTCACCCACTCATATGAAGTAGTGACAGTTTCAGCAGACTCTGTCATTTTGGGCATATTAGCTCCTCATCAGACTAAAATTACAGTGGATCCCCCTGTCTTGAGTGCGTGCAAACACACTCACATAAGCCTGAATAATCTGAGATAATTTGTAGAAAACATGTGCAAAATTAATGAAACTTTACTGCTCCTTAACATAGATACTAAAGTCTTAAAAATAATCAAAACTATGTATTCTACATTGTATGAAATTTAACATGAAGGTAACACCAACAGGTAGACAAGAAGCTTTAAATTGCCTTGTTCTTGTCCAGGGTAAAACTGTTTAACTGTGATTTAAAATGTGACCACTGTTTATTGAAATAAGGTATTTACCTATAATTTTACATTAAAGTTAATGCTCCACTTTAAGGAGAAAAAAGAATGAGCAACCACCAGTATCTCGTTAAAGTTTATGATTTTTCCCTTTGATATAGATCCTCCATGAGCCAGATCACAGAGCCATGCTGGACACACTTCAGAGAAGCACCTACGATGGCGATTTGAGCACGATTGACTTTGAGAAATATCTGAAAAAGAGTGATGTGTCAGGCAGCAGTGATGCATCTTTGGCACACACTACCTTTAACCTCACTAGCTGGGCTGAAAACTTGAGCTGCCTCCAAAGAAATCCTCTGACAGTTTGTCCACAGGAGCAGGAGAGCTCGGCTCGGACGGTGGATTTAAAATCTGAAGATAGAAAAGGAGAGACAGCATGGAACACAAGCTCACCTGCCGTGCCACTTTCAAATATATCATCTCATAAAGTTGATTCGAAAAGAAGCTCTATTCCTCGACCATGTGCATCTTTCAGCTCTGCTGGAAGATCGATAGGCTCAGGGCAATCCTCCAATCTTAAAGTTCCAGAAAATGTAGCCAAGTCAGGAGAGTTGAACTCGCAAGCATCAAACAGTATGAGGTCTTACACAGAAACATCTCAGTCCAGCTTCCCAAGAACCTCACCAGGAAGGAAGAAGGGGCATTCAGGCGTCCCTCTCCCCAAAAGTTTCTCTCCTCCACCTCAGAGGTTGAGTGGTGCAGGCCAGCAGCACAACAGACCCATAGATTCTCCTGAGAAGAAACCATCACCCAGGAACACGAAGACTGCATCACTCTCTCACTCCTCTGTGGAAAAGCATGTTGAAATCTCTTGTCAAAGCAAACAGCCTCAATTAAACCCTGCAACTGGTGAGTCAACATCAGGAATGTGGCTTCTGATTGAAACACCATGCGTGATAGCAGCCTTGGTCGCCCTGACTGAGATAATCCTGAGGTTTCATGAACGTTTGTGTTAACTCCATTTCTCTCATGTTCTGAAAGGTTTCCCTGAACCACACATAGAGGAGACACAGTGCAACTTCAGACCGTCCACTTCTCCGCTCACTCACTCTTCTCCAAGTCAGACATCTATACCCAGTGCTGACAGGTATTGTATCTTGTGTGTGGCTTCTGTTGCTCATTTGTTGTTCCTGATCCAGCCAGAACATTAGTATTCTTGTGCCTCTTTTATTCACGTGTTTTCTCTTCTTCTGCAGTTTGGGATCCCCTGCTTTGTCAAATGGAGGTCAGGCAGACAAACGCCCCGTTCTAGACCACTCTCCTCAGTCTACCTGCTCCAGCCCTAGTATCAGCAGACTCACATACATCTCAATGAATGATGGCACTGTCATACCTACACCTGAGAGGCAACAAAAGGTAAAGTAGAATGAATTCAGGGAAGGGGAGGATCTCACGTGAATAAGAATGTAAAGGTTTCCACACCAGATACTCACACGGTGTTATAGATGTTAAGAGACACCTTTTGATAATCATACTCTTTCATAATTAAAGCACTCTTAGTCTATTTCGCTAACTAAACAAAAACTCCCCTCTCCTTTTGACATACTTGGTTCAGGCCTTTGACAGGAAGACCAGGGGGAAAGATCTGTTTCAGCATTAAAGAAGTGTCAGAGTCGTGTTACTTTGACGTTTAAGTGTATTCACTGGCTGCATGACCATGACCATGACTTTCCAAATGTAGGGCTTTTTGCAGGCTGTGAAAGAAGTGGCTAAAATTTAAAGCCATATAGCACAGTTGTTCTTTGAACCAGCTGTACATATACATGCTGCATTCATTGGGCCGCTGTGGCTTAGTGGTCGACTCTGTCTCTCAATCAGAAAGTGTTCAATCCTAGGTCCTGCTGTCCACATGTCAAAGTAGACACTTGGCCCCAAACTGCCCTGTTGTGTTTTTTCCCTAATTCATAGATTTCCATGTGAACTTATTGAACATATCTGGCTGTATTGTATGCCTACAGAACATATGGAGGTATAGTGATTGTTGAACACAAAGAGCAGATCAAGAGACAATCTCCATAGATATTCATATAGAGAGGCTGAAACTACCACATGTGGAATTGCTGCAACAAGAAAACGAAACAGAAATCTTTCAGATGCTCGTCGTCCAGTTTCTGTCTGCTTGTTCTTATTGAGCATGTCCACACAATCAGGAGCACAGTCAGTCTGAGTAAACACACTCTGACGGTGCCAATGTTGCTGGTTTGCCATCTTTGCCTGTGTGAGGAGGAATCTCTGCAAGTACTTACAAAGTTTTCAACCTCTGTTTTCGCTCAGTCAGTTCTAGCTGTTGTGTATTGGTGTCTGAAAAATAGAGCTCATGGAGACCTGGCACACTGCTGCAGACCTTGGCTGAGTGTCTCTGCTGTGCACCACACATGCCTGTAGGTGGCCATTGAAACATGCTTTCAACTTAAAACACCACCCTGACAGCTCATATGAAACCACAATTATTTGATCTCTAGGTGAAAGAAAACTGAGCACAGAAGTGTGTTCAAGCTCAACATTGGATAAATTATTAACATCCCATATCATATGATTGGCTTTACAGAGCAGTCCCCTCCATCAGAGTATTCAGGTGGTATGAATCGGTGAATCTGACATGCAGTGTAAAAGCACTTAAAGTGGTCAGAGGACTAGAGAAGGGGTTAAATAAACCTACATGAACAAAGTGCAGCTGACGCCAAAACCAGGAAGTCATTTGGGTGAAATGATCAGGCAGCTTCTGCTCAGACTTTGGATGTCATGTTATGATCTGTTGAAACTAAGTCTTGGATAAAATAAAACTTTCTTGCTCATTGTTCATCAAAAATGAGGGCAGACAAGTTTTCTCTTTGCATCAAACAGCAAAAAGTGGAGTAACGTGTTTTGGCTAATTTGCTTATAATTGCACATCCTGCAGTCAGACGTGCACAAAGCTGTCTGTTCTTCAATAATGAATGTCAGCTTCATGTTAAGGTGAGATTTTTTCGAAAAGGTAGAGCAGTGATTTTGATCATTCCTGATAAACCTCTGAAATATGGAGTATTCTGTTGTGTTTGTCCTGATTCAGGCTAACGTTGTCTCTGGTTGTTTCCCCCAGCAGAATAACTGCACCATGGCACTCAGCACCACCATCATCAGATTTAGTCCAACTCCACCTCTGGAACAAGATACTCAGACTAACCTTGATTCCCTGGGCCAGTCTAAATGTTTAGACCAGATGCAGCCCCAGCACTCTAAAAGTCTGGACACATTACCAGCACCACCGTGTAGAAGCCCAGAGTCCAGTTGTGACCCTGCACTGACCTGTACTCGCAGCCAGAGTGAAAAGAACTACCACTGCCCAGGGGAAAGAACTGGTGACCCCTCAGCAGGTTACAGGAACCAGAAGCCCCTCACTGAGTCCAATGTAAGGCAGCTCTCTAAAGTGGACTCAGGCTATTGCAGTAATCTGAACATTCAGCAAACTAGCAGTGCTGCAGCTCCTCAGAGCTCCCAGCAGTGGGGAGCTTCGAGATCAGTGTCATCCTCCATGTGTAGTGGTGGTCTTGGCATTCCTCCATCCTACTCAGCTGGGGGACTTCACTATGTACCCATCCCCAGTTTTAAACCCCAATGTGCTGGACTGGCTGAAGTTCCTCATCAGCGAGACATGCAGTCCCTTCCCTCTGGACACACTTTCTTCAATGCACAGCTAGCTCAGCAGCATGTGGGACCCAAGGCTTCATTACATCCTGGAGTATACCATGTTGGAGCAGGAGGACCTGGACTCCTCAGTGTGTCCTCGACAGGTATGTCTTTCCTCGCTGCTTTCAAAAACAAAGTGATTTACCTCTGCCTGACAGTGCGATATAAGAAAACTCTTCAAAAACTGTTAACAATGATAAACATAACCTTTGTTTCAGTTCAGGAACATTTATTTTGGCTCCTCTGGGAACTCTGACCTCCCAAAAGCCACACACAACTCTTAATACATATTTTTACTAGAACAAACATTGTAGAATAGAAATACATGTCGACAATAACAAGAAAAAATTTGACACAATGATAAAAGTTTAGTAACCATTCAAAAGTTTTTGAAAGAGAAAAAAGTATCTCTAGACTTCCACCAAAGGAGCTCCTCTGTCTGAGCTGCTCAGAAGGTTGAGCTAGTGTTTGTCTTTCTGGCAGTGTGTGTTGTGTTGTGTTGTGTTGTGTTGTGTTGCGTTGTGTTGTGTCATGTTTTGTCGTGTAGCCTGCAGCCAGCCTGAGCTTGTATTTAAAGCCTCCACAAACAACATCCAGGTTAGACTGCTTGGTACAATGTTGATCTCACAGAAAAGCTATAGCAGCTGGAGTTATGTATTTTGATTGGATTCTCACAAAATATCCGTCACCAGCAGGATTTATTCATTGTGCTTTAGAATAATAACTGAAATAAATCATAGAAAGTTATTTTAATGACTTAAACTTAGGAGTGTGACCTTTCTTGAATAGTCTGTTTAAAATCAACCACTTACAAATCCTATTCACTAGTCTGCCTTTGAATCCACAAAATCCTAGTTGCCAAATGAATCGAGCTTTCTATGTTTTTTTTTTTTCAGGCATACCCAATGGTAGTCTCATGGAGAGACACTCTCATCACTCATCAGGTCCTCTGGGGATATCTGGGGCTGCTGGGCCCCACAACCTCCCCAATACATATCAGTGCCAACAGGAAATGGGGATGCTGGGGAAACACTATGGTTACTATGGAGCAGAGCCGCTGGTGGCAGGTGGTCTTGAGGATCTAAAAGGTAAAAATGTCATAAGAGACCTTTTCATACTCACTTTAACCTTCCATTATGATTCTCAGTGACACTGCTAGAGTACCTCTGCAGGATTTGCAGCTCAAACAACTCCTAGTTTGTCATCATAAACTGGTGTATGAGAAATCGCTTTTCACCAGTACTCAGCCTCTCCCTAAAATGCCTCGAGTTGGCTGCCTTTCCAGCAATAGAATGTACGACTCAGTTTGTGGATGTTATTTTTTACACAGTTCTGCGGTCATGAAAAAGACCCATAAGTTTGTCTTTATAAAAACTGTCTGGGGCGTGTGCTTGAAAGCAGTGTATTTGAGTGCTCCTTAAACATTGTTCTAATGGAACACCTAAGCTGGATGTGAGGTTCAGGCCAAGTTCAGAATCTGACAAGAGTCAGAATACTTGATGTATTCCATTACACTCGCTCTTGAAAATACTAATATAAATAGAAGGATAACGGAAACAGGGATGAAATGAGAATAAGTAAGAAATTATAACAGTTAGTACAAAGAGCAGAACATTTGGAAAAACAGCTATTTACAAAGTGCAGAATGTGAGTAGTTATGGTAGTTATATTACCTTAGATCATATTGAAGTATTGACCGGTTTACAAACAGATTGCACAGTTGAATTTGATTCTATGAAGTGGAGAAATTTACAGTCACTACATGATCAATGAGTTCAGGGACAGTCAGAGGGAGAAGTAATAAAGTTTGATGGTCACAGGTAAAATATCACGATTCACGATATTATCATGATATTAGCGCATTGCTTTTAACATTATTAAAAATGGCTAGCAGAAACGTTAGCAGAAACGTCACTAACATTGTCAATAATAAGCAGTAGAGTAGACCAAACTTGTTGCGGTCATGTTGTTTTTACCTTGATTTGGGTGAACGATGCTGGATGGTGTTCACGGAGGTGGGCACGTAGGTTTGAAGTGTTGGACAACTGCGCTGCAACTTCCTTGTGGCATAACCTGCAGATTGGTGTCAGGTTTACCTGCTCCGTCTGTTTTGTGAATCCGTAAAATGTCCATACTGCAGATGAAGCCTTTTTAATAGGAGGATACAGCCGAGGCAAATCAACATAACAGGGCTTCTTCAGTTAGACCCTTTGTGTTGCAGGACAGTCTCTGTTAGGATGACTTCCTTTACCTCTCTTTAAACCATGTGTCCACTTGAAAAATAGAAAAAGGTGTGCCCCACCTCCACTTTTTATTTTATTTTGTAGTTCATTTTTTTATTTTTTTATGTTGTTTTATTTCTATTTAACTTTGCTGTTTATGTAAAAGAAAAAAGCAAATAAATAAAAAGTTTCAGAAAAGAAAAATAGAAAAAGACTTTGAAACTCGTGCCTAACCTACGATTGCAGATATGCTGCACCAGGGGGCAGCATTTTCATGTATCAATTTTTCCTCCTCTCCCTGTCATCCGTAGGTCAAGTGATGGTGCCAGAGGAGCTGCGGTTCCCTCATGCCTGCTGTGTAGGCATCGCCTCCCAGACCTCCCTGAGCCTCTTCAACCCCTCTGAGAGATGGCAACAAGTGTCAATCAGTGTCACCAGCCTGGCCATTGATGGAGAGAAGGTTAGCTGGAAGAAAAAAACAGTCACTGAAATCCTCATGTCATTCTGTGATACAATGGTCATCAAATGATTCCTTTGGTCATATTATTCTTTACATGTTCCTCTCCTTACAGGTTGATATCCTTCCTTACCAGTGGCTGATAGTCAAAAACAAGACCATCATTGGCCCTAACAGCACAGAGGAGCAGAAGGTTCTCTTCATTCCTCCCCAGGCTGGTGTCTACCAGTGTGTCCTCAGTGTTTGCTCATGGCCAGCATCTGCTGAGACTGAAGTTGCTGCTAGAGCCAATATCTTTGCTAAAAGGGTGGTGCTAGTTGCCATAGCGGAGAATCCTGCTCTAGAGGTGAGGACCTTCATTTTAGACATCCCTGTCACTAAAAATAATCTTCCGTGAAGAAATACAGGAAAGTAAAACAAGAGTTGAGACAGTCCCTCCAGGATTTCACAGGGACTAAAATGCCTGATTTTGAGGCAGTTTTTCTAAAAAAAATTGTGGTGAAAGTTGCAATCATTTGAGGTTTCTTTTACTAAAATCACAGGAATATGGGAAATTGCAAATCAGCTACAACAGTCTTTTGTGAGTTTTGAGCCTTAAAGATAAATGTGTAATATTTTCCACACAGAGTGCTCTGCATCTCTGTGTAATAACTGAGAGATGCAGTGATATGCACATATATTTGAGTCATTTAATTGTAGAGCCACACAGAGAGACGGACCGGCGCGCACAGAGACTCACAGCCACACAGAGATCGGGTTACATTCAGTCTTACAATTTAGAGAAAATATAAATGTAAGCACCAAGTTCAATTCCTTTTTTCATTTGTGTGCTTGTTTTTTTTTTTTTTATCCTCATATACCTTGATCCTTTTAGTCCCTGTTAGTGTTTAGTGTTTAGTGCCACAGCCTCTGTCATCGTGACTTGTCTCGTCTGTCCTCTTTGAGTTTCAGCTGTTCTCCTTGCATGTTTTGCTGTTGAACAGTATCCGTCGAGCGACAACTTTCGCATGTGTTGTACCACAATATTGCAGGCAGTGCAGAAGAGTTTACCTCCGCTTTCATGGAACACATCTGGAAATTGACTTGCAGGAACTTGTTGATAAATGTGAGCGTTTAGTGTCACACATTTCTCCATCTTCTCAATGTAAACAAGGTAGTGTATATGATGACGTACATGTCACGTAGAGACGTGGGCGAGAGGACTAAGTTTACTGGTCAAATATGCGGGAAATTTGTGGTGATTGGATGAAATTGCAGCGCCTCTCTGAATTCACGGTAATCGATTGAATTTGTATTAATAGTTGCTTAGCAATATGGTGAATTCCTGGAGGGACTGTTAAGATATCTGTTCAAGACCGTGTTTTGAAATACTTGGAGGACACTTATATGTTTTCACTGAATTTTAAGTTGTTAACAAATTAAAGACATTTTGACACAGGGTCTAAATTAATTTCCTTTCCCAGGTCGAAGTTGGCAAGTCTGGCTGTCTGGATTTTGGGGACCTTTCAGGAGGCAGTGCCAAATCACTTCCTGTCAAACTTTTCAACCGGACTCATGCTACTGTGCCCATCCGACTGGTCATCAGTGCAGTGAGTGAAAAAACAACATTTTCTATATTTTTCAGACAGCAGAAAAGACATGCACGTATATTTGAGTCATTTGGTCATTCTTATATGATAAAAACTTTGTCATCTTCCTAACACAGACATGCATTTAGCCACACTCTGTCAGGGTGTGTGACTTTTGACTAAATATTAACCTCAGCTAATTTCCCCCTGTGGGACTAATAAAGGAACATCTTAAAAATAAAAGAGCTGAAGTGGAATATTTTGTTAGCATGATGTTCCAGCTTTACACTGTCTGAAACTGTAAAATTTGCAGCCTGATGAATTGTGATTTAAACAGTCGATCACATTCTCAAATCATGACATCACCCCATTTTTTGAATCGCATTAGAAAACTGGCACAGTCTCCCAGAAAGCTTGACCAGAAACCACAAAATCAAGTCAATACATAACATTCAAAAACAATCAATTGACACTGTAACATGTCGCCTCTTAAAACGTGCACTGAACCTTCTACTTAAATCATGGCAGCTGTCAGCTAAAAGAAACAGATCATTGAACACAACAAAAAACTCCTCAGAAATCAAAACCAGTCATCAGAAAAAAACAAAAACCTCCAGATAACCGGAATACCTGGACCAACATTTTAAGGTTGTTAAACAGCAGGGTTTTTTTTTTTAAGTCAACTCTCAGCAGCTGGTGAACAAAATTTACAGACGTGTGTACCACACATCATGTGGTAACTGCAGGTTTACCGTATATCTGCGCAGTCGAGCAACCAAACTCAGACCCTTTAACTGGAGCTACTGCTCCTGCTAGTGGTAAGAGAGTGTCTTACACCTTGTTCACAGCATTTAACTTGTAATGTTAACCAATATGAATAGAAGCATCATGATGTATTTCATCAGTAATTTGGTCTTGAGTGGCCAAAGTGTTCACGTTATTGTTGAATAAACTTTCTGCAAATATCTCTGGCTGTTGGTGTGGTGACTGTCTGCAGATAAATACAAACAAAAAATGCTGAAAGTGATTTCTTCATTTGATGAAAGTTGTGAAGGAAAGATTAGCAGCTGCTCAAAAGGTACCAGTTTCAGCTGACATCAGGCCTTTATTATTTCCCTCTTATCTAAGGATGATCAGTATCAGCGGTTCATAATTTATCACCCATTTTTCCAGAACGCTGCAGCCTGGCGATGTTTTACCTTCTCCAAACATCCGGTAACTGAAGCAGGACAAGAGGATGGACACATGACCTCAGTGTCCTCTCCCTCTGTGATGAACCATGTGATGCCTGCCAGCTACGGAGAGGTCGGACTCATCGTTTTTTTTTAAGTCTTTTCCTGCTCTTTGGTCATAGTCTAGTTATTATGGTCTGTTTTTGTTTTACCTCCTGTAAAGCTCATTGGAGCATTCATCTCAAAATATAAAACCTAAAAAACTTAATCGAATCTAAAGACCGTTTTGACTGTTTTTTACATTTTCCAGTAATATTTTAAATGTTGTTTCTCTTTTTCCAGGATCCACAGAGCTTTATGGTCTGGGTTCATTTCAAATCACCTCTTAAATACAGCGATTCCTCAGGTAATACACCTGATTGGACTGCTTTTGTAATTTAAATCAGCAGATCTTGACTGAGACGTCAGGCTTGTGTAGTTGCATTGACATATTCTCTAGTTGATTCACTCGTGACACACCTACTTTCTGATGACTTAAAGTGTTTTTCTGGTGGTTCTTGTCAGGAGAGCTTGCTCCAGCGGATGAATACCATGCTCGGGTGGACATAGAAGTGGACTGTCCTGGTCCAAGTCATATTATTTTGAGTATTCCTGTCAGGGCGAGGTCTGGAACTGCAAGGGTCCATGCTCCCAAGGACCTGCAGGTAGTAAACCTTTTCTATGATTGTCATACCAACCTCTACTTTGAAAAGCCATTGTTTATATCGAAGGACAAGAAAGTCTTGTTTGCAGTGAGAAAGAACAGTATGTTTTAATGTCCAATGACCTGCCAAAAAAAAAAAAACAAAAAAAAAACACTGTACCAGCATGAAAAAAATTCAATTCACAAAATTCAACTGAACTGAAAATGTCTAAAGAAAAGTTTGGGTGCAAATATTGATCAGTGATCATGACTGTAAGGACTGAGAGGCTTTGGTTGGCTGCAGTTTTAGACCAGCCAATCAGACATTTAGTTTCCAGGTCAGTGGATCAGTCCCCATTTTGGAAGTAAAACAGTCCTTTTAATTGAATGTGGCTATTTTGTGATCATGAAATGTTGAAACGTTAAACTTGGCTAAAAGCTTGAGCTCTGAACACTCCAAGCCTGTGAGCCATGATTGTGCTCACTAACTTCAAACTAAGTCATTGTCTGTAGTACATGTCAGCACATCCATAGTCATAAACATGAGGTAGACTTGCTACTAACATACTTTTGCTCCAAGGGGGAATATTAAGCCTGTTACACCTCACCAGTATTGTGTGATGTAGGGAGCCATAATGGTGGGGCAACATGGTTGTGCAGAGTGGGGTAAAGAAGGCGACACTGTGAAGCATGGAAGCCAACAGTGTAGATGGATAATGAGTGTGTATGTGCATGTCTCGGTGTGTATATGTGGAGCTCCCGCTGAGTCTGTTCTCATGCTGTGCCTCTCATGCTTCTGTAACAATCAAGTGCAGTGCGTAATGACACACCGGGACACTGATGTTATGTTGCTTTGAGTTCTAATGCTTAAGTACAAATAGCAAAACTCTGTTCCAGTGGTGTTGGGGAGTTGCTGTGTGTGTGTGTGTGTGTGTGTGTGTGTGTGTGTGTGTGTGTGTGTGTGTGTGTGTGTGTGTGTGTGTGTGTGTGTGTGTGTGTGTGTAAGAGGCTACTGCTTTATGGGATGTCTTTCACGGGTGAGTAACAGCTTATGAATATATATTTTTTAATTTTATGCAGGGAAGAACCTTTCAAAAAGAAAAACATCTGAAGGGTGAATGTTTAGTCACATTCATTAGTCAGGACAACTGAACACCTAATGTAAATGTGCACAGCTAGAAGTAGGGGTGGGGGGAAAAAAATCAATACAGCATAGTATTGCGATATTTTGTCTGGTGATACATCGTATCATCTCATTGACCAAGTATCGATTATTTAAAAATGAATAGCTAGTATGAAATAAAATCTATGATAATGGAAAAAAATAAAATGAACTGTTTGCCCAGTGAGGTTGATGGATGTGAAGTCATAGAGTAGGCGAAAATTACTATGAGTACAATACTAATACTATATATATATATATATATATATATATTTTTTTTTTTTTTCCCCTCAAAAATTCTACACAAAATACCCCACAATGACAAAGCGAAAAACTTTTTTCGAACATTTTGCAAATTTATTAACAATAAGACACTCAAATGTTTCATATACATACGTATTCACAGCCTTTGCTATAAAACTCAAAATTGAGCTCAGGTGCATCCTGTTTCCACTGATCAGCCTTGAAATGTTCCTCCAACTTGATTGCAGTCCACCTGTGGCAAATTCAGCTGATTGGACATGATTTGGAAAGCCACACCTGTCTATATAAGATCCCACAGCTGACAGAGCACATCAGAGCACAAACCAAGCCATGAAGTCGAAAGAATTGTCTGTAGACCTCTGAAACAGGGTTGTATCGGCGCACAGATCTGGGGAAGGTTACAGAAAAATATCTGCTGCATTGAAGATCCCAAAAAGCACAGTGGTCTCCATCATTAAGAAATGGGAGACGTTTGGAACCACCAGGACTCTTCCTAGAGCTGGCCGCCCAGCCAAAATGAGCAAGCGGGGGAGAAGGGCCTTGGTCAGGGAGGTGACCAAGAACCCAATGGTCACTCTGACAGAGCTCCAGCGTTCCTCTGAGGAGATGGGAGAACCCTACAGAAGGACCACCATCTCTGCAGCACTCCACCAGTCAGGCATTTATGGTAGAGTGGCCAGACAGAAGCCACTCCTCAGTAAAAAGCACATGACAGCCCACTTGGACTTTGCTAGAAGACACCTGAAGGACTCACAGACCAGGAGGAACAAAATTCTCTGGTCTGATGAAACAAAGATCGAACTCTTTGGCCTGAATGCCAAGCGTCATGTCTGGAGGACACCAGGCACCGCTCACCACCTCGCCAATACCATCCCTGATACAACCCTGTTTTGGAGGTCTGCAGACAATTCTTTGGACTTCATGGCTTGGTTTGTGCTCTGACGTGCTCTGTCAGCTGTGGGATCTTATATAGACAGGTGTGGCTTTCCAAATCATGTCCAATCAGCTGAATTTGCCACAGGTGGACTGCAATCAAGTTGGAGGAACATTTCAAGGCTGATCAGTGGAAACAGGATGCACCTGAGCTCAATTTTGAGTTTGATAGTAAAGGGTGTGAATACTTATGTATATGCAACATTTGAGTGTTCTTATTGTTAATAAATTTGCAAAATATTCGAAAAAAAGTTTTTCGCTTTGTCATTGTGGGGTATTTTGTGTAGAATTTTTGTGGGAAAAAAGGAATTTAATCCATTTTCGAATAAGGCTGTTACATAACAAAATATGGAAAAAGTGAAGTGGTATGAATAGTTTCTGGATGCACTGTATTTGTGTGTGTGTGTGTGTGTGTGTGTGTGTGTGTGTGTGTGTGTGTGTGTGTGGTTTGTAAGATATGCTATATGACAATAAAAAAACTGCTTAAATAAGAAAAACATAAAGGAAACACAAATGTTTAAATTAGCTTACAGTTGAAAAAATTGTATGAATCGCAATACAATATATTGTATCACAATACTTGCTTAATTTCAAAATGTTAAAAATCCCAATAATATTGTATTGTGGACCAAGTATCGTGATAATATCGTATCATGGGGCCACTGGTGATTCCCATCCCTAGCAAGGAGTAGACTAGGAGTAGACACAGTGTTAATAGGCAGCTGTTAGCAAGCTTATACACCAATCTCTCCATGTTGAACTTCCTGCTTATTCCACAACCAAACCACACATGAAGCCTCTCTTTCCTGAAGAGACACTGGTCAGTCCTGCTGGTCATATTCTGACTGGGCACAAGCACATGGCTTCAAAAGAGAGCGCACCTGACCAGACCCTGTAAAGTTGGTACAGAATTCCCCAGTCTATAATTTGATGTCACAGCTCATCAATTTGCATGTTAAAGCCAAAATTTGTTTCCACTTACGTCAAAGATCTGAGAAGTAAAGAGTGAGTTAACTTGATTTGACCTGAAAGTCCCATCACTGTCTTCATGTTTCCTTTTTGTCCTTCATCTTGTCATGGCCTTTTGAGTTGGCATTCATCTGGTTTTGTGCTTTTTTCTTTGTCTAGACTGTCAGCCTGTCTGCTCCACTGGGTAAATCTAGTCAACAGATGCTGCCATTAAAGAACGCAGGAAACATTGACGTGCAGCTGAAACTCAAGGTAATTCTGACCTTTACTTTTCTTATTAGATTTGGGATTTGTGTAAGTCTCTGTGACATTTTGAGCCCAGACTGTGCCACATGCAGCAGGGATTCATGGACATTTTGGATTTGTTTTTCTTCTTTTCTTACTTTTTGATCCCTTAAGTCTCTTGTTTGGTCTTTTTCTTTTATTTTCATTCTGATACCCTCTCAGATTTTCTTTGATTTTTTTTTTCTGGTTACCCATGTCTTGCCTCACTCACCCCATTTTCATTATTATCTCTCCCTCCTTCTTTTTTTTGTCCATCTCTTATATCCCATTCACCCTGCCTATGTTTCCTTAGCTGTTGGGTTTATATTTTGTCACTTTTGTTCCCTCTCATCGTCTCTTCTTTATTTCTGATAATAGCGAAGTGATGCTGAGGACAGTTTCTCTGTGACTCCTGAAGAGCTGCTGCTCAGAGTGGGAGAGGAGCAAGGTATCATGGTCACTTTCAAAGCACAGGGTGGCAGGAAATACCAAGAAAGGTATGCAATCACTACTACGCAGGTTTTGATCCTTATAAACACCCACAAATTCTTTCTCTGCTGTCCATTAGCTAAATTTTTAACATGGCAGGGATTTTGCTTAAGGAACTCTGAAGATTTTTACGATTTAAAAGCTGGTTACAATGGGCTTCTGAAACAAACTTGCTATTCTGATGTCATTTTTTTGTATAACCTTTTGAGTGTAGGGCTTTGTTACAGAGCTTTTCATGCTCACACCATATTTTAACAAATCAAAAGATTCATGTTTTCAGTTTTTACAAACAAATGGGTTTGTCTCAGAAGCTTACTCTGTTCAGAGGGACTGTACAAAAGTGCTTATCTTTGTGGCTCGCCTATTTTGACGTGTGTCAGTCAGGTTAAGAGTAACATCTGAGGCATAATTAGGACATGACTGTTGGACTGACAGGTGGGTCTGATATAGCTGTTTGCCAGAAGGCTTTCAGTCCACCCACACTCTTAACCAGTTTAAGTCAGGATTTATACTATTGTGACTGCCATCTTTGGGCTTCTTCAGACACCAATAGCTGATGTCATTCAGACTGTGCCCATGTTTTATATAGTTGATGTATAATATCAGTCAAAAAGAATCCAAGTTTAAGGTCGCTTTTTTATAAGTCCGGACTATGGTCTGGAGCAGAGGGACGAAATAATACATTGTTGCAATTAAGTTTTGGTCCGGTCTGTGTTCATACGGTCGTTTGTCAAAACGTTCCTTCTTTGTAAACAAATCACATGTGGTATACAGGTCGTTCAGCTATTGGTCAGAAAATTTGCGAGGGAAAATCACCTCCTATAATTTTTTTTTCCATCAACAATGGAGCAGCAGCAGCAGCATTTATCCTGTAGCCTTTATCTCATCTAGTTTTAATGACAGGATAATCTTTTATTGAGCTATTTCGGTGCTCATATTTTAGTATCTTTTACTGTTGTTTTTATTTCATTTTATTTATTATTTCTTAAATTTCATTCTACATTACTTTGTTTTAAGATTTTAACCTAAACCTTCAGTGTTTCCTTATCTTGAGTTTTATAATGACGTTTCCTCAGTGCGCACATTCCTGTTTCCACGAAATCAAGCCCTCTTTAAGTTTATGCATTTTAATACTGTTCCTGTTGCAATTAGATCATGGGGTGGGAATGGGGGTTGGGCTGGAGTAGACATGGGTATTCTTTTAATCTTGGGTTGGGGTAGATTTGGGTATTCTTTATTTCTTTTATTCCTTTTTTCGTGTAAAGCACTTTGTGCTACATGGTTGTGTATGAAAAGGGTTATATAAATAAAGACTGATTGATTGATTAATGAAGTCTTTAATAAACAAGGCTAGTGTGAAAGTGATCTTAGTCCCTGATTTTAGACATCCAAGCAGAAAGAGCTTTTCAAATGCTCTTGGCTTTACAGCTAACCATGTCAGTCTACAACACATAACCCTTGCTTTCTGACTACAATAAGTCGCTTGGTAGTTAATCATATTGAAAGCTACATTTAATGCATTATTCCACAAAAGTCGCACGATCATGTTTGAAGTAAAAGTTCAGATATGTTTGCATATTGCTAGGAAAACATGTCGTTTGACTTTATCTGTGGACTGATAATCTAAATGATGAACCTGGTTGTTTTTCTTTTTTGCAGTCTTCTCACCATCTTGGTGCTGCCATCAGGTCCTCAGTATGAAGTAACCTTGAAAGGAGAAGTCATCCCAGAGGACTCTGGGAAGTCTGCCATCCCCTCCACTGCTGTCCTAGGTCCCGGTGTGACCACTGATGTCCCACCAATCCTTTCAAATAAACAATTTGTAGCCTGGGGAGGGGTCACTCTGGGACGAGCTGTGTAAGCAACTTTTCACTTTTTCATTAATTTCTCCACTACCAAAAACACACTGAAACACCGGGTATCAATTATTCATTGAAACATAATCAATAAGAAATTCAAGACCCAGTGGTCCACCTTATTCTATTAAGGCTTGTATAATGTTATTCATGAAGAGGGACGGAGGGCGTCTACAGGGAGTGCTATTTCTCAGAAGCCATTTCAACATAATACACAATTTATTTACTGTTGTTGAAGGTAAAACAGACGCAGCTGTAAGGAAGCTGAATCCTCACGAGAGGCTTGTTTTCTTTAAAGGGTCTAGACTGGACTTGGCTCATGCTCAAATATTAAGATAATGACGATCAACTCCCAAAAAAAACCCTCCTCTAATGTCTTAACATTAGTACTGAAGGATCTTTGATATCAAAACATAACCAGCTGCTGCTGCTGTTTTTTGTGTTTTTTTTTTCAGCCAACAGAAGCTGGTTCTAAGAAACAACTCCACAAACGTCACGCAGCAGCTTCGGCTGCTGATACGTGGTCAGGACCAGGACTGTTTTCAGGTAGATTCTAGCAGTTTCTACAGTGACACAACACACTGACAGAGTCAGTGTGTTGTTATTTTTCTCTATATAGCGTTGACTGTAATTCTTGGTGTCCAAAGGGGATTTTATTGAAAAGGGACATATGAGGTTTTTTGTTTTTTTTTCATTGTAATTACATCTGATATTCTTGCTCTCAGTTAGTTAGTTTGGTTGGTCAAAGGTGTTTTTTCCCGTTGATCAGTTCTAACCCACAGAGCATGAAGTCAGTGAAGATATGAGAATTTATCCGACTCTGCACTGAAAGATTTTCACAACTGCTTTTATCTTTGACACTCTGTCCTGTTCCATGTATTGAAATTCTGTATATGTCAGACAGTCTGTAGTGTCTCATACTTAGAAAAAGATTCTGGAAAAACATCAGTACTTGGAAAAGCTTAAGCAGTATTAGCACTGTTCAAATGTGGAGGATTAAGTCCTGTTCCCCCTCAGCTTCAGAGTATGTTCAGTCCTGAGGAGCGTCTGACTCGACATGGGGAGCTGTCCATTCGTCCAAGAGAGGACGTGACGGTTCACCTGCTCTTTGCACCAACCCGAGTTGCCAGCATGTTGGCCAAGCTGGAAATCAAGCAGTCTGGAGTGCGGCCTTCACAGCCTGGGGTTAAATTCACTGTAAGAATGTTACCATTTCTTTCTCTTGGTCATCACTCTCATCCCTTAGGTCCTAATTCCCTCATCTATAATTTCCTGGTTGGATTGATTGTCATTATTCCATTGAGCTGCAGTTGAAGTCTGTCACTCTGTTTTTCACATCTTCAGATTCCACTGTCAGGCTATGGTGGGACCAGCAACATCATCCTGGAGGACCAGCGGAAACAAGCTGATGGATATGTAGCAACACTAACTGATATTGCTGTTGGTCATGTCAGCAAAGTGTGTCTCTGCATCAGGAACACGGGCTCCAGAGCAGCGTTCATCAAAGCTGTGGCCTTCTCTGACCTGCAGACCCGAACGGTCATGGAGCCTTCTATCATCAGTGTGGCCCCCTCACAGTTTGTGTTAAAGGAAAGGACGCAAGAGGTAGGAAAGTGCACTCTAGAGGTGGTCAGAAGATATCTTGTATTTCTGCTTGGACAAAAACATGATAGACTTGTGTTTTTATAGCCTGGCTGTGCCATCCTGTTGCGTGAATCACTTGATGTTCCTTCCCACCACAGTCTGGACTTCGGCCCATAGAGAGCGTGTATTCCCGATCAGAAAATAACCGGGCCAATCAGAGACCGTGTTTCCACTGTTACCCGGACAACAGGGAAAAGCAGCCCCTGATTGGTCCATGTGTAGTGGTGACGTCTAACACTTGCTGCGGGACTTTTCAAAGCGCTGTTCATTCAGAACGCCGTTAATTCTGCAGTTGACTCTGCAAAGCCGGCAGAAATCGTTTATATCCGACGTCTTCTGCGTATATAAACGATTTCTGCCGACTTTCTGCATCACATTTTTCCTTCTGCAATCTCAGACTGAAGGTCAAATTTTCCAGACTTTGAATGTTTTTTACTATACCTGCCCACTGACTGATCATGGGTGGATCCCTACAGAGCCATTGCCATTGTGATGGCCTTTTTGTGTGTTGCTATAAATATACTGGGGAGGTATCTGCCTTTTTTTTTTTTTGGAGTTTTGGATCTATGTTTCCTAAGTAGAAAGACAAACAGGAAAATTCAAAATGGAATTGGCGGCAGTCTTAAAAATTAAATAGATAAAACATTGGTGTTTATCACTATGAAATTTCAATATATACTGAAATATCGACCTCTCAACTCCCCATGTGTGTGTCTGTGTGTGTGTTTTCAGGTTATCACTGTGCTAATGAAGTCCACCCAGAGAGAAACCAGCCTTTGTCAGTCGGACTCTGCACTTCTGGCTTCCATCTGTTTGTTTTGTGGAGATGAGATCTCCAGGCAGCAGTACAGGAGGTGAGACCTTCAGACATAGTCCACTTTTGTTGTTGTTTGCCATCATGGCAATGAAAGGAACGGATGTTTAGAATGATCAGCTTGTGAATGATTGTTAAAAGAATATGCCCATTTTCCCAGAAAGCTCTGATTCAGTCAAGGTCTGTCTGAAAGAAGGACCGACTCTCTCTGCATTGAATGGTTTGAAGCAGTGTTACTGACATCAACATAAAGATCCTCATACAGGCTTTACAAATGCAAACGATGGTTCTTAATGATACTGCAGAGGAAGTGAAACTGGTGGTGTTTACCAGACAAGCAATCCACTTCTTCTGTTTGATAAGATCCAAAAAGCACAATGCCTCTTTCTAACTTTATTATAAACAAGGCAGCATCAATGTGATGCTGATGGCAACCGATGATTTGTATTCTGGACCAATTTCAGATAAACAGACATTGTTTCTAAGTGCTGAGTGAGTTTAAAGATTCAATTCTAGATGGCTCCGCTTTTTCTTGAAAGCTCATAATTTTATTCCTTTGCCCTACTGTGAGTTTGTGTTTGGTTCTTTCAGATTACTTCAGAGTAAACCAGAGGCCATGCGAAAGGCTCTGTCCGAGAACAGTCTGCTCAGAAACATCAACTTTAATGAGAGGTTCCTGGGAGAGGAAAACATTGATGAGGGTAAGATGCTTTTGTTTGTACTTTAAAGATAAAAGATTTAGTTTACATGTCAAAATAGTGTTGTCTCTGACTAACCTTTTTGTTTAATAACTTTTTTCGACCTTTGTAGCCTATGACCTGCCACAAAGACCCAATGAAGCTCACATCTTTTATGGAAACATGAGCAAGCTAATGGTGTCACTGCTGGGAAGCACAAAGAACACAGACTGTGAGCAGAGTGACTCCACGGAGCAGCTGCTGCCCTCCTCGAGACACAGTTCAGACACAGACAGGTAGGCTTTGAAATGTTTCATAAAGCTAAAACAACCCAGATCCTGATTCAGAGTCCAGCATAACTATGATACCAATGATAGTAACTTTATGGATAAAGCACTTTTAAAAACAGAGGTTTAAAAAGTGCTTTGACAGACAAAGCAGAGTAAAAAAAAACAATGTGACAGCAGAGGAGAAACAAATCACAAGTCATAGAGAGAGCAGTAAAGATTCTGAGAAGAGGGGAAAAAAAGAGACAAACGAAAATGAAAAGAGAAAAATGTCAACAACATCACATCAGAATAAAAACTCATTAGAAGATGAGGGGCTGTGAGGTACAAATAAACCAAGAAAATAAATAAATGAATAAATGAAGTACATGTGATCAAGGACAGTATAGGGGATCAAATAAAGATGTATTTAAATAAAACAAAGTCAATAAGTTAAAGTTGAAAAGTATCTAAAAGGTCACAGAAAAGCAAGTCTGTAGAAGTGAGTTTTCAGAAGTGATTTCAAAGATGTCACTGATTCTGCACGCCTTATCTCCTCAGGGAGGTCGTTCCAGAGTCTAAAAAGCTCGAACTCCTTTAGATTTGAGCCTTGACTTTGGAACAACCAGCAGGGTGTCACCTAAAGTTCTCAGACTGCAGGACGACTCGCATATGGCGTCAGCATTTCAATAATATAACTTGGGGTAAGACCCAGATGAGCTTTAAAAGTGATCTGTAAAATCTAAAAGCCAGTTCTAAAATGCGCAGGGAGCCAGTGGTTAAAACTGGTGTTGGTTAAAACCAGTAAGAAGCCGAGTTGCTGTGTTCTGGACAATCTGGAGGCCAGAGAGAGAGATTTGTGATAGCAGAGAGGAGGGAGTTACAGCAGTCTAACTGAGAGAAGATGAGAGCATGAAAGACTTTTTCCAGGTCTGTTCAGGACAGAATTGATTTAATCTTGGAGATGGATCTTAGCTGAGTAAAACTAGACTGGATGATTGATTGAAGGTTGATTTTGAGTCATAAATCCCGCTTCAATCATTGTGATTTTGAAGTTTTTAGCCAAAATCACGTTACCTGTGTCAATTTCAAGGGCTTTTCACGCTAGCTTGCAGCCTAACATTGCCGGTGCAGCAGAAGTGGCAGGAGGAAACACAGCAGCTATTCAGCTCTCAGACACTAATGTTTTTAGGGACATGATGAAAGGTAATATCATAAGTAGCTTTCTTATGAGCATAGCAATCCGTTACCACGCACGCTTGTGATTGTCCTCTCTACTTCTCAAAGTGTGGCCTGCGTAGTGGGGCTTTGGGGGCAGAGCTTGGTGTTGTGACATAGGAAATCTCACCGTTTCTGCACCTGCTGTTTGGGTCTGTGAGAGATTCACAGCGATTTAAATGCAGAAATACTCAGAAATGCAATTTCACACTTACTTTTCTCATGATATGTCCTGATCCTCGCAGCATCAGAAAAATGCCATATGAACATGTAGACAACAAAAAAAAAACATGATTTTCATCAGAGTGGGTCTTTGAAAACAAAAACTGTAACACATAAATGAATGAAGTCATTAGTAGTGTGTGTCCTATTGAAATCCATCTGTTATCCAGAAATCTCAGGACTGGAAGTTTCTGTCTACATTTCACTTTAGACTGCCTGGTCTTCGCTTTGTCAACAGCAGTACTGTCACACTCCACTGTCAAGAACTATTTATAGTTTATAGAATATAGAATAGAATAGAATATTCCTTTATTGATCCCCCATGGGGGAAATTTTTTTGTCACAGCAGCATCACAGACAAGACAAAGAGTGCAAAATGCAGTTATAAAAATAAGGATCCTAATATTAAGAACTTAAATAAATGTAATAATTAAGAAAAAAATTAGAAAAGGGAGAAGAAAAAATAAAGCTTTCTACAATATACACAATTTAAATGCCAGAAAAAAAGTGGTGGTGTAAATCCAGTTTTGTTACTGTTCATTGTAAAGTCTTATTGCAGAGGGGAGGAAAGATCTGCGGTAGCGCTCCGTCCTGCAGAGAGAACTGTTCTGTAAATGTCTTTAAAGCTCCTGTTTGCAACTCTCTGTTTGTGCTGACCTCTTGTTGCTAATTTCTTCCTCTGCACGCGCAGTGAGTGTTTTCTGAGAAAAACATTGTCATACAGTCTTTTAAAAGTTAAATTTACAGTAAGTGTTTGCAGTAGGAAATAAAAAAAATGACTGTTCCTTAAGTGTCCTGTATATCATCTCATCCGACATCCAACCTTCACAGCAGACTAAAATACAAAAAGTTTTAGTCTTATTGCCGATGGTCATTTGCTTTTGTCAGTCAAAGTTAAGCATCACTGTCAGGACTGAAACTTTTTGTATTTTAGTCTGCTGTGAAGGTTGGATGTCAGATGAGATGATTTTACAGTGAGTCAAAAAACTCCTCACAGAGGCTTTAAGGGAACATCATGTGATAATCTCTGTGTCCCTTTCCTAACTTGTGCTTTGGGTATTTGAACATCACACTAAAGCTAAGTGTTTTATCATTTTCAGCGCTCTGCCAAATAGCAACGTATCCCTGGATGTGCTGCCAGTGAAAGGTCCCCAGGGTCCAGCACTGAGAGTGACAGAGTCCCCCCTACAGGTCCCTTAAACTCTTCTTAATTAAATGAAGCTGTTTTCCCTTGTAACTTGATAAAGTTAAAAAGTTTCGATGAATCTGAAGGAAAAGGGTTTAATCCTCAGAGCATGATGTTTTTTCTCCCATCAGGCCTCAGAGTCCTGGTCCATACATCCAGAACAACTTGTCCTTGCTGCTCCCACCATCAGTGAGTACCGTCAAGTCTTAGAAATATCAATAAAAATGTCTTCGTCAAAGCTTGGGATCTTTAAAAAGTTCAATATTAAGACAGTGACGGGATCTCTTCTCAAGCAAAAGTGAAACACTCTATCATTGCGAGAAATCATCAATAATTGCATTTGTTGATGAGCTTTGTTGTTTTTAATTTTTTTTAGGTAGTGCGGCACCAACCAGTCAGGTTCAGATCCGGAATAATACATCCAGAGAACTGAACTTTGATTTGTCCTGGCCGGCTCACTGCCTCACCATCACTCCGCAGCATGGCACCATCGAGCCTCAGTAAGAGTTCTTAGGCTTGTTTCATGTAACGAGTCGAGAGTCCAGATCATCCATATTATCCCCAAGGGAATTTTTTTGTACAGCCAGCAGCAAAGACAATAAAAAAAACACAACCATTCCATCCAAAACAGTCCAAACATCAGACGATGATTCATTTAAGACAGTGGAAAACAGTGAAAAATGAGTTTTTTAAATCTGTTAGTCCTGCATTTTGGTCTCTGGGACCAGGAAGGATTGACTCACATCCTTATTTTGTAAATCTGAGATAGCTTAGATGTTGATGCTCCACTCACCGTTTTAAGCCCCTATAGTCTGTTTTTGTCTGTGAGGTTAAGTAAACCATTCCAGCTCTTAAAGGTAAAAGTTTGATTGTGTCGAAATGAAGCTTTGAGGCTTAGACTGAGACCTTCTGATTCATGCTGGTTGCTCCTCCGTTGAAATGCCTCATAGGATTAGACTATTTAGATTAAATACTGGTACAATATTAATAACAATAACACAGCAACAATGGTTCCTCAGACGCTATCACTTCTCCAGTAATCAAAGACAAAATCAACCAGGTTCTTTGACAGCGTGAAATGTAAACGAACTCAAATCTCTGTTATCATTCATTACCCAAAGATGTGTTAATAATAATGATAATAATAAAGTATTCAAGTGTTGACAGCTGTAGAAGAACTTGCAAAAGACCTGAAAGTTGACTCTGATTTCTTGATTGCACAATTCAGATCTACTTTCTACAATTGCAGTGTCTTCTCTAAAAATGAACTCCTTTACAAATATGCAAACACGTGTGCTGCTAAGTTAACACAGTACCTGTCTGTACAAAGGTTCTTTTGACCGATCTAAAAGCCTGAAGAAAGCAGCTGATGTTTTTTTTCACTAATTTTCTTTCCTGAGCTTCAGCCTCTTGAAGAGCCGATAAAGTTGATTTATCACCATGCTGTGATTTAAATTTGTTTGCACCCACCAAACTTCATGTAAACGTGAAAAGAATCAACTCTCATCTATTTGATCATATATGTTTTTTTAGATGCCACCTTCAGATATTGATCAGTCCCAACCCTTCATTAGCAACTAAATCTGCTCTGCTGCCATGGAGTGGACAAATCTATGTTCAGTGTGACGGTCAACAAAAGGTATTTTAACCCTTTCAGTCTGTAAGACAAGACTATCTTCAATGTTGTTTTGTATTCTGAGAACTTGACAAGAGCTCATTTTGCGATGCAACCTTTGGTTCAGTTTATCAAGGTCCAGATTCGGCGTGACCTGGCTCTGGATGTGTCTGCAGCACCAGCAGAAACATCTCTGTCAGCTCTGCCTCCTCAGTTCGCCACTCCAGTGCTGCCAGTAAGCAGAATCCCCACCAACCCCTTACTGCCCTCACAGATACCTCAGACACCCCAGGCCCTGGTGGAGGTCAGCAACAAGACCATCATCTTCCCCGCCACTCCCTCAGGGGAAACATCAGGTATGACCGAAGGACACAAGTTTCGTGTCTCTCTCCTTATTTTGTGTGTATATGATACACTCAGAGCAGCGCTGAGTGACCTGAAAAAGTTCAAATGAAAAAATGTTCTTCACCTCTGAAGCTCTGGGTTTTCTTGAGTTAGAGTTTGCAGGCAGCTGCATGTTTTCTCTTGAGAGATCCAACTCTCTGTCGCTCCTCTTCTTCAGAGGCCCAGCTGGAGGTGCAGAATGGAAGAGTGGAAGTGCGCTGGTACCTCTCATCATTTGCTCCCCCATATGTCAAGGTGCTTTTTACTTCATTCTCTTCTTTTTTTTCCTGACATCTCTTTCATTCTTGTTTACAGTTTTTTTGTTGTTTCTCCTTCAGTTGTCCCTCCTCAGGGAACACATGCTTGTATTTGTTTAGTTGTATATTTCATAATGACTTTGTGATGCAGAGTGAGGAAGGCTTTGTTGTTTTTCCTGGCCTTGCAACTCTTGTCTGATAAGTTTCTTTTAATAGTTTACACTCCTGATATTGTTGACTGACTCTCCTAATTTTGCTCTAATTTGGTGTTTTCTTCTCTCCTCAGGGTGTTGACAACTCTGAAGATGTTTACCGTGCCACCTACACTGCTTTCAGATGCTCCAGAGTCTCTGGCATTCTGGGGGCCCATGAGAAGATGAAGGTAGTCACCTTTATCCGTGTGTAAACTGGTCAACATTTCAACCTTGAATTGATTGAGCTCTTTTGGAAACAGTCTTGGGTAGGGTTGTCAACAAAGATTGTATATTTAAACTTCAGTTAGATTACTTTTGGAAACAAACATTCAACTATGAGAAGAAAAGACCTTCATGTGGTTGTCCATCATGTGGAGGGCTTGGTCACAGCATTGTTTCATGACAGTGACTTCACAGTGTAACTGGGCTGCAAAGAGAGTGAGTCAAGTTTATGTGAGCTGGCATATCTGTTTTTTTAATTTTGGACATCTCACATGCTTTTGTTAGGTAGATTAAGATATCATCAGCCAAAATGACAGGCAGGAAATTGGAAAATAAATAATTATCATTATGGTCCAAATAGAAGACCTTTGTTACCTTGACTTACACGTGAGAAAAGTGGTATTGTCTCATCTTAGAAGTCCACACTCCTCCATGCCAGCATGGTAACGACAGGTAGTGAAGTGCAATTTACAACGCATCTTTGTCTTGTTTCCATAAATGAGAAGAGACTGACCTAGATAGTCAAATAGTGACTGGCTCTCTGGCTGAAAGGGAAGAAGATTAATGGTCAACCAGAGTGTAATATGCAAAAAGTCAATCACAGCATGCAGCACTGATGGGCATTACAATTGACCTTAAACAGATTAGAATGAAGCCATCAGAAACAAGCACCACCGCATTGTTGTTCAGGATGGTTCTGTTCTGTTTGTTCTCTTTTTAAGATGAAAGTGAATTGCAGACTTTCAGGTTGACATAAGCATCATAATAAATTGCGTGCACAGCGAAATCATAACTCATGAGGTTAACCCAACCTGATAGTTTTCTGCCTCCTCGCCACATACAAATAAAATCCATCCATCCGTCTTCTACCGGTTACCTGGAGTCAGGTCATGGGGGCAGCGGCCTAACCAGAGAAGCCCAGACTTACTTCTCCCCGGCCACTTCGTCCAGCTCTTCCTGTCCAGCTTCTTCCCCTCTCTCTAAGGGCACATCACACCACCCTCGTTTGAACTGAACCCTGGAGCGTTTACCCCCTTGGTGCGGTTCGTTGGGTCGATGTGAATGCTGACCTCGAACTCTGGTGAGGACCAAATAAACGAACTCTGGTCTGCCTGAAGAGGTGGTCTTGGACTACTATCAAGTGAACTCTGGAGCGGTTCATTTCTGGTGTGAACGTCATCCACACCAATCTCAGGAAACGCTCTCACAGAAAGGCTCTCATTAATGCCTTTCGCTGTCTCGCCTTTATCTGTCTGTTGTTTGCAGCACGTCTACTCCTGAATGTATTAATTAATGCCGCAGTTTGCGCTCGCTGGCTAACGATCTGTTCATACGCGCAATTGACTAGTGTCTTTTGATACGCGCTCCAGATGAGTAGCAAAAGCAAAATCAGCCTACGATGAAGGCAGCAGAGCGGGGTTTGTATTCCTGCATAAACTAATGACCAATAACCGAACGATATTCGCGGTCACTTGACTTCCAGTTCCGTTTTCTGGAGCGATTGAGTTTGTCCGTTGTGAACGCAAACTGGACCAGTTAAACAATCAAAACAAATGTATCGTCTTGCCTTGGATTTGAATCAGGAATCAGGTGTGAATACGACCTAAGAGAGTCCTGTGAAGAAAAACTAATTTCAGCTGCTTGAACTTGTTCTTTTGGTCATTACCTACATGCTCGTGATCATGGACGAGGGTAGAAACGATTTAAGATTGACCGGTATATTAAGAGCTTTGCCTTTCGGCTCCGCTCCTACTTTACCACAACAGATCTGTGCAGTGTTCTCATCACTGCTGATACCGACCCAATCCACCTGTTGATCTCCTGCTCCATTCTTCCCTCACTTGTAAACCAGACCCTCTAAGATGAGAAGATGTCTCTCTATTAGAAGCATTGATACACTTAAATATTGTTTGTTTTCATCATCATTGTCTTGTCCTTCCAGGTGCCCATTACTTTCCTTCCCAGAGACAGAGGGGACTACGCCCAGTTCTGGGACTTGGAGTGCCACCCTGTGTCTGAGCCACAGCTGAAGACCAGAATCCGCTTCCAGCTCTGTGGCACAGTGAGATCCATTTAATGGTTTATAGAGCATTTAACTTAAGAAGGATGAGTTATAGTGGAGTTCAGCATTTTAGGCTTTGATTTGCACCCATTCCAACTCATGTTCGAAGCACATCTTTGAGAATGACTTTACATGAGGCCTCTTATTTTTGAAATGCACATCAAAGTTAGATTTGGCAAGTTACTGATTCTGCAGAGTGCCTGAAGGCAAAGCTTTCGGTGTGTAAATGTTCATGAGAGTGGAGTGGGTGGTCAGAATACCACAAGTGGTGCTTAGAAGTCGTCTCTGTTTTCCAGGTCCTCTATAGAATGACTGAATGTGATCTTTATTTCTCTTCTTTTTTCTTAGTTTCATACATTTCATTTAGCATCAAAGCATGAAAGTATCCACTCCACCTGTGTTATTGGACATGTTTAGATGACAGTGATCTGCATTCACTCACTTGTTTTGATCTCAAACCACAGAGCGAATACATCACCATTACTAAATGGGAAATGTCTCACTGTCAAATAAAACAGGGTAATCATCTTCATCAGTTAGATAAAAGCAGCACGTAAAGCAGAACGTGGACCATGGCTTCTTTGTTCTGTCAGTGACAGAATTAACAAATGAGATGAGTGAGGAGGAGGAGAGAGGTCCTGCTGAGATGGGCCCACAGGCTTCATCTGAGCCGTTTTAATGGAGGGATTTTGAATGACTCGCTTAACTTTAGAGCAAGCACACATAGCAAGAGAGACATCAGATGGACGGCTTCACATAAGTAGCTTTAAATGTTTGAGTTTGTTGTTGCCTTTTTCCTTGATGTGTGTTTGACAAGACTTCAAACGTTCCTTTTCAAAGTTTCGATTGACGTGTTTGATGATCAGCTCGTTTCATTTTCAGTTTTCTTTGTATTTAGCTGATGACAGTTCACACTGTTGGTCAGATAGAGCGAAGCTAGTTATTGTTTGATGATGTTGAGGTCATAAAGAGAAGGGAGAAATGTAGTCTTTCCTCAGCTTAATAGCCAAACAGCTCAAATTTGCTTATGCATCTTCAGGGGACAAGGTTTGGACCAGTGGCGGAACCTCAAGAGGGAGATTGCTCTTTAGTGAAGACTGAAGCCACAGTCAAGACCAGGAGGAGAGCTGATGCCTCATCAGGAAAGACTACGTGAGTCCTGCTGTGTTCAAACAAAATGAATAATATTTAATGATCTATCACTTGATGAAATGTTTCATCTTTTGAATCAAATCATTTTAGTTTTGTTGCTCTGATGCTTCAGCAATCTGAGGTACGTTATTAAACCCTCTTCCTTCCATGTACCTGTTGTGTGGGGCATAAAAAGACCTGTTAGTTTAAATCATAATACATGAAGGGAAAAAACACATTTAATAGAATTTATTGTAGTTAGGTAGCTTCAGTTTTCAGGTTCATCTTTGGAGACTTAAAGGGATATCCTGGCGTAAAATTAAGTAATGGTCAAACACACCATAACACCAAGTTAGACACCCCTTCGGGGGTTGAATGTTGCCGACTGCTTGCCTCTCTAGTCATGCCAACTTTTAGTAACGACCACTTGATAACAATACACAGCGGTGTACGTCTCTACACGCAAACCTCAACCGAAACGCCACTCTATAGCCAATTCTAAGAACAGCAGTTAACTTCATCAACAGTACATAGAGGGTCCCAGCCATAGCACTAGCCACCAAACATCTTTTTAGCTTCGCCTGATTTCTTTAGCAAAGAGCAGCCGCTTATTTTTGTGGGAAGCCCTGACCAGTCGATCACCGGGTGCAGTGGAGTTTCACAGCTCAAGGAAGAACATTTTATGATTATTACTTCATGGAAATGCAATCAGACCAAGACACTAAGGCAGAAGAACTACTGCATCTGCAGTGCAAAATGATTAGTATGATGATTATTACTTCATGGAAATGATCCGCTGCACTCTGCGATCGACTCGTCAGGGCTCCCCTTCAAACACTGTTTAACTTACTGGTAATCTTTGTGCTTCACAGCCAGGAGGAGTCTGTACGAAGAGGTGTATATTCTCCACAGGATCTCTACACTTATCCAGCCACACGGGTCAGTGAATCCAGCACTCTGAAGGTCAACATCCGCAACAACTCCTCTAATACACATGAGGTGAGGCATGCCTGATAATGATGAAGCTCTCCTACTACAGTAGAAAGTGAACTACAGTGTCAAAGTTAAATCCAGACACATGAACAGATCATTTTGACCAGTGTTTCCAATGGAGTCTTTGTAATTGTCTGTCAAATTCAGACCATTCATCCTAAAGTGATTTAAAAGATAAAGCAAAGATAGGGATGGGACACTCGGGTAGCCTGAAATCTTCTTTAAAATGCTCTCACAGATACCACCTCCTCCCCTGAATGATTAACACGGGCAGATTTCCAAGAGATGCCCTGATGCACAGAACATGAGAAGATTTTGATACAAGCATATATATACCTGTAGACCAGCCGTGGGAGAATGGAGGCTGATTTGTTTTCTGATTGTAGATTCTGGAGGGTTCTTTCATTGGAAAAAATGTAAGAATTTCAGATAGATAAATTATGCTGTATATGAGGTATCTAGATTTGTGAAGATCCACCTAAGAGAGGGTTTCTATTAAGGATCTGTGGAAAACCTCCTCATGCTTTATCCCTTGTTCACCGTTTCTCCTGCTGTCTTGATTATGGCTCAGTGAAAGTCTTAATGCTCTGCAGAGAAACAAAGAGAGGGGGAGGTGTACTCTGATCCGTTTGCCTCGCCATAAAGATGGATGTGATACCTCTCCTTTTCAGAATAAGCTCATCCTTTTGTTTTGTAGTGTTTACATATTCTGAATGCTCACTCTGCTTCAGTCTTTATGTAGGAAACATATCCATGCACTTGTGCTCCTAATGAAGTGGTGGGCAGAGACACAGTGACTCTGCAGAACTGTAGTTTGGTGAATATGAAGAATGGCCAACATGTAGATATCTGACAGAGATTAGGAGTTGCTTTAAAAACACAGCACATCCCTATTGACTGTATTTCAGCATTGCTGAGAGAAGGCTGCATGCTTATTGGATTTCTTTGTATTGAATGATAAATGTTATAACCCCTAACACATGTCACTGTGCTCTGCATGGATTGAATAGTTGATGTGTGGCTTCTCTAATTGACTTGCAGCTGAGATTTGTAAACCCTAGAGAGCCCTTCCACATCAAGCATTCCAAATATTCCCTGAGGTAAGTCCCCCTGACAGATGCTCTGCTTTTATATTTTGAGTTACTGCCTGATGTTTTTTTTTTTTTTTTTTAAGTTTTAAAATATGTGACAGTATGTTTCTGAGTTTAACTCTGAATCTGTATGATGCCTTTTTTTCAATTGTGAATGCTCACCATGAAACGTTCTGTGACATGTTTGGACCCAGAGGATGATGGTATTTAATCAGGTACAAGTGAGTCTGAGAGAGGAGTTCTGTTTGTCTGAACACAGGTATCAGCCAGGCTGTGCTTGGTAACACTTCATCTCAATGGTTCTTGTGATAAGTATTTATAGAAGAGCCACAAAAATAAAATGTCTATGAGCATTTTTGAAGGTCTTTTATATTAGTAAGTGTTGATGAAAGTGTAGTTTCAGCATAGTTTATTGCTCTCATTAGAAACTTGTCAACATGTTCTATACTTTCATGAACATCGTTAGGAGGTTTTATCATGTTAATCAGACGTTATAGTAGTCAGCGTTTAATGAACATAGTTATTATTGGTTAGTAACACTCTCATAGGGAACTAATGACCATTTACAGTTTAAAATGAAATAAGATGTTTACTAACTTTAAAGCTTCTGTGAGGAACTTTTACTTTGTGTTAATCAAGACACCCCCCCCTGTGGCCAAAGCAGTCTTTGCTTGTCTTCTCCCCTACTTACTATAGTTGTGGTGTCTTCTTACACAAACCTCATTCTGCTGACCACTGACTGTCAGAAATGTGCTGTTAGTATTTTATGTGCAAATTGTAAAGACGGTGCTGTTTCTTCAGCGTCTCAGCTGACACCTACCCTCTCAAATTGGTTCAAGGCATCAAGATAATAGACCAAAATTCATGACCATTAGTGACATGATGGACAACTTTGAAACTATTTCAGAAACAAACAAACAAACAAACAAACCCCCCTCAGTGGAGCTTTAATATAACTTAATATAACTGAATTAGCCTGATATTATTAGTAGTCAATAAGTACGTAATAAAGGATGTATTACTTTGATTTAATGCTCATCACAAGGACCTGATGATAAAGTGTTAGTTTGTGCTCTGGTGATGTGGGTGTGTTTTCAGCATGGCTACCGCAAGGAAACAGTGAAGAATAATTGAAATAGATAAATTGATAATAGATCAAATGAACAGACTTCCACATCACTGAAAGCATCATCATCTTCACACACTTGTGTGTGCGCCTGATAATGCTTTATACTCTGGACCTGATACAGCCCTGCAGTTTGTTTGGTGTTAATCGTGATGTGTGTGGATTTTTGGTAGGCTTATGGTGATGCAAGTGCTTATCAATGGCTCTTGTTTTCACATACATTTCAGATATCTTTTTTTCCTGATACTGAGTTTGAACCAAAATATGCAAATGAATTCATCAGGAAATAAACAGCTCTATACCAGTCAGCTCAAATTACCACCGAGTTGGGGTGGTGTGTATATTGGTTTAGATGGTCTAATAATGATGTATACCCGAAGGTAATTGAAAATAATGAAAAGACTTCGTTTCAGACGTTGAAACTGAAAAATGAATTGTGTCGTGAAAACTATACATGCATTTTAAATTGAATGCGAGCAACTGCCAACTTCTCTTGGCCTGAGCTCGTTTAAGATGAAAAACTATCCTTTGACATTCCTCTTGGAAATCGTGGATGCTGTCTGCTGTAAAGAGAGGACTATCCAGCTGTTTACTGGCACTCAGTTTAAAATCCAGTCTCCCTGACGATATGGCCTCATGGCATGGGCAGCTGACACATTTGAGAAAAGGACCATTAATGCTGAATAATACACTCACATTTAGAGTGCTGCCATTCCAGACTGTGACTTTTTCAGAGACTTACAACATTTCATTTCACTTTCCAAACTTAGAAACTACTCTTCCAGGTTACCAAACATTTACATTGTTTGAAGGTAAATCAGCCCCTGCACCAACTTTCTTTCATGCGTCTCTGGCATTAGAATCAAAACAAGCATATATGTTTCGTAGAATTAAAAATATATATTTATATCATTTAGTGTGTTGTCTTTGCTCTATTTTCAATGACAGGTTGGTTGTAAATAATTTGCAAACCTGCTTTTTTTTTCACAGTGTTGCATTACAATTGACACTTTTATGATTTAGCAGGTGTAAATCTTCAAAATTACCAATAATGATCATGCTCATGCCAAAGATAGGTGATATATTTTATTTTAATATTCAGTCCTATAAACATTTATCAGGGAATTAAAAAGGTTTCTTCAGTTTAAATCCACAGAAAAACAAACCCGTCTTAGATTTGTCTCCTGTTAAAAACCTTATAAAATATTGAATTAAAGAATCATAGGACAGCACCCCTGAGATGTGCTGTGTCCAATACAGTCACAGAAACATATTTTTAGGTGCTTTATTTGGTGTTTCTCGGTTTTTAGTTACATGTCTGTTAACTCTCATCTTCAGACCAGTTATGTGACGTCATGTCTTTTGTGCCCTGTTATCTGCAAGATCTACCTGTCTCTAGTACTACTGTATTAGAACTTCCTGTTTGAGATTAAACAACTTCATTTGCTTCTTTAGGACTCTTCACTCGTATTCCCCCAGTTTATTTACTGATATTCAATCCTGCTATAGGCTTTTGGTTAACTTGAAGTCATTACAATTACTGTTACTAGGAGAACTCCATTAGCACTCAGCTGTGAATAACATACTCGGACTGCCCCGTTTTCAGTCCATTTATTGTGCTGGAACATCTGGTATTGTGCAGGGTTTAGAGTTCAGTGTTGTGCTTTTAAAAATGGTATTTAGAGGATTATTATTTCATTACATGATTCATTCAAAGAAGTAGCTCTTTTTGCAAACATGCACATAAATCTATGATGATGCACTCATCTGAGATTCAGACTAACAGTCTCTCCATTTCCGGACTCTGAACTGTCCTTCTCTCCCATCCATCAGATCACAGCACTATCTGAAGCTCCCCGTCCAGTTCAAGCCCAGTGCTGCTGGCAGACACACAGGCTTGCTGCACATCCAGTCAGAAACAAGTGGAAGTCTTGTTATTCAGCTGACCGGTGAGGCATTGCCATGAACTCACCATCTACCAACCCACGCCGCCGCCTCCTCACGCCAGCTCTCCTCTGTCCTCTTCATCCTGTAACAGACAAGGAAAATGGGGAGGAAAAGGTAAAAGTGCAAACTGACAGGGATCAAATAAAGGCCGTCCTGGACTGAAATCCTTTGTCTCATCATATTTGCTGATGTAGACTGTGGCTGATGAAGTGGAGATGACTGAGACAGTGCTGCCAACATGGACCCATCTGGCTCTGGATGTGGCACAGGTGTCCTCAGTTGGCCCGTGAAAAATGATTGTGCCTGAAGCTTGAACATTTGGCCTGACTGTCCCACAATTATTCTGCACCACTATTGCATTTCAGAGACTTAAAGGTTTTGTCACTTGACTCTGGGTCTGGTGTTTGACTTATCTGCTGGTCATGTCACAAGACAGCATTGTTGTTTCCATAGGGCCTGCCAGACAGGAGCAGTCAGGAAATGTTGGGATGAGTTTGAGTTTTTCACACAGGAATTCCTTTGTTTCTTTGTTTGGTAACCTGGCTGCTCTATGTTTCATGTTTTACTGCCTGGAAAGGCCAAACCAGGTTCCCTCTGGCTGGTAAAAAAGTGAAATCCTGAACCAAGGGCCTCTTTCTGTTTGAGATAACGTTTGCCGTCCACTAGTGATTGTAATGTGACAATCAGGAACGTGTGAGTTTTATTTTATTTTATTTTTTGATTTTTTTTTTTTTTTTTTTCATACATGTATGCCAATTTTTTTCAAATCTGGATCTTCCACCTCATTAAATGATCCAATTTTCAGAGCTGTTTTGGTTTTTCACTGAAACGGGTCCCTCATCATGCAGGGCCCACCTGCACAGTGGCCTTTGTCAGCACCATGTGTTGACTGCCTGAGCAGCCTTAAAGACTGGTTCCAAGCAGTCCAGATGCACTTAATTTAGCCCTGAACAGGGCAGCTCACAGCAACGTTAGGATGGTTAATGATTGTTATTACATGCTAAAAGAGTTTCCTCTGGTGGGTTTATTTTCTCGGCAGCTTGCCAGGACTGCTTAGTATGGTTACCATGGCAAAACAGTGTTAATCACTGCTCCAGTCACAGAAAATTAGCTCCCCATTTCCTCCTTTGGCTTTTGGGCAAATGGCCAATATTGCTTTGGGGTGTTAGAGCTACATCCATAATCTGTTGTGGAGCGGGAACGGCACGGGGACATGGTGGTAAACTTAATAAGAAATGTATTGTTTAGCTGTTAGAATCCCACACAGGATGACAGCCCTTCAGACATAGAGAACACTAGTGTTCAGCCTTTTATTTCCCTGCATGTTGAATAAGTTTAGAGATGAAGGCGCCCCTCCTCCTCCTCTTTCTGATGAGTTTGATCATCAATTTGCACATCCTTTATATAGTTTATATTGTAATATATATTATTGAATGTAAATGTTTTAAATAAAGTTTTGTGATAAATATATTACTGTTGTTGGAGGGATTTTTATTGACTGGACAGAAATACATGTAATGTGATGAGAGGTGAAAGGTCAACTTTACCTCTGATTGTTTTTTTTTTTAATCATCAAAGACAGTCTGAAGTTGAAGTGAACAACTACAGAGATTATAACTGTATCTGAGTGGTGGGTTCATTTAAAGTGTGACTTAAGTTTTCCTGTTTCAGGTCCCACATGAACTCCAAGTCCATCATTCTCACCTTTGGGCTGTTGAAAAAGCTTTAACAATCACAACAGTACAGACAGATGCTTCTATAACTTTAAAAAAGTTTTTTTTATTAATGAGTCCATTTGTTTTTCATTTTTTTAAATCTCATTTTTATTTCTCTGCCTGGCAACTCCCTGAAATTCTTGAACTTAACACTCTTTGGCTCACTGAGGTACTCGTTCTGAACAAAGGAGAAGAAAAACTGTGTTTTAATCGAGCACGTTGCTTTTCTCTCATTCACATTAATATTATTTTGCTAAAAAATGTGGGCAAGACTTCAGGAATAGTCAGTCATGCTGCGATACAGAATTTGAATATAAAGATGGGAATAATAAACTTGAATTCTCAAAAATCAAAAAGAAGAGTAGACTTTAAGGGTGTTGAACTATCTCAACATATCTAAATCAGAAGGTTGAGGGTTTGATTTCAAGTCTTTTTGTCCACAGGCTGAAGTGTCTATGTGCCTGTGGGGTGAGAATGGTATAAGTTTAGACTGATAGGTGCTCTTTATACCAGCCTCTGCCATCAGTGTGTGGATGTAGTTAGTTGGACGTGTGATGACTAAGAAGAAGAACCATATAAATCCACTCCCCATGCGACTGTAGGTTGTTTTAATGAATTATTTCCTCTAATTAAAAATGTTATTTATATTTTTAAAAGCAAAGGGGCTTTCAAAATTCCACAATAGGTTGTATTGAAAACAAAGAGAAAAGGAAGGGAGTATCCTAAACATTCAAACTCGTATGTTCTTTTTTTTTTATATGTACAGCGCAAATTTAAAAAATAAATAATTAAAAAACTGCCTCTCTTACGTGCAGGGCTGCAGTACTGCATGTGTCCTGCAGGTGTCGTCAGAGGCTCGCTGTCAGAGCGCCTGTCAGCAGCATGTCCTGTACAGTGGGGCAGCTGAGCTTTATTTTGCTTCCCAGACTGGAAACCACTGTAGTGCAGTTGGACTTGACGTCCAGCAACACAACATCCCTGACTTAAAGCAGGCAGATACGACGACTTAGCACGTTAGCGACTGCGTTTACAGGTAGGAAGACAGTCCCATTTTCAGAGTTATATCTGTTCACTGGTGTGTTTTTCATGCATAATGTTGTGCACGTAGGCGGCTGCAGGAATGTCGTGGTTATGCTAGCTGGTGTGGCTAGTCAGGCTGTCCGGTGTGGGGTCTGACTTTGGCCCAGACACTGGAAGTTGCTGTGCAGAGTTGGAGCTGCTTTCCAAGCTGCGCCAGACAGCAGAGCTAAGCTAACGCGGCTAAGGTAGCAGGACGGAGGCTAGCACTGGCTCCCATCCATCCACCGGGGCCACAGCACCAGCCCGCTGTGTCCCAGCCTCTCCCACTGACCGTGACCCCCAGTGTCACCCACGCCGTGTATGACCCTGAGAGGTGTTTTATTCTGTCTGCCCAGTGAGTCACTGGCTGTCCTGCCCTGTTTGGTTTGATGGACCAGCTAGCTGCGGAGCTAGAATTGGAGTCTGATACCCTGAGCTGTCAGTCAGGTGTGAGGCCAGAGGAGACCCAACTTTTTTATGCAAATGAGACACGCGGTGCAGATGAGGAGCGGGTGACACTGAGCAGCTGCATGTGGGATGAGCTGAAGGATGTGAGTGTGCAGGGGTGAGGCTGCAGGGTGGGTCATAGTTGGAATCAAATATCATTTATCTACACACAGTCCTCACTGAAAAGTTATTTCTGAATATTGGTGATATTTATATTTAATGATACTTAGACTGCAGCCCAGCCCTGGTCTTTAGGTATACTTCTTTCACACTATCTTCCAGGTGTTTATTCTGTCATCCCAGTTTAATTTGTCTTCCCTGTTTATCCTCATTTCAAACTACTTGATAGTTGTTGATGCACACACCAAAATCCCAGGTGATGCAAGCTGCCAATTGGGCTGCACTGTAATGGAAAAAATATTGCGCTACATATTGCAATATAGAAAGTATACGGAAATAAACCACAAAAATGTGCAGTGTATTTATGCAGACATAATTAAAAATAAGTAATCATCTTGCTGATTTTCCTCAAACGAAACACAACTATTCTCTTATTTTACCTGCTTATCTGATACCAGGTCCGCATAATGTGAAGAAAAGCTAATGTGCAATGATGAAATTGTTAAATTAAATGATATCAGCAAGAAGTGGGTAAAGAAAGTATTCAAGACTGAAAAAATAGTGCATGTGGAATACAGCTACTATACTTGAAGAGTGTGTGGTAGCTACAATAACACAGTTTTTTATTGTCTGGCTGCTGTTTTTTTTATCTATAAACATTACTGTGATTGCAACATGAATCCAAGATACATCCAAAAATCAGATTTTTTTTATCTCTTAATTTTCCCCAGTTATTCTGAGATGAGCTGACAGCTGGCTAAAGTGTCACTAGATTGCACAGAAATGATGTAAAAGGATGTCGTCCAGCCCTCAATCTAATAAACGGAGTGAGATAGCACTCATACATGAGTTGTTTCCTTTTTTATTGCAGAGGTAAGGGATAACCTCCTTTTCACAGGTAGAAACCTCAAGCAGACTGGGCTTGAGTCAGCTGCAGTTGTGTTAGGGATGAATTGTTGATGTACTTTATTGTGTCCTCCTGTATCAAACAATTGGAGCAATAGATGTATTTATTTCACACATTTTGCCCTCTTATAGTCCTCAATTCTGATCTTCTGCAGTGACCCTGAACACAGTGGTCCTCATATGTTGGTTCAATGAGGGATTTTATTGTCATGTAGCACTTAACTTTGGCTTACAACCGACTTTCCGGTGCGTGTTACTTAACCACCATAGAAGGCACTAGAAAGCCAACCTCTCTAAAAATCCTGGCTCCACATGTGATGCATTATATTGCACAGCTCAGGTCTGAGACTCTGTCGTCCATCCTGATCAGGTTTTCATTAATATGATCGCTAAATTTCCTTTGGTCCTCTGTTTAAGTTGCAGGAAGGGCTAGGGTGATCGATGCGATTGATAACTTGCCATGCTGGTTTGATCATGCATTAAAAAAAGTTTCAGTCAGGGATTTTTAATTATTGTCACAAAGACTGTTTGTAGTTTTGTCTGCTTTCCTTTTGACCTCCACACAGACTCCCACTCTTTCTCTTATGTTTCTGTCATCCTCACTGTCCTGTTTACACACAAACATCTCAGACTGAATCCACTACCTGAGGAGTCAGGTGTAGTAGTTGTAGCTCTGCGAGTGTTTCTGCTGTCACATTTACGTTTCCTTCCTCAGCTGTGCTGATGAGGTGAGCTGCTGGGTCTTTAAAGCCTGCTACACCGGGTTCAATAA